TGACTTTTATATAACATTTTATCAAAATTTAAGACAAGAAATTTTATACAACTGCATTAAAATTTCTCTAATTTACAGGAAATTGGGGAAAATGTTTGAAAGATAATGCTAAATTCCTTGTTTCCATCAAAATCAAAATTACTTACGCTTCCATAATAAAAATAACTTATATGATTAATTAAGATAAAATTGGATTTATATTATCGATTGACAAAGATTGGTAAAATATCGTGGATAAATGCTAAAACATTGATAATAACATCAAAAATATGCAAACAAGATTAACATTTACAATAGGTCAAATGAACAAGGAAATAGGGAATAGGCACATAATACCTGCATTTTAAGTTGAGGAAGAATCAATCAAAGAGGAAACTCGTCTTCCTTCATAGGGTGAATCTCCACTTAAGAAACCTGCTACTAATTTGGCAAAGTAAGCACAAATTTTGGCCCCTGTCTATCAAACAATAAGCGAGCGTTTTTAAATTTGCAAATTTTTGGGGAAAGGCAAGTTCAGCGATGTATATCAGGCTCAAGATAAATAAACAAAAGTAATTGTTGCTTTGAAAGTTATTCCAAAAACAACCTTATAGAAATATGGCATGGAAAAGCAATTATCAAATGAAATTAAATTATAAGGGTACATGGACCATCCTAATATCCTCAAATTGTATGGATACTTCTAAGAATGGTCTAAAGTAGTCTTAATATTGGAATACGCAACTGATGGGGAATTATTTAAGTTATTAAAGAAACAACCGAAAAAAAAGTTCTCAGAACAGGTAGTTTCAGGCTACATTAGATAAATTATTGAAGGCATTGGATACATGCATAGCAAAAATATCATTCATCGAGATATCAAACCAGAAAATATCCTTATTACACATTCTTTATTAAAAATTGCTGATATGGGTTTATCTACATATAACCCCACTAATTAAGTAAGGCAATCCTTTTGTGGCACTGTAGATTATATGTCCCCTGAAATAGCAGCAGGAAGAGATTATGATCATACTGTTGATATTTGGGCTATCGGTATTTTGGCCTATGAGCTTTGCACTGGAGAGACTCCATTTTATGAGAAGAAAAAAGAAGATACTATGAATAAAATAATCTATAGTAGCTTTGAATTTCCCAATTATTTGAGCGAAGATTTTAAGGCTTTTGTTAAAATCCTGGTTCAAAAGGATCCAAAAAAGAGACCTTCTATTTATCAAATTATGTAGCATCAATGGATTTAGAAGTACGAAAAAGAGAGTACAATATTTAATAGAGAATTGCTTAATTCGATGGTTAAATTGTTAAAATGATTAGTTAGATTTTGATTAATAAATAATACTCAAAAAGTAATTTCTCATTACTTAAAGTAAAATTAAAAATTTATATGAAAAAATATGTTAATGATTAAAAAAGAAATTCATTCTCTCAAGAGTGACATGTTACATGTAATGATTTAGCATTTGTTTTGATTTTGTTCATGCACTTGTATTCAGAATTCCGTTATTAATAGGAGGGACCATTTATTGTTTATGATGAAATCTTTGAACTTTTCTGTTTTTGTCTAAGATTTAAAGTCAAATTTTATTAGCTTAATGGATATGGTTTGTAAATATTCGAATTTGAATATTGTTGCTCATTGATAACCTAACAATTTAATTCATTTTCTAAAATTTCTAAATCTTTAGTTATATTAGCGGGTGCATTCTATTCATATTCTTATATTTTCGAAATAGACAGGGACCTCTCTGTAAAAGATTTACTTTCGTTAGTCTGAGTTATGTTATTCTCAAATAACTTCTGCAACTTTTAAATTAGTTCTTTTTTATTTTAGGTTGGTGATTATAATTATTCTTTACTTATGCCTGTAAATATTATTTAATTTGAATCTTCTTCAGACATATATATTTTTAAACAAAGCTTGTCAGATTCTAATTTTTCAATCATTCTCAAATTTCTCTTTGCTTGAGGTTCCATTTTTGGCGCTTAGGATTATGGTTGTGGAATATCACCTATACTATTCTTTTATTGATGAAATTTAGAGTTTACAGCAGAGAACATGCTATCAAAGTTTGGAACATCGCTTAATTTTCGGTCTGAAATCAATCCAATTTCTAATCTTTTTTTGTCACCTTTGCAATTTGTTCTTAAAGACGAAATAGGAAGCCCTGGAACGTTTATCCTCCTATATGAAAATAACTCTTCATTTTCTATTATTTTTGGTTGATTATTCGATTGATTTCCTTGTTATTGACAAACTTGATCCATTTTACGAAATAAATTCGTTAATAATTAATAGATTAAGATTGATATAATTTATACTCTAGAATCTAAATTAAAACGAATTGGAGTTTAATTTGATTAGTAATTGAAGAAATTTACTCGTTAAAATAGATAATTTCTTGGGATTATCAAAAGGAAAAGAATAATTCGTTTATATTAATTTAGAACCCTTTTAACATTAAAGAATTTATAAATCTAAAACTTAGACGAAGAATCAAAGCTAACTTAATATTCCTATATAATTGTATTCATCTAAAATGAATATGTAAATTCACCGACTGGAAAAATTAGAACTATTATTTATTTTGAATTACTATTAAATGCTATAATAATTAATAAATAATTATCAATAAATTATAACTCAAAAAAGCATATTTTAGATCATAAAACTTATTAAGGAAATGAGAATGATAGTTGAATTTTCATCAATCATTAAAATGAGAATAAATTAATTACGATTGGAAATTTACAAAAACACCTTTCAAGTAAAATAATTTTATAACTTGGGTTAATAATTGACCACTTTTAAATTTGTAGAAATCATATGTAATTATGATGAGAATTTTAAAGAAATTAATAATATAAACTTATTTTTACTTTTTTGTAAAAATCATATTATATTTGGTAAGAGTTACTTTAGAGAATTTCTATTCTTATTAGATGATAAGAGTAATATTGAAATTGATTTTTATTAATTACAATTAGATAGCAATTTTAGAAGAATCCTCTATAAATAAATTCATAAAAAATTTTTTTTATAAATATATATTTATAATCATTTTTTACATTAAATAATCCTATGTTTAACTTTCAACGAGTCTATGATTTTTACAATATCTTTATTATTTTACTTGGAGGGATCTTTGTTATTTTTTTTGATTGAGTCTTTGTGAAAATGACTGTAAGGTAATAAACTTGTTTAAAATGATTAATAATGGGAGTGAGTATGAGGCGAAAATGAAGTTTAGGTAATTGATTTTGCATTTGTTGATTGAAATGACTTTCGATTTATACCGCAAAGAGGTTTAAGATAAATTTCTTATTTAGGGTTTGCATCCTTAAACATTTTTGTTATATATTAAGATACTTAACTTTTTCTTGGTTCTTTGCCATGACTCTAAATTTGATGTTAGAAAGCATCATCATTCTCTGGAGCGGTTTTAATCCTTCAATTATTGAATAATTTAACCTATGTGACTAATGAGACTAAGGAATCAAAAGGACAGGTTAGGGTTATAAATGGGGTGGAACAATTGCTTATGGTTTTCTTATGGTTGTCAAATTTCGAACCGCCTTTAGGATATGCATTCTCTTTCTAAACCTTTTGATAGCTTCCATTTTATAGGTGAGGATGAAAATGATCGCATTAATTACAGCTTTAAATCTCCTTAGGACTCTTCTTCGTTTTTACCATCTTCAATCTTATAAACTATTACCTTGATTCGTTAAAAGGGTATTGTTTTTTGATCATCTCGAAATACTTGCTCCCTTTTCCACACTCAGAACAATCACAACTTTGATTTAATTTCAGATATTCCTTTTCCAACATCTCTTTATTCTAATACAACAATGTTCTTTTCTTTTAAAACCTTTCTTCTTATCTATTAACTTGTATAGTTCTAACATGTTTTAGATCACAAAAATCAATTGGAGACAGTGAACATTCTGACATTTTATTAATATAAAATTAAATATCAAAATATAAGACTGCAGGTCTCATAAATATTTAAGAATCGATTTTTAATTTCCTAAGCTTATGTTCCAAAATAGATTTGATACTTTTTCTTTTAAGTGTTCCTTATTTAATTCTTATATAATTAATATATATATAATGAGAGCTTTTGTTCATAAAATCTAAAATCATTTAATTAAAAATTAACAAACAAAACTATGGACTCCACTAAAGACAGAGTTGAAGGAACTAGAGCAACTGTTATTGAAATTATTGGAAGAACAGGTAACAAAATTTATAATAAATTGCATAGGATCTAGAGGTGGTATTACATAAGTTAAAGTTTAATTGGTTGGATAATAAAGAACATTAATTAGAAATGTTATGGGTCCAGTTAGAAAGGGAGACACCTTAGAGCTTATGGAATGCGAAAGAGAAGCTAGAAGATTAAGATGATTGGATGAATTATGTACATTAAAATTGCAAATTTAATCGTTATTGCTAACTAGGTTTATTCATCATAATTAAAAGTCTTATCACTATATATATTCTAATTATCAATACAACACAGTATTACAAGCATATGATATCAATTTAATATTATGATAAAGTGATTGTAAATTTCTTATCCTCATCTCCATTTGCTTCTTAAAACAATCATATTCAAAGATTGAATCAAATAACAGAGTAAGAGAATTGAATTAATTATAACAGCATTATTTTTTAAGGTTAAAGAAAAACTATTTAAATCTATAAATAAATCATCTAAAATTTTAAATAAAAATGATTCTAATTAATCACTCAAATCAACTAAGGAGATTTAATGTTGTGTTCTGATACCATTATATTAGCAAGAATAGAAGTATTATTATCTCTTATTTCTAAATAATTAGCAGAATTTCTCTTATGTATGGGCTTTGAATAATAGTGCATCAAAACATTTAGAACAATTATAAAAAAATTACTTAATAAAACAATAATAAAAAATATCTAAATAAATTGATTTACATTAAATTTTTCAAGCTTTATTATTATACTTGTTTTTATAATTTAATAATATGTGAGTTAAGATTCATTTTCGATTCTTTTAAAATAAAATTAAAATTTTTTATATTTAATAAATGCTTTGCTTAGAAAATAATTACTCTGGCTGATTTAAACTTAGGTTAAAAGAAAAAATGGACTTACAAATAATGACTTGCTCACCTCAATTATGTATATTCCATTGATACTTTTAAATTATGTTTACTTTTATTTTAGTCTATTTCTAAATCGAACCTTGTTCTCAATTAAATAGAATTATTTTACAAAATCTGTGAGAGTTTGTCTTAAATTAAGTGGAGATAACGATGACTTTTAGTAATTAACAAAGAATATGATTAATTTTTTTCCGAATTACACTGTTAGTTGGAAAGCAACCATTTAGCTAGGTTAAATCTTTAATTAGTTTTCGATAGGTTATATATATATATTTTAAAGCTTTAACTTAATTGATTAATATAAAAATTTTTCTTTATAAATATTGAAAATTATACAAATTAAAATTTGATGGGGGTTCGTGTTCAGGTGAATAAACTTAGGATTTAATTTATTCAGATAAATGTCAATTCTCTTATAATTGGTTCTCAATACTTATAATATAATAAATGTCTCGCTCCTCAAGTAGAATAGTTGTTTCAATACTCACTTTGAATTCACTTTTACAAATATATGAAACATAACCCTTTGAATTTAATGATTCTAACTTGATGATGTAGCATCCTTAATTAACTTCCATAATTCCCACAAATAAAGTATTTGATTCTGATATCGATGTAGGTGATAAACTTGTCTATAGGAATATCAATTTTATTCTTGATAGATTGGAAAAATAAAATTGATATCCTTACTTCATTATTCTTTGGAATTTCAATTATAATGCAAAATTTCAAGTAAAATATTTTTAAAATACACAAGCATTCTACTACCAAAAACATTAAACATAATTCAAATCTATTTTTAGTTATTGTTTATCATATAGCAAATTTTCTTTTAAACAAAATAACTCTATCTGTATATTAAATCTCTAGAGTCTAATAAAAATGCAAATAATATTACAAAAATCAATTATTCTAATTAAAGAAAGCTTCCTAAAGTCTCTAAAAAAGCCCAAAAGATACAATTAAAACTAGCAAATAAGGAGATCAATGAAAATTAAACTACAATTACTTAGGATAAAGTGTGTGTAGAACCTGCTCCTGTAAAAAATGAATAAAAAGAAGAATAAATTAATTAATTAATTCCAGAACAACATATTAGTGAAGCAGATGCAGAAACTGAAAATTAATGTGAAATTAGCCATTCAGATTTTTCATAAATATCTTCGTTTAAAGAAGATTAAAGTATATTATTGTAATAGTTAGTGTTATAAATCTAATTGAAAATTAATGGCTAAAATTAGCTTTTTTGCTGCACTTTTGAAACCTTTGACACTATAACTCAAATGCTTTCTAGCACATTTACAAATAATCAGATAATTTAAATAAAAATTCACATAATCCTAAATCTTTATGATGAAAATTAAGATTGTAGTTCAAAGTTGTGGTGTATCAAAAAATTATTAGCACTTTAATTATGAATATAGATGTAATTTCTTATACATTTTTATTTTCTCATCAAAAAAGATATTTCTTAAAAGAAATTATTTAATCTATCTTGAATTTAGTAAAACTATATTTTATTAAACTACTATCATAAATACATTCTTAAATTTAATAAATAAAAGACGTATTTAATTAGTATGTACTCACGATCTTTTTATTTTACCAAAACTTAAATCTGCTCTACAAGCTATCACTAAAAATCAAAATTAAGTAAGAAGCATTCCATGTTGATAATTTCGAAAATGTAGTAAAAAGATTGTAAGGATTTTACTTTAAAAAATATTTTATTAGCGCTTTCATCATTTAATTTGATGTTTCACCAACATATATTAGAATGTAATTCAGATTTCAACTATTCTGAGATTTCTAATTCAAATTTAAGAACTTCACATCTCTATAAGAATACCAAAAATTCTAATTTATGAAAATTCAATTTGATAATTGGTTGAAATCACTTATTATTTTTAGATGCATTTGTAGTTCTTCAAGCAAAAATAAAGAGTTTATTGAATTAATGAATGTAAAATTGCCAACCATGAATTTATCATGTTTAGTTTATAAGATAGAATTCTGATTAATCCATTCATTATCAAAATATTTTCAATCTAAATGAACTCTGAGGGAATTGCTAATTAGTTTTCTTTTTGTTGGTTTTGTTTCTCTTTTTATGTTTGACTTTTATTTTTATAAAATTATTTCTTAGATTATAAATTTATTCTCTTTATAAGATAAAATGATATATTAAATATTCATTAATTAAAAAAAAAATGAAAAAGATTATCATTTTATTATCCCTTTGTATTGCTTTGACTTCAGCTTCTACATAGCTTTAGAATTTTATCAATAAATTCTTTGGAATTGAGGTTGAAGGTAAAATAGAAACAGTCTTAGCCTCTTGCTTTACTGATAAAATTGGATATCGCGATAACGACCTTTATGCTGGAATCTATTATGCTGAGTTATCAAAAGATTATAAAGTTAAGGATTTCAGTGCTCTTGGAAATTTAGCTTATAAGTACAAGCTTAAGATTACCTATAATGGAAAGTCCATTATTGCAGAAAAAGGTGATGTTGGAGCTGGAGGTCCTTCCCATCCTAAACTTGATATCCATATCAAGGCTCTTCAAGCGTTAGGAGTCACCAACTGCAATAATTTTCTCACTAACGTTCAAATCGAGTACCTTGGTTGAGATGACATCATTTATAAATATATATAACATTTAAGAAAACATTATACATATCTATTTAATTAAATTATAAATAAGATTTGATAAAGAGATTGTTAAGAATAAATTGCTTAAGAAAATTAAAAATTCCAATCTCACTTTAATAGCAATAGTATTTATCTCATTGAAGGTATAATTTTGTTAATTTTGAAAAGAATGATTATTTTTAATCATTTAATTATTCAATATATTATATAATATGGTAAAGATATTGAAGTATGGAAAACCATAGAGGACTGATTCATTATTATTATTAAGGGCAATCTTCACTATTTTATGCCACAATATCATTTTATAAGGATCCCTAGCCAAGTAGGATTTAGTAAACATAGTTAAACAACATTGGGTTACTAATGTAAATTACATTACGATTACTAAAATATAAAAAAAAGTAATCATAAATTTTAGGATTTCAATAATAATAATTATAAATTTATTTGCAGAAATCTCCTTAAATTATTACAAAAAGATTAAACTCAATTTCAGAATTGAAATAAATATGAAATAATATATTACTACTAATAATTATATTAAATTATATTGTCAAAATAGGATATTATTGAACTGGTTCTATGGTTGACTTCCATTTAAAAATTCACATTTGATTTTTTAATTGGATAGTAAGTCAATAATACTTTCATTTTTATTAAGTTTTGTTCTTAATTTGTATTATAAAACATAAGATTTACAGTTGATGTTGTTATTATTTTTGAGAATTATTAATTAATCTTGATATTATTGTTTTATGCATAACAAAGCAAAAATGAATAAGTTTTTGATCAAGTTTTAATATCATTAAGGAATAAAAGTCTGAATTCTAACATTTGAATTTTTTTTCATAATTTATTGGGTATTATTGATTAATATTTTTCTATTTTATCCCCAGTATTTATTTCTTCTTAGGTTTGTTGGGCATCTCAGCGATCATTTTATTCATCATTCAACCAAATCTAATCATCAAAATGAGTTATAATTAAAGTTTAATAGACTAGTTGTTCAAATTTATTCTGATTATCAATTTTATAATAAATGGCAAATTTTAAATCTACATGTCTTTAATCATTCAAAATACTATCATTAGTAAATTTATCATTTTGTTAATTCTAATCATCAGGTATATCGGCCATTTAGCGTTTAGAATTCTACGCTATCCATGAACTTGAATCTAAGACCTTCTTAAGCAATTTACTTTAATCATTTTATTCAATATGGCTGCTCAAATTGATTTCATTAATATGAAATCTATCTTCTATTGATTCCTCCTAAATATTCAAAATCAGAAACAATATTATTAAATTTATGTGATTAAAGTAATTAGAAATAATTCAAGTATCTCTTCCAATTTCCCCGAATATAGTAATTGCTAGATGTATATAATTTTAGATAATAGTTAATTAAACTGATTGTCCGTCCATATGTCCTAAATACTTCAATATTATTTTCCAATCTTATCATCTAGCCAAACACAGAATCATTTTTTTCTTGTATCGATTTAATCAATATATTACTTGGTCCCCTTATTTATTATTATTAAATGATTGAATGAAATTATTGACTTCGTAGTCATCGTCTGAATCGAAATCACTCATAATTTTTCTGATATTATTTGACATAATATTTATCAAAATCAGAGTAATTAGATAGTAGTCGTCAGCTAACACTATAATTATAAAAGGAATAGCTTTCTATAGCATTTTTGATAAGTTTAAATTAAATATTATTCTTTCTGTCCCTTAAATTATATTGGTTTAGGGGTCAATATTAGAGTATAAATTAGATCAAACCTTGATAATAAGTTCAAATTGTTCAAATCCTTATACATATTAAAAATTTATTATCAATATAGAAATACTAATAAATATTCAAATCGGAGAAGCATAATGATTTAACACTAGAATCATGCTGGCAGCCAATATTAATGATTTACTTTCAAAAGATTGCTACTTTTACTTCAAAAACGCATACACAGAGCTAATGAAATTCTAATTACTAAGTAACATTAATATATTTATAATATTGTAAATTTCCTTAGCAAAGTCTTAACTAATTATTAGCAACCCAATAATTTGAATCTCAAAGTAACTTATTACCTTACATTATGAATTTTAAAGCTAAATTTAAACCCATTTAAATATCCAATTCAATTTTATCCATTCTGATTCAGGCATGCAACACAAGTAGCTTAGAAGAAAGCATAGTTATTGCTGTAATATGCTGCCATATTTTGATCCCAGCTAATAGAATTTGAAAATATTTAATCTTAATGAATCTCAATGTGGAAATCACCGCCATAAAATTAATTAAAATAATATAGAAATATATTAAAAAAATATTATAAATTACTAGATTATTTTACTTTGTTTACTCCAATTTTTTTTTAACCAAGTTATATTTGGCTTTGAAATTTCGAGTCAATCATAAAAATACAAATATTAATGATGTCGTTGAATTTACTTCTTAAAAACTTATAACAAATACATAAATAACGTTATTTTTATAAATTATATTAATAAAATAATTTAAAAACCGAAATCTATATACTCTCCTTTTAACAAAAAGTAAAACAAAGGATCGATTAATGAAATGAGGCATAACAGATTTTTTGAGATAAAGTTAAGCTAGTTTATTAGGTGGGTTTAGAAAAATTATCCACAATTTTTAAATTTATATTTCATCATCATGACTAAGGTGTTGAGAGTAAATTCCCTTGTTGCTACACTTAATTTTTGATCAAGTATTCTATATTTTGTTGCAAGATATCAAATTTATATAAGTTAGACAGATGAACAGTCAGATAAATTTCAAATAATTATCAAATTCTAGATACAAAGTTAGCAAAGGAATTACAAATTTTATAGCAGTGAGGTATTAGTGAATAATTTAGTGAAACTAATATATGATTATAATTATTCTTATTTTAAATAGAGATAATTTTACTCTGAGTTATCTCATTAAATAAGTAATATTAGCATATAAAATACAGTTATTTGTGTAGATTATTATACAGGTTAGTCTTTAGTTGAAGTATTGATAAAAGAGTTTGGTCTAAACTTGACATTATTCTTTCAACTTAACTTTTTCTAAGCAATTTTAAAACTTTTAAGAGAATAGACTATAAAGGTATGATTTAATATTGTTAACTATAGAGTAACTTTATACGTTATCCTATTTATTTTGTATTAGATTTGTAGTCATGTAAATAGAAGGCTCTGATGATTGTTTTTTGAATTAATATTAAATAAATATAATGGATCAAGCCCAATCTTTAGAACCGAATAACTAGGCTTCCGACAACCAAATACACTCAAATATTTGTGATAACGATGACATATAAAAAAATGGCAGTCAAACTAGACGAGCCTGGTCACTCAAAGAAGACAACCAACTAAAATAAGCTATAAAAATATATAGCACCAATTGGCTCTTAGTTGCATAAGCATTACCAAACCGCAACCCTTCCCAATGTGCTTAGAGATGGAAAAGAATCAAACCCTACAATGTATAGTTTAATGAAAATTTTCAGTATAATATTAGGAAACCATGGACAAGCAAGGAAGACTAGCTACTTTTAAGATTAGTGCAAGTGCATAACAAAAATTGGGTTTAAATTGCCAAATGCATACCCAATCGTACCAGCAAACAGGTACGAGAAAGATTTGTTAATAAATTGAATCCAGAAATTAATAAAGAACCTTTTACCAAGGAGGAAGATATGATTATAGTTGAAGGATACAAAAACTATGGATCCAAATGGTGCAAAATATCAAAATTGTTGCAAGGAAGACCTGTATTCTTAATTAATTTTAAAATAGGAAAACATAATAAAAAATAGATATTACTCATACATTCGAAAGCGTTATTTTAATATAGAAAATCCATATTATGTTGTTCCACAGCAAAATAATGAAATATAGCAGTCAATTCAAAAGGATAATTTAAATCATCAATAAAGCAAAACATTCAAAAGGACGACAATTGGCAAACTTAAAATTCGAAAAAGATTGAGTGTATTATCTTAATTTATCAAAGAGATCATCTAATAATGGATCAACTAGAAATAAGGAGAAAAAATAAAATAATATAATAGACAAATAATTAGATTAATTGGATTAGGAAAATGTTAAGTTATAAACAGCTATAATTTAAGAAAATAATAAATTAAATATTCATTTCAATTTTAGTAAATATGACTCAATATTATAGGCTAATAGCAAGAGTAGGAATAAATATAATAATCAAAGCAGAAATAAGCTATAAAAGAAGAACTTTCTAATTAATAAAGTTAGATTAAACAAGAAGTAGAATTTGATTAAGTTAACAAACTTGATCAATTATAAGAGAGTCTTAATATATCTCAAAGTTGTTATGCTCCTTACCCCTTAATATATAATACTCCTTAGACTTATAAAATGATGTATTATTACCCACAGCAATTACCAATGCAATTCATACATCAATATTTTATAAATGGCCCATATATATAATATGGAGTATAAAGCTAGGAAACATTACTTTCTAGATCTTAAGAGATACAATAATCAAGCCAAAAATTATTATGAAATTAAATTTTTATCAATGAATAGTAGAAATATTTAAAAATTCAATAATTCTTTGTTCCCAAACTAATCATTCTCTGCAATGACTATTGTAAGTTTATGAGTTCCTAAAAGTACCCTGATGAAACCCTCTTAACTTCTTAAGTGGATAATGATGAAAAATGTGAAGTCATTCTTACAATATCTGTTAATGGAATTTTTTCTGCATTCTTATTTGTGAACTAAGGAGATACATGTCTTGAATTATTTTATCTTGGGGTTACACTGAAGAGATCTTTGATTTGATTTTGATCTCTAAAGCTGTTTTTGTTTCTTACAGAAAGAGTTGGAGTATAATTTTAATCAAGGAGTCCTTGTTTAGCTTCATTAATATATTTATAAAATCCTGGCTATTCTCCAAGGACTTTATTGGATATGGCCTTATTTTACAGTTTCAATTGAACATCTAATTTACTATCCCAACTCTTAAATCTCTCCAACCTTTATTACGACTTTTATGGAGAGTCTTTGTAGCCAGATCCTAAAGTATTCATCCTTGTAGGTATAGTAAATGGGTTATCAAAAAAGGAATCAACTTTAACCTGTATATGTGGTCCTTTATCAGCTTGATATAGTTTGGTTAAAGCATCAGCTTTAGATTGAGCTTCATTTCGCCTTGTACTACTATGGAATATAAAACTATGTTACAATATTTCATCATAATTTAATCCTCCAGGAATTTTGCTAGTTGGTGTTCTTCTTTAACTTAATTAATCTCTAAAATATTAAGAATTCTTACAGAGTGGGTCTATCACGTTTTCCCCAATTTCCTAAATAGTAATTTGATTTTTGTTGATGTTCAACGAATGGTTCACGATGTAAAATATTGTCTCTGACTTCCTTCCTGAACTCTGCCAATTGACGTTTATTCATTTAAGTAGTGACTTGAAATGCACTAAAACCAATATTATCACTTGACTTTTGGTATCTTGATGAATTGACCTGATATTATTAATAATAGAGGTACTGGAGAATATCTTGATTGGTTAAGCATATCGTTTATGAATATTTAACAATTAAATTAATATTAAAAATTGTTGTTAAATATATAAATGTATATATTTTTCAATATAATTATGAAAATTCAAAGACATGAATGATCATCAACCCATCTACTGTCTGTATTCTAGCCATCTTTGCATTTGATAACTCTACATGATTTTTCAATTTTAAAATTATGTCTTGAATACTCAAATTTGACAATTAAACATCACCTTTCAGAATTTTACTATCTTCACCTAATACTTTAGATATCCAATTTATTAATAGCTCAACCGTCCATTCATCATATTGATAAAACAATCTACGGAACATTTAGACCAGTTAAATTAGAATTGATAATTCAATGGAATCCTTCTCATTAAGAATTGATTTGCAAATGGTAAGCCATGCTGCATATGATATCTCGTCTTCTAAATACTTATAGCAACATTCGATTATTAAATTTCCAATACTATACTCTTTATTTTTGTATGCTATCTTAGTTTGCATTTATGTAATCTTTTAAATTCTTAGATAGATTTCATACAGAAATCTCATTGAAAATTCAAACACAGGTCTCACATAAAGGCTGTAATCTTCAGTTTTGAAATTCGGATAAAACTTCAATTTAGTTTGTGTTTCTGCTCCTGGATCATCAGGTGTTGGGAATGGCTTATACTATTCAGATTAATCCAATAGGGTTTACTTCTCCTAAGATGTTAAAATGGATATTATTTCCTCATTTAAAAGTTCACTATTGAAAAGTAGATCTGCTTCAGGAATGTCTATATTGAAGAGTGAGTTCATGAGATCAATAAATATCTTTGCAATTTATTTATTTTTGGATACTTCTTCCAATTATTTTAAAGATTTCAAAATAAGATGAGAAGATATCTTTAAAGCGTTTGCATCCTGAAAACTATAAAAATAGAGAGGAGCCTAAAGCAATGAGATTTTCTATTTAAAAATATGGAAGGTTTCTTAATATTGAACTAACCATTGAGGCTATTATTCATATGGATATATTTAGAAGGTTTACTTCTCACTTAATTACATTTGATCATACTTCGTATTACTTTAACTTTAAATATATCTAGGAGTAAAGCAGTTAGCATATTCCTTCAATTTTAAAATGTATTATTAATCTATTGATAATTTGTAGCATCTTTTTTCTTCTTCCATTTGAGCCTCAAGTTATTTTTTCTTTTATCTTAATATATCTAGTTATTTATATAAGGATTATTCAAAATCCAAATTTTAGTCTCTTGTCAATTTACGATAAGCAAGGTAGGAATCAAATTTTTATGTTTTGTATAATTTTAGGATTCTTTGCAATTGCAGAATTTCAATATCTATGAAATACCTCTTATCTTCGAAATCAAATAAATCTCCATGAAATTCTGTTTTACATTTGCTTTGATCATCTCCACCTCTGCGTTACTTATCACAAGGAATAGATTTATAGAATCTATTTAAAACATCTTGAAATTCATTTTTAAATTTCTACTCTTCATTAAAATAGACATAAGATGTTTCTCCTAATCTAGGCAATGTTGCAATATCAACTTATGTGTGCACTCCTCTCATTGTAGAGAATTGCTCTAAATTTTTTCTCATTAGTTTTAGAAAGTTTTTAGATGGTGATTCTTAGTACTATTATTACTATACTTTAGATTCAGAACAATCTTCCCATTATTCCAATGAATCTATAAAGTCACATGCATCATTTTCTTAAGAGACTTCTTCAGATGCAGATGATGATTATTATGGATAATATTCCTCTGACTCATCATCATCATCATCATCAATTTAACCTTGAGCAAAATATTAATTGTTTTTCCAAAATTAATCAGATTCTTCTTAATTTGTATGTTATCTAGGTCGTCTTTATCTTTTTTATGATTATTCATTCTCTTGATTCTTTTCCTCATTGCTCATTGAATATTTATTAATTTTATTATTAACTCAATTAATTATGATTAATTAAATTAATCTATTATCTCGATAAATTTACAATATAAAATAATCTAATTTTCTAAAAGAGTGTTTTTTACACCATTGTGAGGTCATTAATATTACACTATAATTGGCAAATGATTGATTTTTACAATAATTATATTAATGTCAATCTATTAGACAATTGAATTATTTGTACTAATATTGAATTTTACATTTAATTAGTATTTCCTAAGCAAATTAGCATCCAATATAACATTAAACCTAGTCAAATTCATAATTTTAGATTAAATTAATCGATTATCCTATCCTTATGATTAAAATAAATTTCATTCATCTTATATTGAATAATTCCTATTCTATAATTAGATTTTTGAATAGCCTTTATCGTTTTATACTCTCTTAATTTGAATGAGAAGCATTTGAGTTTTCCATAAGAAGAATGAAAACTGTGATATAAATTAAAATTTAAAGTATATATTTTAAAATGAACTTAAAGGTAAAGAGAATTCAGAAGAAAAGTATACATCATTTAAATTAGAATCTTGATTAGGGAATTTGAAGATCATCCTAAAAGATTTATATTTATTAATATACAAGTAATGTTCATTTAATAAATATATATTAAAGGTTAGTAAATACTTTATATTAATATTCAATTGTCAATTACCTACACTATGATTCGAGTATCTTGCTTGCAGTAAACGAGATTGAGGTTTCATTCTAAATAAATTATGTTCACTCTTAATGAAGACTGGTTTTTATTACTAAGGTTGCTTAGGTACAACAATAGATGTTGAAAAATTTTGAGTTTTTTATTCAGATTAAGTAATAGGGGAAGGGGATTAAATAGATTCAGTAAGTATTCGATTGTCAGTCTATTTGCAGGAATTTGAGAAGTAAGTAAAAAATTGACCTTTTGAAATTGGAGTGTTATTACCAATAATTCTTTCAGACTACTCAATTGATTTAGATATTCTTTAACTCATTTCTGTTTTCATTAATTAGAATTCAATAAACTTTTTGAGATGTTAAGATTATGAACCCATTTCTTGACGAATCATTTCAGTGGCTTCATGTTATCTTTTTATTTTAATCTTTTCGTTTTCAGGAACTAAATCTACATATCTCCGATCATACTTTTTAATTTAGTCATTGTTTTATTACATTATTTAGACCTACTTTCTAAAATCTTATTCACTAGCCTTTTTTTATCTTAAGATTTTTTGTGAGGATTTATGATTTACTTAAAATTTGATCTTATTTAATACTCCTTTCAAACTGGCTACTTAAAGTTCATAATCTTCTTCAATGTCTTTAGTTTTAGAGTCAATCCTACTGGTCATTGATCCAATTAATGGACTATTCGATAAGTTGAGTTTAAGAGAGGGAAATGCACTACTTTACTTTAGATGAAGTAGAGGTTTGTCTATTTTTATAGGATATTCTTGTACATAATCATGAACGGACATATTTTTTTATTTTGATATTCCAATTTAAGATTCTTCTGATTCTTCAATGATATTATTCAAATTAGATGGTTATTATTTGTCACTTTCATTTTTTAATTTAAGCAAATAAAGCTGTTAATTTAATTTAACTTTTTCATACTAGGATTAATGAAATTTATCAACCTATTTAATTAAATTTTAGTTATGTTAATATTTCATGTTAGCTTAATCATAAAAATATTTCTTTAAGGTAGTTTGATCACTTAGTATTCTATTAAAATGGCTCATTTATAATCCATAAATTTTGGCTTTTTCGCTTTTCACTATAATAGTTTATTAAGATACTGGTATTTTAAGCATAATTTCAACATCACTAATAATCTCACCCTCACTCAATATAATGACTCTTCTTTACTAAATCATTTTCTTAAGTGGTTTCATTTAAGTCTATTTAATGGCAAGTAATAATTGCTATTCGGACGATGCCAATTCAGACTATTACTCTTCTGACACTTAATTGACTATCTCTTACTCATGTACTACTTCCAATTCTCCTTTTTTAATTAGATAAATTTAAGTCACTTTGTCACCCTTTCTTATTAAATAATTGCCTTTCCTTAGTTCTATCTTTTTAAAGTTGTAACAATATCTTAATGTTACAAATCGTGGACACTCTCTAAAAAAGTAGTTCTAAAAAAACTTAATTCGTTATTCAATTTTGTTAAGTTCTGCATCTTTCAATAATGACTTATAATCTTATGAAGTTAGGACAGCCAATTCCAAATTAGATTTTGCAACTACAGTAGCAGATCTTGGTTGATTCCAAATAAGAGCCAATTCTCCAAACATCTATCCTTCCATTAATTCAATGACGAACTTATGTTTAAATACTCCATCAATAAAAAAATAATCAATGTCTAATTTTGCCGGCGGAATTCCAGCTGTCATCTCTAATCCCATTTAATATTGAATTTCTAAGATCTTCTTATCCTTCTCCTCTTCAATCTTGACTTCTTCAATGATATGTTACGTTTACAGTAATTTTATTGAATGAAACTGCTCATCTTCTACTTATTTTGAATTTTGTCTTTTGAGTTTCTTCATCATCCCAACTGAAGTTGTAAACCGATTTTTCATTTTCTCCCTTTTCGCTTAATTAATAACAGAAATGGGGTGAGTTCTTTTTTATTATTATGTACAATTTTCATACTTTTTTCTACTTTTGTACGATAAATCATTAACTACATATTGATCCAATTATGAATATATGTTAACACTCCCACTCAAAATTATAAAAGCATTTTCGCCTTTTTCACCCTACTTAAACACTGTTTCACCTTATTAAAATGATTTGTATGTCATCTTCTAACAACATTAAGTGTGGAGTCTATTGTCAATATTTTTTTGTTTGGAATTCATTTCCTTGAAAAATTGTAAATTCTCAGTTGCCTTCACAATCAATAGTAATTCCTCTTCAAATCTATCAGAAGGATCCCGCTTTAATATACTTGTTGCATATTTTATTAGCTAAGATGGATCTAACTAAGCCTATAGTTCTTGGCAAACTGTTCGATATTTGTAGGTGTTTTTGTTCCTCAACCATTGAAACTCAAACAATGGGTTTGTGACTGGACTACTCATTTGGATATTAATGCTTAGAATTTTCTAAACAAATTTTAATTGAATGTAATTATAGATCATTTTTTAGCTTTTGCAAAACCAACTTAATTATTGTCTCTATCATAAATACTGTAATATTTCCTAAGGAATATGTCCCCTAAAATCCAAGCCGGTCCTTGAGGTTATTGAATATCTAAAGGCATAAATGCTGCTATGCAATCCCAATTATTGACTTCAATTAGAGCCTCTATAAAGATTAATCTAGAAATTACATAAGTCATCCCCTTCATTAACTTCTGTCAATTAGGCAGCATCAAAATTAGTAGGTTTAACGTATTCTTCAGGATCCAATGTATAATCAACATCGTCAATCTTAAATGTAATCGTGGGTAAAGTATTGATTTCATGACAATGAGACTTAACATTTAAGGTTCTCAACAAAGTACCTAAATCATCAAAGGGTCCACTCATGATTGATGTACCAGTATCAACAATAAGTCTACATGATCCATTACACAAACCAATATCCTTGTTATCTACCAAAATATTATCAGCTTTAATCATCCAATAATATTTATCAATAACATCGTGATAATGAATGTCTCCATCTACATGAGCTGGGTTATAACCTCCCAAAGTAAATTCACTATGAGCAATATCGTTTGCATCTTTGGCAAAATAGAATGAAAATTAGTTTCTCTCTAAGACTCTCTAATCCATAAGATTATCAAAAACTGGATTGAAATTCTTTGGTGCCATTTTTGGATAGGCTAAACCAAGAATACCATCAAAATCAAGATCTCTAAAGATTGCTCCATTTTCACTTGTAATCTCTGCCAAATTTTATCTTGGTAATGTAACATCTCCAAAATAAACAGTATCAGCATTCACAACTCCTTTCAAATCACCACTTCCAAATTCAACGCTCAATTCTTAATTTAAAGGCAAAAACGATTGACTATCCTCGTGATTATATTGCTTATGTCTCATGCAGCCTTCCTCTTAGCATCTTGTTGAATCTATCCATAAATTGGCACTCCCTGTATCTAAGACAACTTTAAATGTATTTCCAGGTTATCCTATTCCTAAATCAGCTGTATATTGGATGTTTTTGTAATTATGCATTCTCATATATTGAGGACCTGATTGCTAAGTTTAAGCAAAGGAGGAATCACTTAGTTTATCTTGATTTATAGCAATTAGTTTATAAAAGTTTTATTTGTCTTAAACTTTAGTTTCTCTTTCTTGTAATTGAATATGAATTACCTTCTTTTTTTCTGGTTCTAAGAATTTCTACTCATTTTGGCTTATAATCAACAACTCAAATTTACATATTAACTGCATCCGACAAGAAAATGATTAAACATAAGAATAAGGTGGACTTAATCATTTGCAAAAACGATTTTTTAATAAAATATTAAAAGTATAAGTTAATTCACTAGAAACTTATCCGATTATTAATTCAATATAAAAACAATCAATCTGAAAATGTTCTTTTTTAATTATTTCGATAATTTTGTGATTTTCATCAATCAATCAATCTATCTTAACAATGAAATGATTTGAATATATATTCATACAAAAAGAATAATCATTACTAATCCAACTAATTCAAATGCTATAAATAGATATAGGCAACAGTAGGATGATGAATTTAGAAACTTTTTCAATTTTCCATTTACATTAATCATTTCCTTATTTGTTTTGTCCATATCCTTGTCAATCTATTCAAGCAATCTATTTTATTCGTCCACAGTATTCCCAATGTTTTTACCTTACGCTTTGAGAGTATCCAATTAATCTATGCATACATCAAGTTTCTGATCTTACTCTTTTTGTAATTGTTTCTAATTTGAATACAATTATTTGTTATCCATTTGTTATAATGTCTCTGTGTCCTTATATTGCTTACCCCCATTAGACCTATTATTAAATAATTAATCCTATTAGGATCTCAAAGACTTGTCAAAAGTTTGTTTCAATTCCGTAGCAACATTCTACAATTCTAATAATTTATTTTTTCTTGTCTCTCCTTCTTTCTACAATATTTCTTAATTTTAGTTTTGCCTCTCGATAAGAGATTTCAACAATTCTATTTCCCTTTCTTTTAATTTATAATTAAATCCAGATACCTAGCTTAGATATGCCTCCTCTAATTTCTCCATCAATCATTCCAACTGGTTGGTTGGCATTAATCTTTTATTCCCTTTTCTGTATGTCAGATCGTAATTATTAGATCAGTCTCTAAATTCTTTCTATATCAGTTCTATATGTATCAGACATTGAATTTTATATTTGTATATTATTTAATACTCATACAAGAACAATTCCTATTTCTTCTGGTTTAAGCATATTACTCTCCAATTTCCAATTGTAAAGATAATAATTCAATTACCCATCACCTGGACAGAACATTAATTCCTAAAATTATCAAAAACAGATACTTTCAAAAACTTTTCATTTTCCATAATATCCAAAGCATTGAATACATCATAACCTTCATTTTTTGCTAGGATCAATGCATCATACATTAATTACACAATTGGAGTTTAAGTAGCCACATTATAATAAGAGTAGGCTGCCTTTAATGATATTTAAATGATAGCTTACTCTTAAATGTGTGTGTTTTGGATTTTTAATCACTTAACTTGGAAGATTATAAAAAGATAAGAAATCAGTAACCACTCCTTGTTCTTTCTCAACAACGTATGTGCTTATTACATCCTTTCTTGGTAAAAACCAATGCTTGACTTCATCTTCAGTATATTTAAAATACAATTTGAATTATCTAAAATAAAAAGATTTAAATTACTTCAAATATTCATTTAATAATTTTGTAACCTAAGCTACATCTTTTTTTTTCATAGCTCTCAACCCTTAGGTTTTTGGCTCTTCAGGCAATTTGTAGAGTTTTTATTATCTTGCAATTGTTTGTCTTGCAGAAAGAGATGAAAATCCAACTTCAATTAATTTCTTGGCATTCAAACTTCTGTGATAGTATCTTGTTTAAGAAATTGGAGTGGGAACAACTATTCCAGCTGTGTAGACTGCTTGCCACATGTTTTTGATATGAACTCTTCTTGTAATTTCTTTGATCAAAACTGGAGCCAATCTATTTGCTCTAATTTTTTTGTGAACACATAAGAAGTTGATTTCTGTCATCTTTACTTTTGTTTACTAATTTTCTATATGTAATGTGACAGGAATTCCTGTGATAAATCCAACCAACTTTTAGTTGACCTTAACTCCCACAATCCAATCAGGGTGTTATCCTGGTGGCAATAATGCCCATCTCAAAAAATCAATTGAATAATCGAATCTAAACATATTATCATCATCTTCAACGTAGTTTTCCTTCAATAATGTATAGACCTAAATTAAATGAATAAGTACTTGTTGAGCTTGTTCATCATTTCTCAAATCAACATTACACCATTCAAATTTAGAAATCAAATTAAATGGGTCTTTTCTAACATCTGCTAAAATTCCCTCTTGAATTGGACCAGGCTTTAAGGAGTCCAATTCATTAATATTGGGCATAGGTTGTGTCTCCCAAAATTAATGTGGTTTATTTAATTTATCCAATAATTACTAATTGTATTGAGTTTGCTTTTGAACAACAGTAAGTTATTATTATTATTGTTATTGTTATTATTATTGTTATTATTATTATTATCCTTGATCTTAAACTTCTATTTCTTCATCGCTGGATTACTATTATTTTTCCTATTGTTGCATTATTTATAAAAAATTAAAAATAATTAATCAAATCACTCTCAAAAATAATATATATGACAAAATATTTAAAAAATAAAACATATTCTCCTCAAGATACTTTTTAAATTCTTCAAATTCCATACCTATCCTCTATAGGTTGACATTTCTTCATGTAATTAAAATAATTACCAATTATAAAATTTAACAAATAAAAATGTTTCCCTTTAAGTAAAATTAAAATTTTCTATTTTCAAAATTCTGGGTTTCTACTGATGGGATAAATAAAATTATGATTTCCAAACAAAAACTCGTTTTATATACAGTTTTGATGCAATTCCTTGTCGAATGTTCAGCACAGTACTAAAATTAGAATTTAAGAAAAAAAATATTATAAACCTCAGATATGTTTAAATTAATTTAGGGTAAAAAAGATGATCAATCATATTTAAGAAAATCACTGCGTTGTGATTGCGACTGATAATTTATCTTGTATTAAACAAATTCATCTTTTTTAATTTTGGGATGAAATTTTCGTTTTTCATTTGGTTTTATTTGATTATCATCCTCTCTTGCTTAATTAAGTTAATGAGAAGTATGGGTTTTTCTTTTTGGCTTTTCTTTTTCACTAAGTCCCTATTAATCTGATTGTAATAAAATAGTCTTTGAGTTTGGGTTTGTCTTTTAGTTTGAGGACTCTTTTTTCTTTTATTTTAATTCCTTATTCACTGTTCTACAATCCCATATTAGTTATCTTTATTTCTGGATAGATCTTTGTGATTATTACTATTATTGGAGTTATGCTTCTGACGAGGCTGTCAAATAACTTCCATCGATGTATCTCATTCTAATCGATTACTGAGTGTTGTAATATTCCTCTTGACTTTGAAATCTCTTGATTTGTTTAGTAATGCGAATATCTTCCTTGATTTATTATTCAATTGTTTCTTCTTGATCTAACAGAGACGTAATTGAATCTTCTGATGCAGCTCTTAAGGCTTAAGGAGGAAATAGATCAGCTTTTAGTTTTTGTTATTCAAAACCAAATTATGGGACAGTGGAAATATCGACACTAGAGAACTCAAAATTGACATCATTGTCTATGCAGTTCATTCCAAAACTATATTAATGAGATTAAGTAATAATGTTTTATTAAGTAGGGATGCTTATCTATCGAGCATCCTATGTACAAGTTTTACATTCATTTCCCATCTTAGTTTCTTTAAATATAATATATATATATAAATATAGGATTAATCAAACTTACTATTTTAATTCATGATTTCATTATTTAATTTTATACGTTTTATTTGTAAAAATATCTTGATTTAATCAGAACGATTAAATTATTTATTATATTTAATTATAATTCAGCGGTTTACCATCATACTTCTTAAAAATAACTTACTCATCATTTAAGAAAGAAATTACAGTGAGAACTGAACTATTCTTTTCCTCAAAATCTGATGGATCCACAAGAATTTTATCTTCCAACATACCAAAGGTTGAATATTTTATTTCCTTATTAATTATTGATATTTTAGTTTAAATTTGTTTAACTAATACTTTAATTACTTAAAATTTACTTTATTCTAAGGAAAAGGAAACACAATTAATGAGATGGGATAATAATGAACCATAAGCCCCTGCTACTCTGATAAAGAATTCAATTGATGAAACTTGACTATTTTGATTTCTCAATCTTTGAGGATCTACAATTTGAATCGCAATATCTTGAATTTATGTCCAGATAATGCTTTTCTATTCTTGTTTCATCAATATTATTCAAATCCTTCTAATTATCCATAATAATTGATAATTCTTAATCTCATTAAATACAATTAATAATTAGTAAATCCTTCTTTAAATTCTATCTTGGTTAATTAAATAATCTCCCATCTATCCTAACATTTTTCTCCAAAAATCTTTTCATCTCAACTTGTGGAAACATTTCTTTGAATATGTCAGCTTCCATTAATAAATTAATAATTATAATTTTTGATTAATAAATTAAATTCATACCAAAGTAGTCTAATTTGTCAATTTCTTCCGAAACCTTATGATAATTGTGTCCCTTACTCAAAATTAATAATGAAACAATCTTAGTTACAAAAATGTATATCATTTTTACTTATAATCACTATTAATTAAATTAATAATTTATTAATATAATTTATTTCTAAAATACTACATCCTTTATGAGACATTCTGGATTCATTTAAATATCACCAACTACATTAGTACCCTTGTAATATAAAGTTAATGTTTAGAAACTATTCAGTTTAATCGGTTCCTCTTGTTTCAACTACACCTATGTATTAATCTCTCATCCAAGTTCAATAACCTTAGCCATAAATTGTGAGAGTATTAATTTTCATTAATTGTAATTAAAGTAAAGACCAATTCATGTCGTCGATTTGGAATAGTATGATGATATTTGGAGAAAAAAGGTTGAAGACCTCGAGAAACAATTAAGAGAACTATAAAAGCAGAAACCATAACCAGTGGTTTAAGCTCCAGGTGAATTTAAATGTTATTTCTAGAACCTGTCCTTGAATTGCGAGCAGGTGCAGATACTGACGAATTGGAAAAATAGATATAATAGCTATAATTGGAATTGTATAAAACAAAGGAAGATTATGAAGACTTGTTATAAAAGTACAATGACAACCTTAGCGAATTAGAACAATTGAAATGTAATATCTAAAATAATATTTAAGAATAATTGAAAAATCATGTTTGTACTGATAATACTGCTGAGTTAAAAAAGAAAATTGAATAACAAGATAAAGAAATCCAAAGACTGAAGGCCTTACTTGCTTCTCAAGTGCCTGTTGGTATAAGTGAATCATTAATTTAATAGCAAATGATGACTCTGAATAATTGAAGCTTTATTAATAAAGAATCTCAGAATTAGAACGTTAATTACAGGAATCAATTTTATAAGTTGAAAGATATAGATAAGAGAATTCATAACTATTATCCTAATTGAACTTCTTTAAGGATTAAGTCAATGAGAAGGATGAAAAGATTAAGGATTTAGAAAATTAAATTGAAGAACTCAATAATGAATTAGATGGAATGTAGGATGAATAGGAGGAGATCATTGAATAAAGAGTAGAAACTATTAGAAAGGAATTGAAGAGTTGGAAGGATAAATTTTTAGCATTAAATGCTCAATTTCATGATTAATAGGAAAAATTAATGTTAACTGAAGCTGAATTAGATCATATTAAAAAATAAGGAGGAGCTGGAACTAAAGTATATTTAATAAATATCTAAATTATTAGGGTAGCTAAGTAATTACTACAACGACTACAACAAAATAATCTAAATGAAAATAAGTACATTCTAAAAATAAATATTCAATTTTTTTCTAATTATTTTAATTCATTAATATCTTTATTATGATAACCTCATCTATTTAGTTTAGGTCCTCTTTATAAATGACATATTTTATTTGAAAATTCCTCTTTTGAAAATTATTATTATTAATTATAAAACAACTTCTAAGAAAAATCATAAAATTGGAGTAATTTTAGCATCTTAAATTACGATAAACAGATATTATTAAAATAAAAATATTAAAAGCTTTATAAGAAACAATTCATAATGGCTTTCTTTAAAAATTGATATTAAGCTTCAAAGTTGTGTAATAAATAAAAATTCATTTGTCTTATTTTTCATTCTATAAAGCATTTTGAATAACTTTTGAGCTTTTCTTTTGTTATTTTAATTGATCTTCTTTGTCTTCTAAGTTTAAGTCTTTTTATTACGATTATTTTTTGTCATTTAATCCATTTCTTCCACTTTACATTCTCATTTTTATATTTATTTCCTAATTTAATTTTATTAACTTGGTTCATGATATTAAAGAAAGGAGTATTGAAATGAAGCAATGAAGTAATATTTAAGTATCTATGCTGCTTAATTTTGTAAAATTGATTGCTTAATATCCGTTGATGATATAATTGTAAAATATAAATTCAAATTTTTTCACAACTAATGAATTAAAAGAACAGAGATACTCCATCATTTTTGAATAAATATTTAAGGAAAGATACAAATCCCAAGAGGCCTTTTGAATTCCAGGCTAAAATTTAAGAAAAATAAGATGTATCTCCGATGGAAAAACAAGCAAGAAGAAAAACCATTGAATAAAATTTCTCAAGTTTGGTGGATCAATCAGTTAGAAAATGTACTATTTTACCAAACTATGAACCATCGAAATGTTCATCTGGTAGAAATGGCATAATTAAGGCTTATGCTGCAAATACAAATTAAGGATTAATTAGAGATTACAATGAAGATAGAGTTTCAATAATTTTGAATATAGTGAAACCATCAGATCGAGCAAGTGAAAATTGGCCAAAATGTTCATTTTTTGGAGTCTATGATGGTCACGGAGGGTCTACTTGTGCTGATTTTTTGAGAGACAACTTACATCAATTTGTTATAAAAGAATCTGAATTTCCTTGGAATCCAGTTGCTGCCATTAAAAAAGGATTTGAAGCAGCTGAGACTCACTTTTTGGCTTATGCTTTGAATTCCTTTTAAAAAGGTATACCTGAGAGAAGTGGATCTTGTGCAATAGTTTGTTTGGTAGTTGGAGAAGTCTGTTATGTGGCAAATGTGGGAGACAGTAGAGCTGTAATGAGTTCATAGAAGGGGAAAAAAGTAACGAATTTATCTATTGATCACAAACCAGAGACTGAAATAGAGAGGATATAAAAAGGAGGGGGAAAGATATATCAAACCCATGGAGTGAATGAAGATGGAGAATAAATAATTGGACCAATAAGAGTTATGCCAGGGAGGTTATCAGTGTCTCGTACTTTTGGGGATATTGAAGCTAAATTGGAGTAGTTCGGAGGTAATTCAAGAGTTGTTATATCAGAACCTGAAATAAAAATCCTTAAATTAAACTCGGAGCATGACTTTGTTGCTTTGGGATGTAAGATATATCAAATTATCATTTAGGTGATGGCATTTTTGATAAATTGAGTTCAGAGGAAGTAATTGATATTATATGGTAAGATTTAAGAAATAATGATAAATTAAATTTGCATTCTCTTTTAAGTTAATCTGTCGATTCCGTATTAAAGGAAGCTATCTATAAAAAGAGTAGTGATAATATAACCTTACTGATTGTGGCATTTTAAGTTAACTAAATAAAAGAGGAACTGAAAGAATTCAGATATACCATTAGTAATTCAGTCGATAGAATTGAAGATAGTTCTCATAATAATAATAGACCTAGATTAAGGTAAAATTGATATTCTATCATTTAGTTAGCAAATGTAAACAAGAGGTGATGAGAACTATTCTGGATTCAGTAATCAGAATAGCAATAATCAAAGTACTTCATATTTTAATAACAATCATAACATTAAATTAAACATGTCAATTAATTTGTAAAGTAGATTGTTTAGATAATTGCAATCCAAAAAGAATATCTAAGAAGAAGCAAAAAGTAAAACAAAACATAGTTATATTCTTTGAATAATTAAAACACTAATAAATTTATTTAATTTTATTCAACCATATAAATATATGCTCACTTTGAGAGAATTATAAGAGCTACGCTAAGTAAATGATGATAGAAAGGCATTAACAGATAGATATGGAGTGGGATTCAACAACCCACTTTCAGCTAGAAATGAATATTAAGGCAAGCAGACATTGGGTGCGTGGGATCCAATTACAAACAAGCCTCAAACACTTATTGTTAATAATGGGTCTGATCCTATTGTGTTAGATCACAACACGCCTCGACAAGTAATCAAATTTTATTGATCATAAGGAAATCACAAAAAATATTGTATTTTAGAAAGGTTTCCCGTTTTAGACTAATTAACCTTAAATTAGAAACCCTTAAGCATAAACTTAAAATATTCCAACTACATATTCGAAAGTCTAATCTGTATAACATATTCCATAAAACTATATGCATGAAAATCATCATAGATAAAGACCGTATTAACTAAAAAGCGTTGAAGAAATCCTAAGACCTTGGAAGGCAAAGGAAATTATGTATAACAGAGAATTAAAAGCCTTATAGGATAAGCTTAACAAAGGAAATTACTCGATGACAGATAAAAGGACTTTGAAAGTGGATAATGTGGCTAAAAAACTAGAATTATAAAATGAAGTTGAAAAATTGGAAGCCATTTTAAAAAATAAAGATGAAGAGATAACTAGATTAAAAATTAGAAGCCAAGAAATAGAAGAAAAGCTCATAGAGATATCTGAAGAGAGTTCAACAGAATTCAATAAATATCAAAAAGAATTGGAGGAATGGAAAAAAAAGTTTAAAGAACTGAATAATTTATATCATGAATGTGAGGAGGAGTGTACCATGAAAGAAACAGAAATCGAAAGCTTAAAAAAAAGGAAATTGTCTGTGATTAAAACATAAACTGTTTAAAAAGTTGGAACTAAACCATAAAAAAATATGGATAGTCCAAGAGCTATTATTTCTACTGTAAGCGACAAAGATTCAGATTATTATTGAAGAATGATATAAATTCAATTTATTTTTTTATTTATCACAAAAAAAATACAAATTCTATTGAAAATATTCATAAATAAGAAGCAAATTTCAATCAGAATTTGGAACTTCTTGAAAAGAATATCCTTATTGGTTTATACTTTAATTTCTGATTTATTGAAGTGAAAATCTGTTATAATTATAATAATTTATTGTCAAATAACATTAAATGTTCAATAAATATTCAAACTACAGATATCTATTGTATTAGATCTACATTTTTATTTTACAATTAAAGATTTTTGAACACTCTAACAATTTATGAAAATGTTATTTAGTCATTTTAAAATGGATCTAATGTTTCATAAATTTGAGTGCATTCTTCATTCTTCAAATTAGGCTTTATGCTTTCAGTCAATTTAAAAAATTATTACTAAACATAATCAAAATCAATAAATACTTGATTGATAATTCCATCTTTATCATGATCAACCGACTCAAATACTACATATAAATTTGCTAAATATTATTGATAGAGATTCATAAAGAATTCAAGAAGAATCTTTATAAAGACAGAAAATTCATATTTAATTGGTTCTTTTTAAGCACTTGGTCTACTTTGTTATTCTATTTAATTGACTTTTCTAATTGGACTTACACTGATGGCAGTTTTAATTTAATGCATCTTTAATAGATTTAGTATAGTATCTTTTTCCTCCTCCTCAAGAAAGCTTTTCAAAATATCCACCACTTCTTGGTGAGTTATATATCCTGCCACTTTTTGTTTAACCATCTCCTTAATTTCTGCGACTGGCTTTGTCTTATATTTAGCCTACAAAATGATCTAAATTTAGATTACTAAAATTACATAGAGTATATGCTCAATTTTTTATTTACGTGTAGATTGCAGTAATCTAAAATCTTCATCTAAATTATTTTTAAGCATTAATCCAAATACAGCAACATCATTGTCTTCAGTAACATATCTCTATATTGCATTAATTATGCAAGCAACCCATTCTAAAGCTAAGTTCTACTTTTAATATATGTTAAATACTCTTAATCCATATTTATAATACAGGTAAGTGTACATATGCTATTCGATAGTTTCTAGAGGCAATCTGTTCTCGTATTGTCGAATATCATGTTTTTATTTGCTCTCATAAATGTCCTAAATGATCTCTTTGAGTTATTTTAGAGTTAATGGTCTAAATGATTAAGGCTAAACTAAAAGATGGAAATCTGATAAAGCTTTTTATCTCCTCCTCTCAACGAAACTGGGGCTTTCAGTCTATTTGTAACTGATTTCAGACATAATATTGGAAGATTTTTCGACTTTTGAACTTCTAACTATAGTTTCTAAGTATTTTTTGTTTTCTTATTGTTAATCATTTTAAGATTTATCTTCAGATTCTTATTGAAATGACTACATGTCTATGGATTTAGTTAAAATAGCATTTTCCTCTTCGTTAAATGTTTGGCTTTCCTTTTCGAGCAATTGTTGATTTTCAGTCTAAGTTGCTTTAACAAGCATTACAACTTATTGAGTTTATAAATTAGAAAAGGACTAAATGTCTTAAAAGGATTGGTTTGCAGATTAAATTTATTTAGAGCTATCTCTATTAGATTGCTGTAATTGCTATTATTATTAAGCAAATTAATATTCTAATTAAGAAATTATGTTATTGAGATTTTCTTTCTCTTATTCCAATTTTTGTATCTCTTTCTATAAAGTATTGACCTGAAGTTGTAAAGGTTGAAGCAGCTCATACAATTAATCTTTCTACTACAAAATTTTATTGTTTTCACTTAATAGACGATCATGCTCTTCTTTAAAAAGTTGAATTTCTTTATTTTAAGATTTCACAATTTCACTTTCTTAGATAAGTTATTCAATTTCATGCGTTTCTTTTGATATTTTTTTATAATCTCTTAGATTGTAAATGACATTTGTTAAATCATTAAAGATATTTGAATGTTCCTATTGCAAAGCCTTTAAGACTTATTCTAGTTTGTTATTATTGTTACGAAAATAATCAATTAATTCTCTGAAACAGATCTGATATAAATCAAATTTGGCCTAGGTAGATTAATTAAGATTACTTTAAGAATATGGGTATCAAGAAAGTGTTTGGAATGTGTTTGTTGAACTTTTGTTTAAAAATCTGTCATCACATCTTTGACATGGTCAGCCAGTTAAGGAGAATGTGTTTTTTTTTGATTGGAAGTATTTTCCAAATTACAAATTTAATTAAAAAGGTTCTTTTAACTTAATTAGATAATGAAGTACTTCCACATTGTCCACATCTTCTTAATTGAAAGTGACTTCACTTTAACATGATTTTTCAGATCTTGCTGATTGTTTTTCAGACAGTCTCTCGCTATCAAGTTGATCGAAAAATTTAAGTCTTCTATTGTTAAGTGTGATTAGATTGGGAAGCTATTGGATAACATATTTCTCTTCATTGACATTTCTCAATCCAATCTATAGATGTATTAATTTTGGCATAGTTTTCAAAGCTTTGATTATGGGAAGGATCTATATAGATTGTTAAAGCAATTACATTATCAAAGAGATTATTGGAGATATCTAGGGTTTCAACAGTGCTCAAAGTTGAGAGATCTTCAGGTAAGGTATGTAAACGATTACCATGTAAAATTAACTTGATTGATGCATTATCATAATACTTCACGCAAATTGCTGCATTCCGCCAAATGAGGTAGCAAATCTTTTAGATTATCAATTTATTAAAACTCTAAATCAACAGTTTAGTTGCAATTTTTATTAGGTTTTTGCCTCAATAGATCTACATTTAAGTCAATAATCTACTTGTTTTGAGGACAGACTCAGTTAACAGTTGCATTCTCTTTTTAGAATCTTCAAAGTCAAATTTTTCTGCGTCTGCAATGTGCAATGAAACAGCTAAGACTTCTTTGGCAATCTCCTTTTAATTCATAATATATATATAAATTTTATTGTAATATATAATTTTATAGTTAGTTTGATGCCAAATAGATTGGTAATGAATAATTACTAATCAGTATAGACATATACCTAATTATTAGTTAATTATTCCAGAATTTGATTTATTAAATTTACAAAATGATAAAATCAACAATTACATTATTATATGATCAAAATTTATGATCGAATTTTAAACTTATCCTTACATAAATTAATAGCAAACGAGTTATTTAAAGAATTATATATAAAATTGGTAAGCTACCTATATGTCTTTGTATAAACACATAAAATTTTTTTAAATAAATTACTTAATTTTCAACAACATGCTTTGTTTTTTTGCTTGGTGGTTTCAACTGCAGGATCATTTAGTTAAACGTATTTTCCCTCTAATTAAGGATCTATTTTTTGGTTCTTTTCTTCTTATTTGGAATCATTTTATTATGATGCAAGATATTTTTGATACTCACTTCCGACCCGAACCCCAAAACTCTATTAATAGTAATGATATTAACTTCATTTTTAGGGTCTATAATTCCTTTTTATATTTTAAATAGAATGATTTCAGCCAATTTAGTGAACATCTATTGAATTTGATTAATATGGAATATTACTTAGTCTACATTATAATTAGTCTTGGCACTTGTTTCCATAAACCCAATTTCATTGTCTTAAGCAAATTGTTTGGCTTCTTCAAACGGGACTTGACGTCTTTAATAATAATATGAACATTGTTACTCTTATTCTAGATCATTTTTATTTCCTACTAATAAAAATGTGATTTGCTTATTGCCATTTTCTCTTGCATCATCAAGCCATTTCACAACATTCTCAAAAGAGTTTCTCCTAATTATGATTAGATCTGATTGATTACTTTGTTATGTCATAGACAATAATAGCAGCAGCAGAGGATCGATAATAAGATCTAGTAATTGATCGAAAGGACTCCTACCCTGCCTCAATAATAATATGATTTTAGATACTGTGTCCCAAATGGACAATTTCAGAGCAACATTTTAGATTCGGATGATTCTGGCTCCAAATTCAACTCCTATAGTGACATCATGCTTTGATCTGAATCTTTTGTCTATAAACTGCATCAAAAGGCAACTCTTACCAACAGCTTAACAATTATCATCATTCTTTACCCATATCTCCTATGATTATGTATTTGAAGAGATACACGAAGCTAGTATCGAATTTATCATTCAAGTTGCCTGTTGATGACATTTTTATTAATAGTTTAGATAATATTAATAATCCAATTGACAGAAATGAGTGAATAAGCTCCAAATCAAAGTAATAGTGATTAAAATGAAGGAGATATTGATGAATACGATTCGGAGAAAGTCTTAAGATAGGTTAAGAGGGATTTATTAGAAAATGTGAATCTAATTAGAAGACAGAAGAAACTGAATTAATTATACATCGAATTGATAACTGATTTTGTGGCAGAAAGGTATGCATCTCATTTGCTTGAAAATGATCACACAGAAGCTGAATTGAAGAAATTGTATTAGTTAATCATTTAAATAGAATCGGATTTTATAAGTATAATGAAAAGATATTGGATGATATTAAATTGATTTACATTGTTTCCAAATTTGAAGAAGATACAATACCTGATGCTTAAGTTATCTATGATTATTTCATGGAAATTGGTTAATTGTTCTTTGAAGATGAAGAAGATAGGAAAATATTACTTTCTAATGAAATGAATCACATCTCCGTTGGTGTGTCATGTGATGATAACTAAGTTGCTATTGTGTATCTTGTAAGTCATAAAGATTTATGTGTTACTAAAATTGAAGATAGCAATGATGGAAGTATATTAGTCTATGGAAAGATGCTTGAAGATGAAGTTGGTGTTTATGCCTTATAAATATTGCCATTTACAAGTGACTCTAGTAATGTATCTGATAAAAATGAAAACAATAAGATAGGGCCTGAACATATTGAATTTGATAGATAAACTAAATGCTTTATTGCTAAAATAGGAAATCAGGGATAACCATGCACATATGATATCAGATAATACATTGATTTGTATACTAGGAAGTCACCAGAATCAATTCCTTACATGAAAAGCACAAGAGAAAAACTAAACTTAAAGCATGTAGATTTAAAACTGAGAATTCCAGTCATCTACTACCCTGATCCAAGATATGCTCCAGTAGAATCTGAGGCATAACAATCTCAATAATAAGATGAATAAGACGAATAAAATCTATAAGATCCCCCTATTTAAAAATTAGATGATTAATATAAAGATAATTTGTCCTAAGATGAAAATTAAAAGGAAGATGAGCTAGTTCAGAAAAATTACATGTTTAAAGATATATCCAATTAGGATATTAAAGATGAATTGGAAATTGCTATTGCTGAAGCACAAAAATAACATGATGAACTTTATGATCATAATGTCAATTTATAATAAAAAATTAAATAAATTAGAAATAAATAAGAAGTTTATGTTGATAAAATTGTGGATATGACTATGAGTGAACATAAATATTTAAATACTTTAGCATATGTGCATTAAATTAGATTAGATCTCTAATAAACATAGGACAGATACAATTAGATGGCCTAAGAATTACAATCAAAATTAAATGAAAAATCATAAAAATGTAATGAAATAAGATAGGCCTTTTTGGATTTGAGGAGACAAGTTGCACTCAAAGCTGCCTATTCTAGAACAAATAAATAAATACCAGAAGCTAGAATAGTTGAATGGGAGGTGTAAGAATCTGCCAGAAATAAAACTTTGTAAGAATTAAGACTTGATGCATTAAGATAGAGAAATATTTTAACCAAATAATAATAATAATTGAAAAAGAAAGAAGAATTAGCAGAAGGTTTACATCTAATTGATTTTGAATAATTAAAGATCGAGAATCAAACTTTAAATGAAAAAATTGAGGAAAGGAATGAAGATCTTTAAAAATAGAAAAATAAAAATATGAAATCTGTGTTAATGTTCTCTCATACTAGAGAGAAATTAGGCCATGTTGGATAAAAGTTCTAGGATTAAGAAAAGATTAATTGTAACACAATTTATCAATAAATTTAGATAAAAAGAAGGATACTCTAGATGGATTACGTAAGAGTTTAGGAGAATAAAAAGTCTACAAGGATAAATTAAGAACTGAAAATCTTAAATTAAAGCAATAAACAGGGTAATTATAAATATGAATACAGAATTGTGAATCGTCCTGAATTGATGCAAGATTATAGTAATAGGAAATCAAATTAGGATTAATTAAGAGATGAATTAGGACATAAAGAGGTATTACTACTTTGTTAATATGTTTAGCAAAAATTAAAACACATGCAGAGGATTATTGAGGAATACTAAAATCATCTAAACTAAAGGGAGCAATAATGATAAAATGCGTAAAGACTTAGTCTCTCCATGACCTATTAATATTTAAAACTAATGAATTTTTTCTGAGAATTTGATTTGTTCATTAACTCTTCTAACTCTTCTTTCTTTAAAGAATTGAGGAGAATAATAAATAATATGTTATAAAAATATAAATATTATTTGTTAAAATGAATGAGAAAAAGAAATCTGTGTTTTTTGACAAAAGGGATGAAAATTACATTCATTTAACTTCGCCAATTTACTTTTTAGAGATGTTTACAAAAAAGAAAATAAAGTGTGATGTTATTATACCTCAGACTATAATTTTTTCAAAAGGTACAGCGACATTATGGTTATTCAATTCAAAGACATCCCTTACTCCACTTATATTAAAAAAGAATTCAAATAAATTGAATTTTGTAGAAATATGTAGAGTCTTATGCAGAGTAAAGCAAAATGAAGATTTTCGAATTGATACCTTAACAACTCTATTAGACATCATCAAGGCTGGCAAGAATGAAATAAGTGCGTTTGCAAGAATTAGTAAAGCAAAAAAAGCAATTACAAAAGTTGATTTGGTGAAAATGTTTTTAGATGGAAATGTTAGTGGTTTATAAATATTGCAAGAGCATTTAGAGAATTATTCAAAAGCAGGTATTAACAATCTTATACGTTAGATGAATTATTTTACGTCGAATACAGACAAGATGTTATTAATTTGCCTGTCAGTTATAGATTTTTTAAAAAGTCAACCTAGAAATAAGTAATATTGTAGCCTTTGCAAAAGAAATTGTCATAATTGCACATATAATAATAAACATAGCATTCAGACAGTTATGATGAAAGTAATAAAAATGATTAAGTTGAGTATGTGGATTGCATGTTTAAATTCTTTGATAATTAAATGAATTAAACATTATCCAAAGTAAATTAATAATTGTAAATTTTAGATTGTCAAAAAGATAGTTGATTTTTTAGAAAAAGCCTATAAAGTGAGAGTTAAGAAATTGGTTGCTAAATTTATGCAAAATGATTAACAGATGATATATTTTCTAGGTTTGAAGGAGTTGTTAGTTGATTTTCAGGAAAATGCTCCTTATGAAATCTAAAGCATGAAGAACGAATTGAAGGACAATAGTTCTTTTGAAAATTTCTTGATCCTAATAAAAATGTTTACGAGATTAAGAGATAAAAAACCAATGAAGATACCTTAAACTATCTATGAAGATGATAAAGAAATCAGTCAAAAATTATATAAGAATCTCATAGTATAAAGATGCGTTGGTGATTTTTGTGATTACATAATGGAAGAGAAGAATAGAGGTCCACTCTAAATACGTAAGAATATTGTTACAGATTACAAGAAATATTTTGGAAACAAAAAGATGAATGAAGAGAAGTTTTCAGTGACTCTGCCACATGAGATCTCTTTTTAATTGATACTTAGAACAAGGGAATGTTCACAAGAAGTGATAGAGGTGCTAATGAAAAATAAGATATTCACGAGAAACTCAAAGCATCATTTTTAAGAGTTTGATAAAATTAATACTGATGAAGAATATCCATTTAAATTCAACAAAACTGAAGTGTATAATCTACCAAATCTCTATAAAACTGTTAAAATATGTAAAAATTGTTTTGTTGTTTACTCTTTGGCTAGCAAGTATTTTGATCAGAGATTATCTAATGATTTACAATAAAAATAATGGATTAAAAGGGATTCATCCTCCTTAGCCTAATAAAAAACAAGTTTGAATGCATCGAATTAATAATTATCATAATTAGAGAGATCTAACATAAAGAGAAATGATTCAAGAATTAGATAAGACTAAAATTAATCATTATAAAAAATAAAAACTCAAGCTTCTTAAAACAATGCAGAAAAAGACTAAAGTGAAAACAGAGTTAGAAAAATATAGAGTGCTAAACAATTCAGAGTGATACAATCTGCTCACTCATAGGCTCCAAAAACATTTAAATTATTCATGCCTAGCTAATAACCTCAATTGGAAAACACAAAACGAAATTCTTCAAGTTCTAAAACCAACAATATTGACATCAACAGATTAACTATGGGCTTTCTTAATTACACTAAGCCTCCAAAACCGAATAAGATTTAATCTGCAAAATAACAATCTGGTAGACTTCAATCTTAAAGAAGCTAAATGGAATCTTAACACTTAAAGAGATCAGATAGTTAATCAGATTAATTTTAGAGAAATAGAATCAATAAAAGTTAGAGATAGTTGAATTCAAATAGATAATCCTTCTTTTAGGGTAAGCTAAGAGTGATTGAAGTCCCATAAACTCAATATAGTTTATTAGATGTTTGCCAACTCTATGATTTAGAATATCCCCCTGAAAGTGTTCCGGATATATTTTTGGAGTCTGTCAATTACTTTTGCTTTGAATAATGTGCCATCCCATATTTAATATTATAACACTAGGAAGAAGATTAAGAATTTAATAAAGACAATTAAAGTGGATTAGATCTAACTGAGAAAGAGCATCAAATAGTGATATTTTTAGGAGATTTCTTTGATAATTCATTTGAATATCTAGACATTATGTAATAGAATATTAAACCTAATACAACTATTTTATTGATGAATTTACCAGGTACAACTATTATTTTCATTGTAGGGTAGTCCTATACAGTGTTCGATCCAAACATAATTCAAGACAATTTAGATATTTCTTTATTGTTGGATTCACTACTGTTTGAACTATGTCAGAAGGATATAATTAAAAATAACGACATCTATAAATTCATAGGATATGGATATGGTGGATTCTAAGTACTAAGTTACAGTAATAAATTATACTAAATTAGTGGCACATGTATAGAGCAATCTTCCTAGAATTGGAGGGCTATTAATAATCAATGCGTTTTGCGAAATAGATGATATGTTGACAGATACGTTGAAGAAATCTAAGGAAGTATTTTAAACTTGCCCAAATGATATGCCTGAATTGGGATTCCACTTCTGGAATTCCCTCATATAATCTCATGAAGAAAAGTAAGATCCACGATATAACCCCATCTCTTTGAATGGAAGATTACACATAATAAACGGTATATTTTTTAAATTCAATTAAGGTTTAATTAAGTCATAAAATGTTTGGAATTCCTGCGGTTAAGAAATCCCCATTAAGCTTTATCACGGCCTTAAGAATTGTGTTGTCAATATAAAGCAAGCTCATCTAATTAAAAATAGTTCTTCTTCAAGTAACTCTTGTGAAATGAATTTAATTAATTTTGGGCACAAACTTTAAAATTTAGAAGAATTGTTATTTGAATTCCTCTGAAAATTATATGTATGAATTATGATTATCATGATAACAATAAAGTAAATAAGTCTTCTTACTCTATCTCATTTTGGAGAATTTAAAAAGAAATAGTAACTTAAAAATAGAAATGTTTTGTTGGTTCTAATACATACTTTTAATCTATAAGAATCATAAATCAATATCCCCGGGTGCTCAGTCCTCATAATCGGAGCTTTAATCTTTGCTTTGTAAGGACTCCAGATCTTTAAAGTGTAGATCCAATGAAGTATTGAGATCGATCTGATTTTAGGTTGAATTGTTTCTTGGGTGGGTTTCAAATTCATAGAAGTCGGTGTAAAACTTGTCCAATTTAGAGCTTAGCTTATCCATTGCTTTTCTTTAATTTTATTAATTATTGAATAATCTTAATTAAATTTGTATTTCACATAAAATTCCCATCAAATTTGGTTTAATTAATCGGAATTCTTATTTAAATGTTTTTAATTCTTAAATTTAATAATATTCAACACAAATTAATAAGACTATCATAATTCATACTTGACCTCAATTAAATCCTGCATTAAATGCAACTAGATTGTAATTATATTATAAATACCATCATGAATAATTATTTTTCTTTAATTTTAATTAATTCTGCAGCTTATTTGTGTTGAATTTTTAATTATTCAATATTTATTGTTGCTGCTTCTATATTTTTCATAACAGTGTCAACATTTTCATAACTACTTATTTATTTAGATAGATTTTCATAATGTTATCTATTAATTTTTATCTATTCTTCAATCTGATACACACTTTTCAGATTTTCTATTTCCAAATCAGTTTATTTAATTCCTTCGACTAAGAAAGTCACTGTGATAAATTACTTATCGATTTGTTTAATTCTTAATTTTATTCTCTATCAAAATTTTATGCCTCCAATTATCTGGCTGCCTTGGCTATTTAAAATTCATAAACAGCTATCTCTTTTTAAAATTCAGTAACCAATTATTGTCTTTTTATTTAGTCGATTTATTTACAATTTTTCTTCGCTCAATGTTTCTTATGGTGCAGTGATATCAATATATTTTTTAAGGATGACCTTCAATTGAGCGTCTTTATAAATCAATAAATCTTTTATAATCCTTTCAGTTGAATCCGTGTCTAATTTGTATGGTGGCTGTAATTCTCGATTCATTCTTTGTACTTACGATTATATATATATTTATTAATAATTAAGTATTGTTAAATTTCGATATTATATAAAACAAGTAAACTCTATGAGTCCATTTTCAACGATGAGTGTTGTAATCAATAAAATACAACAACATTGTGATTATTATTCTAATTCATCCAATTTTACCATAGTGTTTGATTTGAATTCAATTTTCAAATATTAACTTAGAATATAATTTAGATGATGTTATAATATAAATAAAACCCCTTCAATCTAACAACTCTGGCAGAATTTCTTCTGATTTTCCAATCAACCAAAATGTATTTCCAACTTCTATAACTGGTTCTGGATTTATTTCAATTATTGTGGCTTTTTTCTTTATAAATTCACACACCATGGTTTTTGCAAAATGAGTTTATAAAGTTGTGCCAATTACAATAATTGTTTCATACTTTTAAGATAACTCTTAGATTTCTGTTATCCTGCAATTTTCATCCAGAATCTCATCATCAAGTAGCAATAAATGAGGTCTTCCTTTTGATCCACATATAGGGCATTTTGGAATTTCGTTTAATTCTAGGTCTGGAATGTCATACACAGTCATTAGCTCGGCTTCTTAGAATGTACATTCATACAAACATCTCATATATTTGATATTACCATTAATTTCATAAATCTATTTGTTATAGCCATACTTAATCTCTTCCGATTCAAACACAGACGCCAATAAATTATCAATACTTAGATTAACAATTAAAGCATCTTTGTTTTTTTCCTTAAAATTCTTTATAGCAAGATGACCAGCATTTGGTATTTTATCTTATACTAATTGTTTATATTATTTATGCCATTCCCAATATACTTTCGGATTATCTACTAAGAAATCTCTAGTTTTTAATTTAGATAATGGGTAATTGCATTCTCCTTTTATCCATTCTCCATTTTATTCTTTTGATGTAGGAATACCACTTGCTTTACTAAGACCTGCACCACATAAAATAACAGTGTTTTTGGTGATTAATTATTTAGCTTCATTTATAGTTAATTCTATAGCAGTTTTTGGATTATGCTCACTTGACTTTATACTATTCGAAATTAAGGATTTGCCAATGTTTTCAAGTAGTTTATCCATTGTGACACTAAATGTTTTTTAAAAGTTGTCAATATTATCAACTGTTGATCTTGCCTACTCTTAGACATCATCAATTGTTTAGAATGTAAGTTTCATTTTTTAAAGAGTTTCAGTTGATCTATCCTATGATTCTTAGATTTCTTTTTATATTTTCTCATACCTCATTTTTTCTTACAGTTGTTTTTCATCAAGCTCTTCTTCTTACTCTTAAACATTTTAATCCATTTTTATAAAATGAAATTTATTCAAAATTTATTAGTTTATATGAATACATTATCAACAAAATTTTACATTTCACTTTCCGAAATAAGATAAGAATCCTTTTTTTTTAATTGTCTAATCATCCTCTTTAATTGGACTTAAAGGAGTGTTTTATGAATTTTAATTCTTTTTTTCTTTCTTTGCAATTTAAGTTTCAAGTTTCTTCAACTTAGATTGGAAATACTCCTTTTCAGTCAATATTTAATTATATAATAGTGTGCTTTCTTATGCTTATTTCTCAGCTCTTTTTACTTCTGATTTTAAGAAATTTACCTCTTCAGCCCAACTTAACTTGGCAGTAATAAAATGAGTTTCAAGCTTATGTAATGATTATTTTAACTATTCCTAGTCTATTCTCAAATCTCTTTCTTATGAGTAATCAAGTTTTCCTTTTCTTAAATTTTATATTTCTAATAATTATGCTTTAATCTCTTATTATAAGACACCAACCAAATGTTCATAATTTTCTATTTCTTCTGCCAATTATCTATATAAATAATAAGTATATTTTACTCATTTTCATGTTTAACAGAATGCAATTCTATCTTCAATTATTCCATCTCCTAATATCTTCTTTTAGTATTTACACTTGCATTTGAGATTCTAGAGGATGCAAACAAATGACCTCCTCCATTTTTAGACTGGGGAGTTTATGGAATTTATTGATGAAAGCTATCTTCACTCTATTAAGTATTATGTGGTTTCTCTATTGAAATTTCTTCAGTTAGTAATTCACTTAAGAGATTTCCTCCTTATCCTTACTCTTCCTATTATGAAGGCAATCGTTCACTAGGTAAATGAATCTTCTGCATTTATAATTATTCTTCATAATAAAACTTGGTTTCTTGCAATTATTATTCTAAATGATTAACTTATTATTCTAAATCATCAATTTATTATTAAGAGCTATTATTATATTGTCTAAGTTCATCCATATCCTAAATTTATTTTCTTATATTATTCTCCAATTTAACATTTAATTTAACTTATTCGTCTCTTTGCTTTTAAAGAATTGTTTTCTCTCTCTGCAAATTGGTGTATTATTTAAATGCATCCTCACTTTTTCTGTCACTTTTTAGTACTTATTACAATGCAGATGATAATTTCTTTTGCATCTCAGCATTTCTGCCTTCATAAAAACTAACTTCCTTATATTTTTCATCCTTAACTTATTATAATAATTTCTCCTAACTAACTAATAACTTATCTTAATTCTTTATTTTCTCCTCATATAGATTAATCTAATGAAGCAAATCTTATTCAACTGATTTTGATTCATTAATTTAATGACTAATGCTGTCTAACACTCGTTCAGTAATTTCATGCTCTAATTTCATTAATCTTTCATCAAAATGCAACTAGTCTTATTCTATTTTCTAATTTAATTCCTATACTAATTATTTTAAATTTTAAATTTTAATATCCTTTTCATCATCTACATCAGAATGATGGATTTAATCGTGGAAAGTCTCTTAGATCTATGTTGAACATTCAAGTTGGCTCTTTAGATCTTAAATAACTTTTTCTTTTTCAACTATTAATGCAATTGCTGTTTCTTCCATTTTAACTAACTATTATTTTAATTCATCAATTTCCTCATTCTCTGGCTTTCTTTTTAAACTCTATATTTCTTTTTGCAATTTCAACTATAAATTTATTAGCATAATAAACTTCATTTGCTTTATATTCTAACAATTTATTTTCAGCTTCTGACAATTTTTATTCAAGTTGAGTGGCAAATGATTAAATTTCACCCTGTCCTATTGAACTAATTTAGGTGTTTATCTCATTCTCCAATTCACCCGTTCTCTTCCTCTCTCTCTCAAGTTCATTTGTGAGCTTTTTATCAATATAAGTGATACTTCTAATATCTGTTGTTTAAATTGAAATTCTGTAACCCTTAATTATTTTTAAAGTGCCTCTATTTCCACTTTTTAAGCTTGGATCTTGCCCACAAGCTAAAGTAAGAATCATAAATATTACAAACATTTCTTCATCATCAGAATGATTGTTGTTAGACATAGGTGTATATTATTAATATTTAAAAATAAATATTATTTATATTGTTCTTTCACAATTATAAAGTTTATAAAATATACTTTAAGTCTGAATTCACTTAATAGGTGTCAAAATACAAAACCTATTTAGACTTTCACATTTTGAAATTTAAAAAATTGGTCATTGTTAAATTTATAACAAAATTATATTAACTACAATCAGCAATGATCAATTTGAAAACAAAAGTAAGGATTTTCTCAAAATAGGGACAATTTGATTTTTCAGAAAACAAAAAGTAGAAAATTTATATATTAGAATAGCAAGAATTACTTTAGAAATAAGATTTCAATAGATTATTGCATATTAATTTAGTTCATTTAAGAAAGGTGACATCAACCGAGCAGATTACTATAAGAATTGTTATATTGTAAATCCTGATATTATAATTATATTTTTAATATAATTTATTTATAAATAAATTTGATAATTTTTAGATCATGTATTAATCCCAAGAAATATTGAGTGATGAAGAAGATTTTGAAACTTAATAATATCTAATTAGGCAAAGACAAAGTATATTTATCTGTATAATTTAAGTTGCTGAATTACAATAATAGTATTAATCGAAAAGGCAGGAGTTAGATAAATATTTAAAGACTGAAGAGTCCATAATATCTCCTAGAATATTCAATTATGAAACCAACTACTCTACAAATTAAACTTTGAAATGCCAAATATCTCCAGAGATGAATTAGATTTCAGATATTGCATAGAAACAATAAAATCAATATTTAACAAGTTTTTCGTCCTTGAATAAAAAGTCATAGATTACTCCTACATCTGAAAGAAGATATGAAGCCTAAATGAATTCAAATTTTAATACAAATAAAACATCCAAATCTCCAATTCAAAACCCAATTCTGTAACATAATAAAAAGATAATCATAAAGAGAGTAAATCACGAAACTTAAACTCAATTAACAGTCTCTTGTAAAATACCAACGAATTCCAAATTCACTATTTAATTACAATAAACCATGGACCCGAATTTGAATAAGGCCACTCAAACCACATAAATTTTAAAATAAAAGAATTTAACATAGAATACAAAACCTAAAGCTTAGGAAATACCTTCAATTAATAAATATACATAAAGATTTAAAACTGAATATAACTGTACAAAAGAGTAAACAGAATCCAGTAAGATTTAGCAGAATGGGAGAAAGGTTCCCATGAACAAAAAGCAATTTGATTAATGGTACAAATCATAGCAGAGTTGGTATTATTGATAGTTATTCTAGGGTGAACAAGACTGAAATGAAAGTGTTTCAATAAAGAATGGAGAAGGAATAAATGAATTAGGATATTGACTTGTAATAATAAAGCTTCAGCCCAAAGATTTTAAAACATTCGTAGGATATAGTAAATCAAAAGTTCTCAGGTTGCTAGTTTATGGAAAGATAATAGCAATATGACAATTATTTAAAAATGAAATAACAAAATAGAGAACATGAAGAAATTCTGGAAAGACAATCGTAGAAATTCAGAATGAGTCCAATATCTAAGTTAATAGTTAGAAGTGTGACTCCAAAATCATATAGAGATTATTCTAAAAATCATACTGCAAATACATCATGGTTTGGAAACCATAATACACAATGTTATTAATGAATACTATACTTTAATAAATACAATTATAAAATGAGAATTCTAATTACTTTATTGTTTATTCTAGAATCTATTTCAGGTGTAGAACAATGTTAATGTTCCAATTTTACTCAACCTTAATACTGTACATCATTTTAAGGATGCTATTGGAATGGGAAAAATTGTTATCAACCAAATTGCACAGAGATTACATAATAATCGAAATGCATAGCTCCTTTATGTGCTTGGTATTTGGAGAAATGTCATGATGGATAGTAGTGTAACTTTTACACAGATAAACAAATTTGCAATCAAATATTTGGATGTGTCGCAAATGATGGATATTGTCTTCCTTATGAAGATTGTAATTTTCAAACCTAAGACAAGTGTAATGGCATAACTCCTACAGGAATATAATGTTTTTGGAATTCATAAACTTAGAGTTGTCTTAAATTTTAAACTTGCAATAGATTATCATTGGATAATAATGATTGCAATTCTATACCTTATTGTATATAAAAGAAGAAATAATGTGAAAGTTTTAGTACCTTAAAATGTTCTGATATGGAAAGTGTATTTCTATTATAATTATTAGTAATATGATTGTAGCAGAATGGCATCATATGAATGTTCATGGTAAAATAATCAATGTGAATCTGTTGCTTGTTCCACTTATACAACTCCATCATCTTGCAGTGTTAATTCTTGCACTTGGAATGGATCAACTTGTTTATACTGCCCAGTAAGCATTATGTATACATATTTTCTAGGTTGATAATTCTTATAGTAATTTAATAATCACTCTAAATCTACTTATTTCGATAGTGTTATTTTGAAATATAAGATATATATAATTTATATATTTTCATTGTTTACTTTTAATTTCCAAATTAACCATCCTTTCTAAACAGTTTAAGTAATTTGTAGAAAGATTTGGCATCTTATACAAAGATTAGTCTAATAAATATAAAATTTGAGTACATTTTTTAAGCTTAACCTTGCTCTAAAACCCTTTAATTATTTCATCTGAAGACATTACACTATTTTGAAGTTAATCATTACTCAATTAACTCATGGTATTCAATATTTTTGAACTGTTGTTTATCACACTATTTAATTTCTTATAATCTTCAGGTTATTTAAATTCTTTTTGTTTCTAACTCGTCAAAGAAGTGCTCTGATTTTCTAAATTGATAAACATTGGGCTTTAAAGAGTAACACCTCTTGGAGTTGTATCAATTTTAATTAATTTTAATTAAGCCTTTTTTGAGGACTGCAAACTGCATTTATCTGTTTTCAAACGAGGTATATGACTTCTCGTAGTAGTGATACCTTAATGAGATCTTGCTGTTTATTTGATCAATTTTAAAGTATAGTCGATACTTAATACATTTTCACCATTCTTAAATTTTTCAATTAAAAGAGAATTTTGTTTTGATCTCATATGTTTTTTTTGTTCCAATGTAGGCAATTAAGAATTAGAACTTTATTAGGTTACCTCAGCTTAAATTAAATCTTCAATTTGAACATCAGGCAATTGTTAAACAAAGTCTTCTTATATATGGTTTTTTATCTATTAATAATTGTATGCTCTATGTTATTCACTATAAACCTCATCCTTAATGAAATTTAAAATATCTTAAAGATTTCTTTTAATATCCTTAAATACTCTTGTTTCTAGACAATTATCATTGTAATCTGCATTTAAAGTAAACTTCTGTTTCTTAATTTTTCTAATTTTGGCTAAAATAAGATCTATTTTTTTCTAGAAGGGCAAACAAATGTCGAAAGACTCATTTACTTAATAAAGTAAAAATTTAGACAAGAGGAATTCCTAAATCGAATTATTATATATACTCTAACATCAACTGATGTGATGACTTTTCCTATTGCCTAAATATCCAATCTTAACTATTATTGGACTTATTCAATGACATCTGATTTCAATTCCAATATTAGATTGAGCTTTTCAATTTCTTTTCTAAATTATTTGAATAATAATTATAATTGAATTAATATATCTCTATTTTTAATAATTTTAATCGATCTTAAAACTAAATATATACAAATATTTACTAAAATTAAATTTATTCTTTATTGTTTAAATATCTATTTTATCAGTCTACTTGCTAATTTTAGCAAACTTTGAATCTCTTAGAATTGTTTTAGTACTATTTTGATATTTTAAGGCAGGATTTAAAAAGTAGATTACTCTGTCTTAATCATATGCAACAGTTGGTGTTTAGAGATCAATGGTTTCAAACTTAAAATGTGCACATTTAATTTCCTAGACTCCATACCAAGTTGTAGATGTTTTTTCAAGTATAAAATCAAAAGTCACTTAACCCAATCTAAATGATCCTTAATTTTATTAATATGTATGATATTCCTTAGCAGTTTCAAATTTCTATTTATACAATAATAGTAATAAATACTCTTTAGTCTATGTTTTTAAGAATAATTCTAAGCAATTTTAGAAATGCCAATTAGGAATCAAATGAAATTACACTTTCAAAGTCATTCATAGGTTCTTTGCAATTTGTTAACACATCAAAATACTAATTGTTTTCCCTTAGATAGCATTTTAGCTTAATTTTAATATCAATTATACAAACATTTTATAGTTAAATCTATTTTCAAAAGTGTTATTTTTCTCAAGCTTTTTTAATTCTTCCAATCTATAAAATACATGTCCAGTAAAAATTAATAGTAGCCCCGGATCCTGGGGAGCACCAATCAAACAATGAGTTCTTCCACTTTTGATATCTCCTTTGAGTAAGAATCTAAAAGATTGCAAATCAATGAAAGCATCAACATTATATTGAATTAATTGTGTGTACATATCCATGTTTGTGATTGTCGACTTAAAAATGGTTTCAAATCTAAGCTAACTTAATTGTCATTACTCGTAAGTGTCTTTGACTAAGATGTGCTTAAGCTAGTCTTCCATTTAATGATCTCTAATAATAACGGAGTATAAATCCAAGATATCAATAGAACCTTTTAATATGTGGAGAAAAAGATACTAGGTTACTGCCGATCAGCAAAGTCTGGATTACGTACTCGTAAATATTTTAACATTAATATTGATTAATTTGTATTTTCTTTTTTGATTATAAATTATATTAAAAACTCACAGCTCATTCTTTTTCTATATTTGAGCAGCAGTTGAAGCTAATTTATCAGCGATTTGATTCTGATCTCTCGAAATATGAGTATATTTAACCTTCTTAAATAACTAAGCATAATCACATATGGCAACTCTAATGTCTTCCAAATGTTGTTGCTTAAAATTGATCTTACTATTCATCCCATCTATTACAAGCTAATAATCAATGATCTCAATACTTTACTATCTCCAAAACACTCTAAAAAGTTTATACCCAAGTTTAAAGTGTATCTAATTCCAAAAAACAAAGCCAAAAACTCGGCCACATTATTTGTTTACTTCCCCAAAGGTTAAGTTATTTCTTTAATTAGTTTCATTTTATCGAACAAGGCTATGCCAGCACCAGCAGGACCTGGATTAGATTTACTTGCACCGTCGAAATAAAGTGTATAAAGACTATCTGTTTAAATTGGAATAATTTCTAGATTTTTTGGATAATAATGTAAGAGAGTGGCAAATTACTAATCCAATTACTCCAATTTTACTAATCTCTATCTGCTAATTGATATTTTCTTCATTTTATCTTCAATCTCATCTAAAATACCATAAAAATCCTTTTAATTAGTATCATCAATTTTAAACTATTTATCTATCTTATTCTCCTATTTGTATTTGAATTAACTATTTTATATTTTTGTATTTTCTACATTATAAGTCTTATCGAAAACATTTTATTATTAAACACTAATTTCTCTTATTTATCCATCTTTTTAACTAAAAAAATAAAGCTCTGCGATACCTTCTCTCTCTTATTAAACTGATGTCTGAAATCATCATTTATTATAAATTTTCAACATGCTTCAATTCCAATAATTATTGTGCCTGAATGGCAAATTATTGTGCTTTTTCGAACTCTTTGAAATAGATTAATTTATAGCCATCAGGTTTTTCAAGTTTCTTAATGGCATATCTTTCTAATTAGAATACTCTAGGTTTCAAAGAATAATCTAAGAAAACAATTGCTGATTTTAATTTCATATAAATATTATAATTACAATTTATATTATAATTATATATATAAAAATAAACTACTCTTAGAGTGCAAATCTAGAATGAGAGTACTCTAAGATTTACTCTAAATTTATTAATAAAATATAATATCTTGTAAAGATTTTCACTCTTTTGTCCTTATGTAATCAAGTTAATCAAAGAGATGAAATTCTTTGAAATTTCATTTAGGCCTCTGACTTCATTTTTTGTATTTCTAAAAATAGAAAATTTATCAATAATCAATCATTCATACTGATGCCATTTTTGATTTTGAGATTTCTAGCATTGTAAAATTAAAATAAACAGATCAATACTCTTATTTTAACCAAATGGTATTTAATATTTGCAGTTGTCTAATGAGATTGTGTGCACTTAACAAATGAAGACTAATAAAATTTGAATTAATAAAAATAATGATATTTTTTTTGTTATAAACTGTTTTAGCTAAATAACTTACTAATCTTACCACTCATGTTCTATTCAATAAAATATCTGAATCGGAATAAGTTGACATTGTTGTGACAGAATAATTAAATATTAGAGATTATCCTTAAGCTAAGTATGTTATTGATGCTAATTTGGAATCAAAATAAAAGGGAAGCATTTGTTATGTTAAATAAGGATCAATATAATTTGGAGATTATTAAGTATATAGTTAAAAAATATTTGACCTACCTAACTTAGAAACTAATGATCCAGAATTATTGCTAAATATTCCTGTTTTGTTGAATATGGTGCACATAAAAAAAGCTTTTGCCATCGTTACAAGCAATAATTAAATATTACTCTATAGAGTTAATAATAACTCATCAAACATCATAGGTCACAATATTCAATTGGAAACGAACTATTCTTATCATCATCTGCGTCAAGAGGCAAAAATAATAGAACCTCCCTAAATTATATATGCAGATTAAACACAATACATTTATTTAATATATGCAAATTAAATCCTTGGAGGCAAAGTGAATTATGATAATTTAAGCTCATTTGCTCTTAGAAACATCACTAATGAAAGATTTGACTATGAGACTTATTATTTGGGCCAGATAAAAGTATTTGGTTGGCATATCTTTATTCCAGTAGGCGTGGATGGATTAGATATTTATCAATATTAAGAAAATGGAGATTGGTCTTTCATTGGGAATATGAACTCAAAAACTTTCTACAATAATTCTAGAAAAATTAAGATAGTTGATTTAGTATTTGGAGGAACAGAAAATGAAAAATATATGTACATCCTTGATGAATAACGTGGAATCATAAGATTTATAGTTTCGTCTAATTCCTCTAGCTTTTATGCTTAATTAGATCCTTAATTAGGTATTATTACTATTTCTAATGGAAAAACCTTAGCAGAACACAATAATAGTTATATTTTAGTATTACAGGAAATAGGAGTTATTAATACTTTAGTTGAAGTGGGCCTTCATTAAAATGGTTGGTTTAAAGTGAAAGTTCATTATTTGACTGGTAAATATTCAGAAATTGACATTCTACCTGAATTTACCATTTTGAGAGGAAAAGATGAACACAGAATAATTAGAACAGGTATTTATGAGAAATTTGAACCCAATTTTGTTTTCACTTAAAAGGATAATCTAAATTAAGAGAGATAGAATTCCTTCTATGAAGAATATGTCTTTATACCAAGTCTCATAACTATGGATTTCTATGATGTTGATAAAGGAGCACTGAATTCCAGCAATAACTTTAATTATAATATTACAAACTCGTTCTTAGTTGGCATTACTTCTTAATCAATAGTTTACATGCCATACATTGTTGAAAATCCATACATTAGATGCAATCCAAGAAGCAATAGAACTGTAGGAAGAACATTCGATTATAAATTAACTATTAATGCAACTCACTGCCCATAAAAAGAAAAACTAACAGGAATTCCTCCTTAATTAATCTTATGCCAATATGTAGATGAATTTAATATTAAAATAACTAATGGTGATGGCATCATTTATGATACAGAATCCTTGGCTTCTATCGTTATGGGATTTATAGTGCTTTTAATAATATTATCTATTTCATTAGCTTACTTATATACAAGATACAAATTAAAGTAAAATGGTCTGCGAAATGACATATAAGGGTTTGGAGAAAGTGGAAATCGGGAGGGATATGATATGGATCAACAATACACATAATAGTGATGTGAAATAGCACTTAATTTGTTCTAATGCATATTTTTATTAAATTTAGGAGTTATATCTTCTTGTCTAATTTATTCACCTATTTATTTTTTTCTCAAAGTTATTTATACATCTATCTAGATCTCAAGTTCTCTTACTTTTACTATCTTAATGTTCATCTTGGCTCACTTTCTATAGTACTTTTTCCTTTTTATTCTAATTTTTATTGAATCTACCTACTCTTTATTATTTAAATACATTATGAACATACTAAATTTGATTTATATTTAAATTATGTTACTACTTCTTTAAATTATAAAATAGAAAATTTGGTAGTCTTTTAATAATTATAATTATTATTATATATAGATCAAATCTTCCTAAGTTACTTAGTTATTGTTAAAGGCTTCAGCTTATTCACTTAATTCCCTTAATTAATTTTATAAATAGTATAAAAGTTTACTTTAGAGATTAAGTAAAAAAGAATTTCAAACCTATTATAATTATTTATTGCTTTAAGAATTTAAAAAATCACAATTATATTAATTATATAATTAAATTTAATCCAATGAATAATTTAGAGAAATCAAGCAATAGAAAAGAGTTGTGACTTAAAAAATTAGGTTATAAGACATTCTAGAGATAATAGCATGTGCTTCTAATCCTACTTAAGGCATAGATATTTTTCTAACATAGGATAAAAAATTTGTATCAACATAATTATATTATCAATTAAGTGTATTAATAATTTCTAAATCTTTGAATTAACGATGTTTTATTTTATTAAAATTATTTCTTCTTAATACTTAATATTAGGTGGTGATTTTAATTAATTATAAATTTAATTTGTGTTTAAATTAATATAAATTTGCAGTAATAATGAATCAACTCCATTAATTCGAGTATGAGAAATCAATTTTTAAAATGACCTGCATAAGAAAACATCTCTTAAAAGATATCACCTACTTTTTGTTCTTATTTAAAGACTATCTAATTTTGAGTTAAGTAAAAGATAAATTTATTTTCAAGGAACAAAATTCATAATAACCGAAATATATTTTTAAGATAAATCTTGATACAAAAGTGTATTGGCAATAGGAGAAATAAATTTATCACTAAATAGGATTGGAATATAAAGGAGAGGTGAAATATTTTAATGGTGATTGTGAAAGTTTAAAGTAGCTAAAAATGTTGCTAAGAAATAAAGTGATGTATCGTGATGTGAGTGACTACTACATACCTATCAAATAGTTAGGAAGAGGAGGTTCTTCAAGAGTAATTATTCTTTTAAGTTATAGGTATACTTAGTGACAGAGAAATGTACTAATTTACAATATGCTTCAAAAAACGTGGAAAAAAGATATTTGAAAGAGGATGGAGGATTTGTAAATATATAAATGAGTTTAGGAAGCACTATTTAATGAAATTAATTTGATGGCAACATTAAACCATGAAAATATCGTGAAATTGGAAGATGTTTATGAAGGAGAGAACACATTTTATATTATTTTGGAATACTTAAAAGGTGCTTCACTTCATGAGATGATCAATAAAGGAATTTTATAATTAGGATGGAGTGAGATAAAATCCATAATGAGGGTAATACTTACATGTAATTCAAGTCCTTATTAACAGCAGTAGTACACATGCATTCCTAAAATATTATGCATCGAGATTTGAAGCCTGAAAATATCATGTTTAAGAATTTAAATGATATAAGTGGATTAAGAATTGTAGATTTTGGATTGGCAACAAGTACAACTGTAGCCAGTTATCCATTTCCAAAATGTGGTACTCCAGGATACGTGGCACCTGAAATAGCAAATTTGAAAGACCTTTCAAAGAAATATGATAAAATTTGTGACATTTTTAGTGTAGGTTGCATTTTTTATAAATTGTAAATATTCTAATAATTCAATTAGAATCACTTCCAAAGATTTATTTCCTGGGAATGACTATCATGAAATCTTAAAACTAAATAAAAAGTGTGTGATAAATTTAGATTCATTGAGCATCTACTAAACATCTTAATCAGCTACAGATTTAATCTTTTAGATGCTTTAAATTGATCCAAAAAATCGTATTACTGCACAAGAAGCATTGGAACATCCATTTTTTACAGAACCATATTAAGATAGAAAAATAAAATTCTAATCCTAAAAAAAGACCTTAAGCAATAATTCTAAGCCTTGGCAAACGTTAACATTTAAGCAGTAAAGCTCGGATCGTTTATAATTACCTGAAATAAATCAAGATGTAAAGAATTAAGATGAAGACGATATTGGCATTGAAGATGAAAAAGCCGCGATTTAAATACTGCCCATCAATAGTCCTAGGTTTGTTCAATAAGCAAAAATCAAAAATCTAGCTTTAGCTGAAGGCTCTCCTAAGGAAATGCCTAAAAAAAGTGCCTTAAAGAAGTTCTCTACCTAAGAGTTTGAACATCTAACTCCTGATACACAATCGCCTGATTCTGGGGGAATGAATTTCTGCAATAGTCCCAAGGTCATCCAAGATGCTGCTATAAAGAAAACTTTTACTTTTTCAAAATATAATTAATAATAACAAGCAATCGATGAAGTTGATGATGAATAAAAATTATGATTTTTAGACTGAATTTTTACCATATTAAAAAAAGTTCTTTTTATTTCAATTACAATTTATATTTATTACTATAATTTAAGTACAATTTATCTGGATAATGATGCATACAACATAAGTATCCATATTTCATCATAACTAGACACCAAGAATAACAAATGATAATTTAATGGACTCAGTCTCAGAAATTAGATTTGGAAATAATGATATATTTGCTACAGGAGCTTGGGATGGCTATATCCGCTTTTATTAAATCCTTTCACAAACTGGGATCTAAACACAAATAGCTCTTGACTTTAAAAGCGTCATAGATTGTCAAGAACCGTAATATAATATTTATATTCTTAGAGTGCTTTCTATTAGTTGGAAGAGAGATATGTCAATGATATTTGCGGCTTTGGCAGATAATACAGTTAGGGCTTATGATATTAAAACAGGACAGAATATCGTTTTGGGTTATCATGATGATTGCCCAGCAAGATAAGTTTTTTGGAATGATGAATTGTAAGTTTTGGTCTCTTTGGGCTTTGACAAGAAGCTAAGATTATGGTCACTTAAATAGAACACTATGGGAATGAAGCCATCTCCAGTTTATGAATTAAATTTGACTAGCATACCAACTGTAGGTGAACAAGATTAAAATGAAAGGATGTTTGCATATGCTGATGTAGATTGCAAAATTAAGTGGTTTTCATGGGATAAAATCAGAGGCAACTTAAATAGCACTGTTGCCAGGAATATTTTTGAGATTGAAGATTCCAAGCTAGGAAATAGATCATAAATTAGCACTTTATCAATTTCCCATAATTCAAAGTAAATGGGATATTGTTCAGTGGATGGAAGAGGAGCAGTGATGGAAATGAATGACAGATTAGAGGGGCAAAATAGAATTGTATATAAATGTCACAAAAGAGAAGAGGATTCAAAGAATTCGTTTAAATCAGAAAAGATTAATACATATTATGTTGTTAATTCACTTCAATTTAATTGCAGATCATACGATTGGGTTAGCACAAGTTCATCAGATAGCACTATAATATTTTGGGATTTAAAAAAGAAAAACAAAATCACAACTATACCATTTGATGCTCCTGTTATTGCAAGTCAAGTGTCTCCAGATGGCTACTTCTTAGCCTATGCCACTGGATATGATTGGGGACAAGGACTAGATGGAATCGATAATAGATTTTCAAATAATGTTGGAGCTGTTTTCATAGATAAACAATAACTATTTTATGTTTGATAAACTTAACTCTAGTATTGATTAATGTAATATAAAATTCTTAATTATGGTTGTGTTATTTTTAGAACATATACATAAAGTTTGGATTTTAGGTGATAATTTAAATTATCAATATCCTATAATCTCAACTACTGTTTTTATTAATATTATTAAATTCCTCCCTTTTTTGGGTTCTTTCTATATTATAAGGGTATCAATTCATTTAGCATATAAAATATAATATTATCTACTTCATCCATAATAATATATTTTAATGTTGTTATAAAGAATAAAAAAGAATATTCATCTTTTCATTCTTTGCCCCATATATTTATTCCATAGATGAAATATTTGTAATATGGGATTTTTATATTAATTTAATAAAGTTTACCAAAATGGGATCATCTTTGTGCTTTTAAGATTCTTAAAAATCAACCAATGAACTCAAACTGAGATGTAGCAAACAATACAAATTAAATGGACCTCCGCATTTATTCAAACCAACTCCAATCGTAAGTGTTTTGATGTTTGATGAATAAATTGAGAAGGAGGAATCTCCATAAACTGAAATTTTAGAATCTTTAAACAATATATAAAATGTTTAGTAGTTTTCATATATGGCTCAATAGTCAGAAGAGATCGATAGCACTTAATCTAAACCTTGGATAAAAAAAACTTATGCTATTTAAACTATTAATGTATCTAATTTTAAAAATGATGAAAATAATAATAAAAACAATAATTATCAATTAAGAAACTCCAGTAGAGAACAAAATATATCATCAGGAAAATACAAAAACCTGAAAGAAGATTCGAATGTTTCAATTTAATTGGGCCAATCAGGATCAATTTCAATTAATACTTTTGACAAAAAGTAACTTAAAACTAATAGCCAATACAAGAATAAATGATTATAGATTATATTTTACCAAATTATAAACATAATATTTTCTCAATTAATATTCCAGCAACTTCCACCACTAAAAATTCTATAAATAACTTCTTGTATTTTTAGAAGCAAAAATAGAAAGGATGAAATTTCTTTAAATCACTTATCCTATCCTCAGACTCTTAAATGATATTCTCAAATTATACTTACCATTCAATCGTTTATTGATCATATCTTTCCCCATTTCTAAGTTATATTTTTACAAAATATTAATTAGAATTAGTCTTAAGGATTTAATAATAGGATTAATGTATTATTATGGCTAAGAATATAAGCTCTTCTAAATATCTAATTAATATTTGGCTTTTTCTAATAACAGTTTCTGATTTATTTAAAATATAACTAAATTAGCTTTATAATTCATTAATAATTTTGATATATATATGAGTATTATTTAAAATACCTCTCAAGAAATTAGAATTAATAATCTTTAGACTGATTTAAAGTAATTGTCAACCAATACCAATTTATATATGCTTTAATCATAAGATGAAATAGCAGCCTTAAATGAAAGGATTAATCAGATCATCAATTAATAAAATCAGCATGCTTCCGTATATAAATGATTCTATAGTTAGAGCTTAAATGTTATTCAAGAGAAATTGAATCAGAGAGTAGAAAAAATTTTTTTGGAACATGAAGCAAGTCTAATAAATAAAATAAAAGAAATTGAAGAGTAAAAATTAACGTAACACGAAGAAGAAATAAAAAAAAGAGAAGAGATGTTCAATAAATTTGTGCAGCTTGATTAGTAGGTAGATAAATTGGATAAAAAATTTGAATTAAAGGCCAACGACAAGTTTATAGTTAGTACTATCTAAAATAATCTTATGAATAATCAATTACTTCAGCAAACATTAATCGATAAAGCTATTAAGTTAATTGATGATCTATTAAAATAGAAAGTTGAGGAAATGTAAAAATGGACTGACGAAAAGATTTAATAATAATATTATCAGATATAAAACTTTTCCACTTATTTGAGAAAATCAGAAAGAGTAGTTGAAGAACTCTAAAGTGCCATTACATTAACCAAAAATTCAACCATAGAATTTGAAAAGGAGTTTACATAATAGATAAACGACATTTCTTAAAAAAACCAAATTTTTAAGGAAACAATCACAATCCAAACTAAGGGGTATCAATTCCAAATTATTATAGCATGCTCAATCAAAGTTCACAAATAAAATAATAATTTGATTAATTAGAATAAAAAATTTAGCTTGAGTTTTAAAATATAATAGAAAAACAAAGTATCATCACAAACTAAATTCAAACTAAGGTGGATCAAATGAATCATTATATACAATTTTGTTTGGATAGTTCAGAATAAAAAGTATATTCTCTATGCAAATAAGAAGATTAAGAATTGATGGAAAAATTAACAAACTAGTTTGAAACTAAATTTAAAACTCTTTAAGAGAAAACAATCTCCTTAGATTAAGAGCTAAATAAATAATCAGAAATTTGTAACTAAACAAAAGAAAAATTAAATAATTTCTTAAAGAGCTAATAAGTTCATTAAAGGCTGTATCAAAAAAAGGATGGAATGCCTTAATACAACTCGAAATAAAGTGTAAAGGATTAGTTATTAGTTATTGAAAATTTATTTAGATATATTTCATAAATATACTCACAAATACATAAATCAATCAGAACAGATGAAAATGAATAACTCTAAACTATTCAAGATTCTACAAGGCATTCATAATCATGTTCTTAAGTTGTCCTCCTTGTAGAACAATGCTAATCAACAAAAAAAATACATGTATCTCCAAATAAAAGTCCTGAAAGAGTTGAAAAAGTAGCAAGTGATAAAATGGATCTGAAGGACTAAAGAACATTGGTGTCCTCTGTGGAGAGAAATAAAGGGGAAATTCATAAAAATTAAGATAAAAGCCCTTTAATCACTCTAGAAAAACCTATTTAAGCTGCTAAAATTGGGGAAGAAATATTTAGTGATTAAAAGTTATAAGAAACAAATCATCACCCATTATTAGTAGTCGGAAAGAGTAGAATTATTGATTAATATTAGCCTAATTGTTGGATATAAGACCATAGCAAGATTTATTTTCTTTACAATAAAAAGTCAAGAAAATTCAAGGCATCTTAGGGGTCGACCTACTTGGCTAAAGACAGAATAATAATATTTACTAAGCTTAAAGGTGTAATTCTGCTTCCAAAAGACTACCCAAGATAAATTCAAGAAATTTAAATTTTAGTATTGATTGAAATGAAATTAAAAGCATCAACAAAATCATATTACTCTTTAAATTTGTTTTAAACAACGTGGTTCACAATTTATAAATTTCCTTATATAAATTAAAATTGTATTTCTCATGCTTAATTAAAAAAGCATTCCGAATAAGATGTGGACTCTTTGATTGAGTCAATGCTTAGATTGATTGAATACATGACTAATAACCCTACTATTAAACGTTAGATTTTTGAATCCTTCAATTAAGAAGACTTAGAAAAAATATTGAAGAATTTGAATGAAAAAAAAACATTTTTCTTCGAAAAGTCTCTTGCATATTTTTATGTATTGTTCTACAGAATGAGGAAAATTGTCAAAATTTTATGAGATCTTTTGATCTAATTCCAATAAATTCTAAGATAGTATTGAATGGTATCCCAGAAAAATTGAGTTAGCACATGACAAGTGATTTATCATAAAAGCTGAACTAAATTTAACCTTCTGAAAATAGTTTATATTGGTATTATCCTTTGTAATTGACAAGGGAAAAGCTGCCCAACCTATCTTATTTTTAACTTAATTCAAAAGAGTTGAAAAAATAAGTTAATGATTTTGTAGATCCATCAGAATGCATGATTGGAACAACTTATAGAAAGTTACCCATACGAACTCCTTAATCAGATATTTAAAATTGGAACAATAGGCATGATCATCATCATAAAATGAGCATCCATCCTGTGAACAAATAGATGGCGTCTTTGATTTTGCCGTTATAAGAAATAAATAATCCAAGATATTACTAGAGATATGTAGCAAAATTTTTCAATCAATAATAATACAAGAACCTACTTTCAAATACTCAGAGAGAAGACATTTCATTTGAGAAACAACAGCCAAGATCATAAATTCCAAAGAATAAATTTTTATGATGGAGAAATTCTATATGAAGATAAAGGTTGCATTTATATATGATCAAACATTTACTTATATCAACCAACACTTCACCTTTCTTCCAATTTTAATTGCACATCGTAATATATATTATTATTATTAAAATTATTATAAAGAAATATGGATATTAATTAGAAGAGAAAAATTAAAGTCAAAACAATATCTCAATAAGTCTTTGAGTTCGAAGTACCTCAAGATGTATTCAAACTAATATAAACATAGATAACGATAGCAGACTTAAAAAAAGAAATTTTTGAGAAATCTTAAGTTCCAATAGATAGATAAAGATTGATCTTTTTGGGAAAGGCACTTCTTGATAATTAAAAATTAAATGAAATAAGTATTGAATAAATAGACAATTAGTTAAGGAAGATGATCAAACAATTCATTTGATGGCGATTACTCATCCACAATAAACTCAATAGCCATAATAAAATTAAAATTAAAATCAATAGTAACAATAGAGGTTTTAATTTATGCCTGGAATTCAAACTACTACATAAATCCATATAGGAGGAGGAGGAGGTAATTCTTTTTATATTTCTGCATTAGATGGCTAAACATTTATGCCCCCAGAATTAGCAAATATTCTATCAATGTTTGGATCTCCAATAATAAGGACATAATAACAATAGTAACCTCAATAATAATAGGCTTAAACTACTCAATAAGGTTAATAATAATAACAATAGTAGCAATAATAATAATAATAATAATAATAATAATAATAATAATAACAATAGTAGCAATAATAATAATAATAGCAATAATAATAATAATAGCAATAATAATAATAATAGTAATAATAATAATAGCGATAATAATAATAGTAAAATTTACCAAATTAATCTACACCTACTAGATAATAACAACCAATACCTTAATAATAAAACCAACCATAATTATAATAAGTAACTTTATTGCCAAATGACTAATCTGGTGTTGGAGTCCTTCTTCCTACAGAACACATTCAATCACTAAGTAGAGTGCTGGGCAATTTTTATTAATCTTCATTACTTGGATTATAATTTTAATTGCCCTAAATGACAGAGCATAGAAATAACATTACAGTCTTAGGTCATTATATTCATTAATTGTGCTATGTTCTTTAAAGATCTTTACCAATTTTGTAAAGAGTGTCAGATCTTTTAATGAGGGAACCATTTTTAACTTCTGAAACATAAAGAAAAGAGACAATGCAATTAAGTAGAGACTCTGCATCAGTTGTCTAATCAATAAATAGAATGACTAGTGATTTATATTCTGCTTTGCTTCGATTTTTAGATCTTGGATCTGCTCCAGGATAATTTTCATTATAGGTACCAAACTAATTAATAGCCCACAATCATCACCACCGTCATCATCATGGAATTATCAATGTATAACATTAACATATTGCCAGAAATCCATAATAATAATAATAAAATCAATAAGCTTAATAATAACGGGCAAACTAATAATAATAACCATAATCGACTTAGTAATCATAATCAACATAATAATCTTAATCATAATCAACATAATAACAACAACAATAACCTTAATAAAATTTGTTTAACTCATTAGGATAGATTTTAAATTAATTTTCATAAAATCAAAATTTATAATAAAATAATTAACCATAGATGCAGGTTGAATAATAAGGGGATTAGATTATTATAGATGCTTAAGTTTTAGAGATTGATGCAGGAAGTGAATCAGAATCAAATTAAGCAGGAAATTAATAATAAAATAACAATCCTTTAAATGCTATCAATAATTTAGTGAAGTATTATTCTTTTTATAATTTAGCAACATAATTAACTTAGAATAATAGTAAAATTAATTTTAACCACAACAATAATTTGGATCTGAGCAATAATCTTAACCTTAAGGTCAAAATTAATAACCCCAATAGCAATAGAGTACCCAGAACGTACCTTAATAAGCACAATCGATTATGTCTGGTTTACTTGGAAATCTAGGGCTAGGAGGTCAACAAGGAGGAGCCAATTTATTAACTATGACTTTACACGAACTTATGATGTAAAATTATTCAAATCAAATGGAAGATGGTGAAATAGAAATTTTATAAATATTTTCTTAAGTTAAAATAGGGGATATAATGGCTGCATAGTTCTCAGGCAACTATTCATTTTTGGATGGATAACAAGGAAGCATTAAAGAAAATTTACATAATTTAATAAGCAAAAATGAAGGAAGAATAGAATTAATAGAAAAAATAGCAAATTCCTTTTTATCTACAGTAGTTCCTAAAGGAAGCGATTAGCATTTATTAATCGAAGGATTTGAACCAAGAATTACAGCTTCTGAAGCTCTTGTAAAACATATTAAATAATTTTTCTTAATAATTGAAAAGGACTATACAAATAGTGTTGAAAAGTTTAGTGATGCAATAGTCAGTCAATTCTTTAAAATGATTGGAGAAACTGCTTATGAAGTTTCAGAAGGATTAGTCCATGGTCTTGATGATTACAAACTAGTTATATAGTAATAAAAATTATCATTATTAGGGCAAACCTTTAGGAGTTATTAAGAAAATCTGTTGGCCAAGAAATGGCTATGATGTTTAGTGGTATGCTGTTTATGATGCTATGGGGCATGATAGAAAGGTCCTATAATTAACATAAAAAATCTCTTGAATAATAGCAATCGAAGATATAATAAGAAGAAGAGTTAAATGAGGAATAAGTAAGATTAATTAGTTATAAATTTAGTTGTTGAAGGAGATTAATGAGGCTAGTTAAGCATGCAAATAAAATAGCCAAATTAATTTTTCTAATGAGTATAAAAAAGGAGATCCAGACTATAAAGATTTTGATTGATATATATTTGGAATTTGTATGAGAATATTATTATCTAATTATCTACTTGTAATAAAAATACTTTAAATGATCTAATTATTTTTCGAGTTTTATTTTTATTTTTATTTTTATTTTAAGAAAACAATTATAATCTTATCAGATTATTAAATCAATAAAAACACAAAAGAAAGTAGAAAATCTTTATTATATTGGTTTATAAAATCGATTTGTATAACTGTGTATCCAAAATTTCATATACTCATTTTTTTCAAGAAAATAGTGTTAAGTAATTATTTTTGATAATCCAGATGAAAGGAAGGTTATTTCATAAATGCATAGTTAAGTTTGTTGAATCTTCTTAAGAAATTAATTATAATTATTATTTTCCCTGATTAGTATTATATTTAATTAATTTTTTTTAAATAAATGTCTAACAAAATAGAGGAAGAGAAGCCTGCATAACAACCATAATAAATACAAAAAATCTTTGATGAAGATGATGATGATTTCGAAGAATTTGAATAAGAGGGTAGCTATTTAATATGATAAATGATAGATTTGGAAGTGAATCATGATTTGAAAATAGATATCAAATAATGGAGAGAGGACTGGGATGATGAAGATCTGACAGATGAGTTTTCAATTTAATTGAAATAAGAATTAGCCCAAAAATGATATATAATATTAAAAATTATGGACTTTTATTAAATAGCTGCTAAAAAATTACTTAAATTTGAATTCTACTGATTATGATATCAACATGAAAATTAAATACATGAGAAAAGATGTTCTTAATACTTATGCGACTTTAAGTAGGAAGAATATAAAAGAGTTCTTACAAACATGCCAAAAGAATTAATGGATAATTAACTTTATTAATAGAAGAACTTAATTTATAAGAAAGTGGAAATGGAATAATCTATGGGTGGTGAAGAAACAATATTTAATTAAATTTGTGCAAAATTCGCTTTGGTTATGAGGACCTAAATTTCAAATTGAGAAATTTGTCGAAAAATTGTTAAGTTCAGGTGAGATATTAAAGATACCAATAAATAAATTCCTTAAGCCTTAATGACAATAGACAATTAACCTTGTTTTCTTCTTATTCAAGCCTTTAAATTATGTTGTTAATAAAATGCATTGTGTATTTCTAATTTTTTTTGGAGTTTTGGCTGTCTTTGTTTGTAATAAGCCTAAATCTACATAAGAAAACGAAACAAGAGGAAAGTCAATTGGCATTACATTCCATTTAACTATTCTTTCAAAGGAAAAATTGGACTTGTTTTATCTCCTTGAATTTGTTCATTAATTTTTTTTCATAGTATATTTGAAAGGAATTTTTCATCGTGGTTTTAGATACGAGATTTAGAATTATTTATTTTTTAGTTTTTACATCTATTCTAATTTTATTTTGAGTATTTGATAAACCATACTGGAAAAAAATTAAATTTTTGTTCATCATTCAGAAATTGTATAATTTTAAGCATAAATAAAAATGATTATGTATTTTATACGCTTAGATTATAATCAGTAGTTTTTTAAAATATTAAAAAAATCTTAAGGCACTTTACTTTAAACAATTATTTTCCTTTTGTTCTTTTGGTTCTGGTTTTTGAAGATTTTTTTTAAATCGCATGTGTTTAGTAATAATAAGTCCAAAATTCTTTCCGTTGATTATGGATACTCTTTATGTCCACCGCTCTTAATTTTATTTAGGTCTTCCAAACATTTTTCGATACTAAAGTTGTTTTATTTGGCATTAATATTTTCAGATATGACTGGCAACACTGGAATCTTGATTTTATCCTGGTTACTATGTTAAGGCGATTATTTCTTATTTAAAACAGGGAGAGAATATCTTTTCGGTTATTTATCTAAGTTATTGCTGATTTAGAAAGGGTTCTAAGAAGAATAGATATTATATTTACAGAACCTCTTTTAGAACTTTATCATTAATGATTTTATTATCGCCTCTTTATCTATTGTCTTAAATGCAATATAAACTTTTTTCTAATGTTTTTATTTTCTTTAATTCTTCTAAACTTACATCAACAGAATTGTTGTATCTAACATTATAGCCACATGAATCCCTTCCCAATTTTGTTGTTTTATGTTTAATTTGATGTGGTTAAGTTACTTTATAAATCTAATTGATGGTAGTTTTATCAACTGACTTCCTAGGACTCATTACAGGATGTTAAGTATTCACATGAACGGAGTATTTATTGTCATATTAAATATGAGTATTATCTATAGAATTTCTTAAACGAAGAGCTAAGCTGGATCTCATAATATAAGTGTGAAATTTAAGTTTATAAATCAATTATAATACTCTATTCATTAAATAAGAATTCCTAAATTATGTTACTAATGCATCTTTCATTTAGTTATTTCTATAAATTATAGTTATTCCTAAATTTGATAGCAATGATTGTTGTTTGTTCCTAAAAATATGAAACAACTTTCAGTTTAAAACTAAAAATGAATACATTTAAAAAATATTAATAAAGTATCTTCTGTTCTAACAACCCTAATTGACTAAATAAATATTAGTTTAAATAAATTTGTATATATAAATATTCTAAGTTACTTTGAATATAAAAGTATGATATTCAAAAATAAACTTCTTCAATTACATTTTTTTTATTATATTTTTACACAAAAATTAGTTCTAATTAATTATAATGCACCCTATATAATAATATATAAACTTAAATATTTTGTATTAAAAATTCATACTAATTGCTAAAGAAAATAATTAAATTCTTTAGAAAAAATTTCATAATTATATGGACTAGTATTGGGGAAATGCTAACACTCAAACCAATTACGAAAATTAAGAGACATCTCAGGACATGAGACCATTGAAAGGATATAAAAATTAGAATTAAAATATGTAGAACTAAAATGGAAATTATGATTAGTAAGTTGGAGTCGCGCCTCTTAAAGGGTATAAACAAATGAATTAGGCTTCTGGATCATATTTTAATTAGTAAAATGATTACATACCCAAAAGAGGATATTAATAACATAATAAAAAGCATTAATCGGAGAAAACATACTATAATTAATAAATGTAAGTTCAGGCTCGCCAAACTGATTAAGGATGTTACTCTGATTAATAACAATAATTCGGATAATATCCTGAAAGGTAAAATAGGGAACAATATAACCGTAAAGATAACCAAAGCAGGGGCTATTATAATACATAGAATAATGCAGGTTATTAGTAAAATAAAAATTACTAAATGTATTAACTGCCTTAATAATCTAATAATATTTTCTATTAATTCCAAACTTAGTTTTTAAGGGCTAATGATTATTATGACATGAATGAATTAAGGGCGAATTTTAACCCATTAAAATAACTAAATAAAAATCATATGCCCTCTCAAGATTCACATTTTGTTCTTATAAGACCTAAAAATGGATTTTAAAATATTCATAAGGCTATCAAGTATGGGATTTGGTGTTCGAGTTCTTTAGTTAATCAAGAACTATCATAATTATACGCGGATAAAAATAAATCTGTTTATTTAATATTTTTTCCTTTAGGCTAAAATTCTAAACTTATAGGAATTGCTTAAATGATAAGTGATTATGATCCTAATTAGACTTATAAATACTGGGATAACGATGGAATTTATAACGGCTCTTTTGAATTAATTTGGCATTCAATAAAATATGTTGATCCAGAGAGCATTCCAATTTTGACTTGGGAGTTTCGGAGAGGAGATATAAGACAATATTATATTTAGCAATTGAGAGATGGAAATTAAATCGGATATCATGATGCTATGACAATATTTGAAATATTTAATGAGGCTCCTGAGAACCCTTCTGTTTTTGAACACTTCAATGTGTTAGACATTTAAGAAGTATCTTATATATATTAAAGGAAAAGGATTAAAAGAGAAGCAATAAATTGAAGAATTAGGAAGAATAAGAATTTTAATTAAAATAAAAAGGATTAAAGAAAAAATATTAATATTGATGATTTTCTATAATTGATTTAATTTTTATTATATTATGAGTATCACATAACAGGAAGGTAGCACTTTATTGAAGGATTTGGAGAGAATTAGAAAAAAAACTAAAATTTCTAATAAAGTATTAAATGGCTAGCTTGATCAAATCATCACAGAAATTGAGGAGGCTAAAACAAACAATGACTATTCTTAATTAAAAGATAAATTACAAGTATAATATTTATTAAGGAAGAACGAAAAACCATTGACAAAAATAAAACAAACAAATAATGACTGCTATGCATATATTTCGAAGTTAGGAAAAAACATGGATAAGGTATACAAAAAAAATTTACAATATGGACAAGAACATATTGAGTTGGATTAGAATGTCCTTACAGAAGTTAGAATTAAAAATTATAAATTTAGTTAATAAAGACTCATCTACTTAGAGATGGCGAGTTTGAGGCTTATGAGACTTTAGTAAAGGAATCAGGTTCAGTAGACTCTAATTTCCATTAATTTTTTACTGAAGCTCAGAGTATTGTGAAAGATTTAAAAGAAAAAAAATTAGATTCAGCTATATAATGGGCAGAAAATAGAGGAAAGAAATCTGTTAATAATCTACTTTATGAGTTATTGAAACAAAGAGTATTATTTAGGACTCTATAATTTAGGTGATATAATTAGTGTAAACTGAAGGTATTAATGTAGCCATTAACTTTATGAGAAATAGTGCTTCATTTTAAGAATAAAGTCAGGGCAGATTATATGAGATATGCTTAATTACTTATTCATTATTGATATGGCCGAATGTTGAAAATACCAAATACTTCTATTTATATGATAATGAAAGAAACTGGCCCAGGGTTCTCAATCTATTTTTAGAAGTTGCAGCTAAATCTTAAAGTATTATCAAACTTAATTTATAGATATTTTAACTAAATCAGAAATTAGAACTGTATTTTCAGCTGGTTGTTTAGCCATGCCTAAATTAATTAAATATAACTAAATCACACGAAGTAATAATTTAGAATAATGAATAGATAGATCTTCTGAAGTTCTTACAAATGATATCCCTATAGATATTGAAATTGGGAAAGAATATAAATATCATTCATTCTTCGTATGCCCTGTTTCTAGAGAAGTGACAAACTCTGATAATCCTCCAGTACTATTAAAATGCGGACATGTCATTTCTAAACTATCTGCTCATAAAATGATTGCAAACAAATAAAAATTTAAATGTCCGACTTGTCCAGTTGAAACCAAAGGAGTAGATTTACCTGAACTAATATTTATTTGAAACATACCTAAACTATGATTTTTATTTCTCACTTTTTAATTAGAATTAATATAATATAATAATTTCAAATGGGTAAACCGTTAACAGCCGAGCTCATAGTTCAAAAAACAAAAAACGATCAACTTTTCTAAATTAAAAACCTAAATTTATGGGGAAACGACATTGATGATTTGAAAGCATTGAGACAATTACCAAATTTGGAAGTGCTTTCATTATCTGTGAATAAGATTTCAACTCTCAAAGATATAGGCTGTTGCCAAAAATTGCAAGAACTCTACCTTAGAAAAAATTGTGTTAGTGATATAAAAGAATTGAGATATTTGGTTCATTTACCTCATTTAAGAGTTTTGTGGTTGTAAGGTACTCAATTCAAAAATTACCTTAGACAATCCTTGTGCAGATCATCCTAATTATAGAGAAATTGTAGTTAAGTACCTGCCAAACTTAGTTAAACTTGACAATACTACAATAACAAATGAAGATAGATAGAATGCTTAATCTGTCAATATTTTAGAAGATGATTTTGAAGAATAAACTTAGAATAGCAATATTCTAAATAGACCGAAATCAAGTCTAAAAGAATCTCCTAAAAAACAACCATTTATTTTCAACCAACAAGAATAATAAAGGCCTATAACCCCTGATATCAGTTCAAATCAATAAAATATTTAAAATAATAATAAGAACATAGAACGAAATGAAAATATACTATGTGCTGTTCTATCTTTAATTAAAGAGCTTGATGATAGTTCTTTGGAAGTTGTAAAGAAAGACATAGATAGAAAGTTACAGAAAAATAACCTTAAGCGAATTCTTTGAATTAATATAACAGAGCTCATTATTCATTCCTTTTTTTTGCTAAAACTACATTCATTAAAAAATAAATTTACTTTTTAATTTAATTGCATTAAGTTATTGATCCTCCTCTGAATCCTATTCGTTTGGAGATTGTTTTTCTATTTAATTGATCTCAACTTCTTTATCCTTCTTTTCAACATCATCAATTTTCTGTAGTTATTAGGTTTTTAGTAAAGCTTTCATTTGAGCAATGAAATCCTATTTACTCTATAAAGGCAATTACACTTTCGATTAGTCATCTATAGGTACAATATTTTGCTACTAATCATCTTGATTAGTTTGTTATGCCTAAAACTAAGACTCCTGATTTGCCAGTGAATTTTGGTGGATATTGTCATCTCTAATTTATTCGTTACCTTTTTAATTTTATTACTAGTTATTGTTGTTGATTTTAGTTTGTTCAATTTCATTCTCAATCTCCATATTGGATTTAATCATACCTCTATCTAATTATTGATCTTAATCTTTTTTTGAATTTTGATCTACTGATGGTTTCTCTTAATCATTTTTTTAGATATCTTTCTCTTTATTGTTTTCTTTTATTTCTTTATCTTTCTCTTTCTCATTTTCTTTCTCTCTTTCTTTATCTCTTTCTCTCTCTCTCTCCCTTTCTCTCTCTCTTTCTTTTTCTTTCTCCTTTTTCTTTCTTTTTTTACTTTTTTGATAATTTTTTATCAATTAGATTTGCTTCTGGAATCGACTTCTAATAAATAGTAATTATATATTTACTTAACTTTTTCTTTTTTTTATCTTCTTTTTTCTTTTCTTTCTCTTTATCCTTATCCTTGTTTTTCTTCTTTTCAGATTTATTTTTTTTATCCTTGCTTTTTTTTTTAATACTTTTTTTTTCTTTGTTATTAGGTGATGGCTCTTATTTATCTTTATTATTTTGGGTTTGCTCTTATTGAATTTATAATTAAGGCTATTAAGATTACTATTAGGATGGTTAAATAGAATTCTATTTTTTTGTTTCTAAAGGTCTTTCAATCTTTTCAGGCATGCCATAGATTTCGCTATGTTAAATTACATAAGCTACTCTATTGGCTTTTGCTAAGATTCTTCTTGCTTGTCTAAAATCCATCTTTTCGAATTCATAAATATTATATATGGTGGCAGCTACTTACTCTATTTATGCCAAAGTAGCTTCTAATAGAATCCACCATGGTTAAGTGGGCATGGGATGATTACAGACCCTCAATGCTAAATACAAAGCTCCTGCTGCAATAACTTAAGGTGGAAAATGTACGCATAAATCAGTCATGTATGAATCGTTCAAGTAATACCAAGCTTTTTGAGCTACCTGCTTATCGACCTTAATAAAATGATAAAATGATTCTATGAACTTATGCGGATGATCTGAAACTTTAAATAATTCAAATCCGAGTTCCTTAAGAATTAGTTTTTCTTATTTAATTATGATGTCCCTAGACATAAATGTTAATTTTACAATGGAGCTTATTTTTGTTTTTGAAACACAGAGCTAAATGCACCTGCTATATACCATGTTTTCAGTAATGTTTCTTCAACCTTGCCTGCCAAATACAATGAAGCCATTGAAATTTCGCGGTAATCAAAATCCACGAAAGAATTCCTAAATATTTTGACATCATTTGTAATACTTAGCAAAAAATCTATGAAATATTACTAAGCTTGTAATGGCTGTTGTTAATGGTAATTTTAAGTGATTGCAGGCTTGGAAACAAATTTAAGCACCGTGCATCCTAAGAGCCTATTCATCCTCATAACTTAAACCATCTGCTTAAGTCGGAGTTTGAATATCCATTGGTAAGTAAATGTTTTCATGTCCCTCTGGGGTGATTGTTTCAAGTGATAAATCAGAGCTATGTAAAAATCTTTCTTTTAAACGATGAAATAAATATTTTTTTTCATACTATTCTTTTGTTAGGCCCGCATTTTGCTCTATGCTCAAAATCTTTTGACGATCATGACATTTCAATGACATTAATTTTCTTTATTTAATAAATTATTATTATACAATATATTTCAAATACTTTTTTCATTAGATATAAATATATATTAAACAAAAATCCCTTATTTATTGCTCAGCAAATAATTAACTAAATAATTTATAGAATAGATCAGAATTTTTTATAATTCGCTTTATTCTTCTACTGCCATTAATTTGCTTCATCATAAACAGTTTGTTATAAAATCTCTTTTTTCAATTCCATTTTGTCCCAAGCCCAATCAAAATATGAATTGCACCTAGGTTCGTCTTCCTTCGAATGCAATCCTTCAAAATAGGGATGGCTCAAACACTGTTCCACTGTATATCTTTAAAAAGGACTAAAAGTTAACATTTTAGAAAGCAAATCTAAGCAAGTTGGATTCACTTTTTAAAATAATTGATTAAAATTTTATTTAGTTCTTTTTGGCAAAGATCTTCAAAAATAAATAAATTATATTACTTAATATATTTGATGGCTCCTTCATTCGTAATATATTTCATTTCTTCATTTGAAGGTGTGCCCAAAACTGCGATTATCCTTTATATCTACTCTAAATAGTCTTTTCCAGGAAATAAAGGAGTTCTGCCAAGAAGTTCAGCAAATATGCATCCAACGCTCCAAATATCGATTGCCTTAGTGTATTCTGATGCCTAAAGAATTACTTCGGGTGCTCTATACCATCTTGTTACTACATATCTATGGATTTAGAACAAAATTACTCTGTTTTATTTTCATCCTCGATTTCGAAACCTCTAGCCAAGCCCAAATCACAAATTTTTAAATCACAATTTTTATTGACTAATATATTGCTTGGTTTTAAATCTCTATGCATGACATTAGCTGAGTGAATATATAACAACCCTCTCAGAGTTTGATACATAAAATATTGAATATGTTCCTCAGTTAAATCTTATCTAGAATATATAACTCTATGTAAATCTGTTTCCATTAACTCAGTAACGATATAAATATCATTATAACCAGTCTTTGTTTCTGGTTTTAGGATGTCCACTAAACCAATAATATTTTCGTGTTAAAAAAATTAAAGTAACTTAATTTCTCTAACAATTCTCTTTGCATCGATCAGGTCTTCAAAAGCATTTTATATCTAATTACTTACGATTATACCTTTTTTATAGCAACCTTTTTATTTTTAACTAAATCGACACCAGAGCAGACTACACCATATGCTCCATGTCCAATCTATTTTTGACATTCGTATCGATCATCAACAACAAATTAAGTTCCTAAAATTCTTCATTTAAATACCTCCAATTTCATAAATATTTCTACCATTAATACTCTTTTTTTTCTAATGCTTTGTATTAAGGCTGATTTGCTGTAATGGCTATGATTTCATAATCAAAATATTAACGGTATTAATAATAATAAAATAAAAGGAAATAGATTTAAAAGAACCATTAAGCAAAAATCAAGCTAACTCACATGATTAAAATAAAAGTATTTTTCTTTCGCTCATATTTTGAATCTTAAACATAAAAATTAAGTAAAACATGTTTTTTCTATTTAGTAGTGAAGTGATTCTTGTAAAATCAAAAATAGATTGCTTGGAAATATATTCAAGTTCAAACTACCTATTAATAATATTTCTCTTTCAAAAGCTTGTTTTTTTATAGTGAAAAGAAAAGTAGTAATTTAACTTGATTAAATTTTTAGAAATTTTTGAAATGTTTTACTTAAATGTAAAGAGTAAAATAATCTAAAGTACTTTTTTATATTATAGTTATTTTGCTTGTGCATGATATAATGATGCTTCTGATATTTCAAATTTATGAGAAATATCTAAATAATTGTAAATATAAATTTGATATTAATGAAAAATAACATTCTTACATACATAAAGTATTCAAACGAAATTTGGAAAGATCTAATTGACTCTAAATTAAAATTTCACTCGCTACTTGATTTTAAATGAAAAACATATATTTTTTTGTTTAAAATTAAGATAATCAATCATTAAATAGAATTTAAGAGAATTCAATCAATTTTGACTCCATTTTGTTAATTAATACTCAAAAGATTTATAATTTTGCTTATTTGTTTAGTTAAGTAAAATTGTTGAATTTTCAAAGTCATAAATTATTATTCATCATAACCATTTTTAAAGGATTATTTAATAACAATTTTAAAGTACACATCATATAAAATCGTTAATTCTTCTATTTATTAATAATAAGACATCATATTATAATTTAATAAAAATCAAGAAAATAATATGCAATATAGACTGAAATGGTTTTTATACAGAAGTTTTAGTACAAATATGATATTGTTTGGAAAAATAAAAATTTACGAGCTTAAAAATTATAAAATTTAAACAATTTAAATTAATTAAGATTAAGTATTAATTGTATAATGAGTAATTTATTGATGAGCATAAATTGGTAATTCTGAGATTTAATTTTTATTTAATTGCAAATAAATTTTATTTATTCATGTACCTTTCAGCAAGAACACAAGGAAGATTAGCAAACTTAATCATCACAATCGCAGAAGGTGAAAAGAAAACAGAGATGGTCCGTTAAGTGTTAGCAGAACAAAAGATGTTTGAGCCATATACTGCCTTCAGGAGATTAGATCAATTGAGAACAGGAGAATTAACTGTTTCTGACATAGTTGAGTTCTTGTCGGATAATAAAATATATCCTACTAAGGCTCAATCCGATTATCTATTCAGAAGACTCGATCTCAACAGAGATGGGAGAATCACTTATCCTGAGTATGATATTTTGTAATCTGATTAGCTTCGTCAAAGCAGTTTTGCCAAAGGAGGACTCTAGATTAAGACAAATTGCGACACTTAGGGATAGTTATTACATTGAAGTTAATATGTTATTACCAACAGAAATAGAGTGGGGACTTTCTAGAGTATTCTAATAAGAAATTTAAAACTTTAAGTACTATTATAATTTGAAAATTTAGTTCGATAACTGCTTCCTAAGAAATATTAACAGCAAGTGCTGATTTCACATCCTTGGATGCTTTTAGATGTATCGATTAAGTATTTTTGGGATACATCACCATTGATACGTAATATATTATCTCATAAATTTTAGTTTATAAGATTTTTTAAGATAAAATGGTGCCAAATTATCATTTGATGAACTGACAGCCTTCTTCAGAGTAGTAGATTCAGACGAAGATGGAAGAATAACTTATTCTGAATTATTGGAAGCTTTAACTTTTGTTCCAGATTTCTTCCAACAAGAGAGACAAATAGCTAATGAATTAAGAAGAAGTAGAGAGAGAATCATTCAAATTGAAAGAGAAAGAGAAGTCTTAGAGGATTTAAAGAAGAGTAGAGAAAGAGTAGAAGATCTCAGAAGAAGCAGAGAAAGATTGGAATAAATGTAGGATTTGAAAAGAAGTAGAGAAAGAATTGAGTAACTTGATGAATTAAGAAGAAGTAGAGAAAGATTGGAAGATCTTAGAAAAAGCAGGGAAAGATTAGAGGACTTAAAGAAGAGTAGGGAAAGATTAAACTAATTAGAGGAACTAAAAAGAAGTAGATAGAGAATGGAAGAACTAGAAGAATTAAAGAAAAGTAGAGAAAGATAAGCTTAAATTGATGAATTAAGGAAAAGCAGAGAAAGACTTGAGGATTTAAGAAAGAGCAGAGAAAGATTGGAACAATTAGAATAGGAGAGAAAGAATTAAGAGAAGATTGAAGAACTCAGAAAATCAAGAAGTAGGATTGAAGAATTGCAAAACTAGAGAAAGAAAATTGAAGAATTAAGAACAAGTTAAGAGAGATTAGAATAACTAAAGAGATAAAAGGAAGAAATTGAACTAAAAAAGAGCCAAGAGAGATTAGAAGATTTAAGAAAGAGTAGAGAAAGATTAGAATAAATTGAGGCTTTGAGATAAAGTAGGGAACAGCAAAGAGCTTTGGAAGAATTGAGATAAAGCAGGGAGAGAGTTGAACAGTTAAGAAAATCTTAATTGAGAATTGAATAATTAGAAAATGAGAGATAGGTTCTTGAAAGAAGTAGATAATTAGAGAGAGTAGAAAGAGAATTAGAATATGAACGACAAAGAAGCAAGGAGAGATTAGAGAGATTAGAGTTGGAAGCTGAGTTGGAAAGAAGAGCTAGAGATAGAGCACTTGAGTATGATTTAGCTACATAAAGTAACTTTGTTCAAAGCAGAATATATGATACTCCTAAAAGATACAAATGATTTAAAATATCAATTTAATATAATTTTTGGATCAAATTTTAAACTATTATAAGAGCAAGTACTCTTTTATAAATTCAACACATTTCTAGTCTGCTTAATTTTGATCTTAGTATAGATTTTGCATTTATTTAATCAAATTCAATATTTCTTAATTTCTTATAATCATATTTAATTATTATTCATCAATTAGCTTTTTTGATATTAATCTATTTAAAGGGTCTGAGTTTGTTATTTTCTCAGTATCTACCATAGTATTATTTCCTTCATTGTTATCGGAATGAGAATAATTCTTTTATTATTCCTAAAACACTTTATATGCTCGCTATTCAAAAGCATTGCTTGTTGAATTTACAATGTCTTTCAAAAATAGAGATGAAGCATGCTAAAACAAAGGGTTTTAAAATAGAAATTCTATGCTATAGTTTGCTTAACATTGTTTTTCATCTCCTTTTAATTCCCAAATACTTTTAAGCATTTTAAATACTGCATTATTTTCTGATATCGAAGTAATAGTATAGAATTAAGGATGTTATTAAATAAAAACTTTTGAAATATAAGAGGATTTAAATAGTTTATAGTCAACTACTAATTCTCCTTCGAAATAATTTGATTTATGATTGAAAGTCTTACTTTAAGAACATCCCGGCAGAAATTGATAATAAGCATCTACATTCTTAACAATTTCAAACATAAATTTTGTTGGCACTTTTATCAAAGTTGTTTATTGATGTTTTATCAAATTTAGCATAAACAAATTTTAATAATTTATTTAATTAACTTGAAATCCATTTATCCAATAACTAATATAATTTCCATTATAATCTAAAGGGTTTTTAATTCTCCATTGTTCCTCATAGAATCATTTATCTTTATCATGAAAATCTCCACATCCTTCTTTTTAATTTTTATCTAATCTCATTCTTAATTTAAGTTCCACTGAATTATTAATCACCAAATAAGTTGAAAAGAATAAAATATTAACTCCAATGACCATCAATAAAAATATCGGATTAATATTATAACTAAAAATATATGCGGTTGTCTGGAATATTAACTGCAATGATAATACGTTAAGTAATCGTATTGTTGATATTGAACTTTTTATTAATAGAAGAATATGCTTGATTCATCGATTTGTTTTGTCTTGTTTCAAATTATCTATGTCTATCCATAACACCTTTTCTAAAAGAAAATCAGAATGTTGGAAGAAAATACTTGAGATTTTAAGCAAGCTTCTACTAATAAATAGTTGTTATTAATAAAAGTTGTACTTACTAAAAGGCAATAAATTTATAATTTTAATGCTAAAACAAAATATTCCATGATAATAGTCAAGGAACATAGAGGAATTAGGTTTACTTTCTGATTATGACTGTGAAGATTTTTGTAATTTAAATGTATAAAATTATGAAATATGCTTTAGGTTGCTAAATAGAATAAACTATTAATTTGATTAATACCTAGAAACTCCTATTCTTTTAGAGAATTCAACTGACATACTGAATCCAAAAATTTATAATTTACTTTCCTAGAACTATTCATTTTGTATTTGCATGATAATACACATTTATTATGTACATAATTTATATTTAAGAGCCTCATTAATTTAAAAATTATGCTTTGAAAAAGTTCCTTCTGAGATTGGCAAAGAAGGAGTTTTAAAAATTTTCCTTATACTTCAAGTTAAACTCAGATAAATTTGAACTGAAATTTGTTCTGGAATTTATAAATTATAGAAGCATAAAAAATTACAATTAAAATTTTAATTGGAAAATCAAATAATTGTTCTATTGTACAATATTAAAAATAAGATATTCTTTCGATTTATTTTTCAGACCCATTTGACTGCCATTTGGAGATTTCTAATTAAATAATGATATCCGAAATTGATATTCTTTAAAAATAAATTTAAATTTTGAATAAGGATTAATAAATGAATTCTCCATAAAACTTAGACTAAACAAGGGAAGAGAAGAAGGAGATCTTATTTGAAAATTTAGATGTAAAAAGCTTTGAATGGAGACCATACAAATGTTTTATAATGCTATATTTATTCAATGCCACAATTGCATTGCCGGTTTTTACCTTTAAATTGTTTTATTTATACGTTGGATAAATTGTAAAAAGCATCAGATTCCTAAGAATAATTCAAGTATTTATTGAATACAATTTGTTTTAGTGTTTGAAAGCTATAATCTTCTTTGTTTGCGACCTTGCTATGATGTTATCAATTTTAATGATGTATCTTCTTGTTGGATTAAGATATAAATATACAATAAATTATGAAGATTGGGCAATTTCTTGCTTAATATTTCTGTAATCTCAAATTTTAATGTCCTCATATGTTTTAACAATATCAATTGACAGGAAAGAATTGGACTGTGATTTTCTAGTTTCGGAGGCAAATATGAGTAAGTTAGGTCTTGGAAGATTGTATTAAAAATTATTGCATTAAAATCTTTCGCCATAAAAAAAGGAAGAGTTAAAACAGGAAAATTTATATAAATAGATTAGAGTTGCTATGGAAACAGAAAATATTGATAGCACCCTTTATTATATCGCTCTTGAATCAGATCCTGGCATTTGCACTATAGATGATATAATATCGTTGAATGATCATTCGATAATACAATTAATTGAGAAAGCTAGTAAAATATTATCCAATTAACATGATATTCCACTTGAGAAAAAGTAATTTGAATAACCAATTAATAAATTGAAAATCTTAAAAGAATTAAGAGCTTTAGGTTTCAGAGGCTACAGACATGCAATAGATAATTTCCTTTGGCCTCATTACGATTACATAAAAGTTAAATAAGAAAAAGATCCAGCATCTATTCTCTTAATATATTTAATAGTATTAATGGCGAAGGGAAGCTTTCCCCTTTTTCTGTTATTATCAGCAGAAAATGTTCTAGATATTGAATTCGCCTTTTTTGTATGTTTCTTAGGAATGTATTTAAACATGATAATACTGCTCATTGATTTAATCAAATGTAATGATATTAAAGGAAAAAGATATATACTTAATGTATTGCAGACCATGATCATTCCAAATAAAGCTCAAGATCAGTTGGAAGATGAAAATGATAGTGGAAAAGATGAAATCCCAGATGATTTGCCTTACAATTCAGATTTTAAATTAGATTTTAGCTGTAATTTGAGTTTAGAGTCTTGGGATAATATGAGAAGATTAACTCTATTAATAGATAACGATTGGATGGACTATAATGAAGCATAAATAGCTTTTGTTTTTCTTTACTTTATATACTTGTACATGAATTTGTCATCTGTATTTCTAGACTTTGATTTGATTCCAATATTGCATTAATTCTTTTAAGATCCAATTTTACAATGGAACATGATTGTGGATTTTACTTGTCTAGCTATATTGTTCTTAAATAGAGTATATTAAGGCACTTTTTATAATAAGACCTTTGAAAATATTATTGAATCAATCAAAAAACTAGAAACTGTTTATGATGATAAAAAAGCCTTATTTGATTTCTATTTTAGTAGCAATTTGATGGAAAATATCTAAAATGAAACATACAGAAAAATAACATAAAAAATTTATTGCTCTTCTTGTGATAAGGTTATTTATGCACTCGCATCTAAAGGTGTTTAACAAACTCCGCTTTAGGTAAAATATAAAATCATAAATAGGAATTTCTGATGCTTGCAAAATCATAAGCAAAGTAAAGAGTATTTTAATTGTGTGCCACAATGAAGAAAGTGAAAGATTAAATTGAATTTGATAATGATAATTACAGCCATAAGATGCTCGGAATCTACAGATCAAATATTTGGACAGTTCTCTCAACTTTTGGATTTTTAGGATACATTTTTTTTCGTGGAAAAATTAAGGGATATCTTAATAAGCATAAAGCTAAACAACTCTGATTTTAAGTGTAATTATTTATTTCAAATGGTATTTGATTATTATTAATGATGATAAGTGAATAGCAATTTATTTTTTATGTTTGGAACTTATTAACATTTTTACAAATGTATCAATAATTCTGCTTCATTTTAAGAGTAAAATAAAGATTAGTAATTTATATTTAATTTGATCTTTCCAATTTATCCTCTAGTATTACCCTTTTTTTATTAAATACTATTTTTTAATTTAGATAAATATAATATTATATTATTCATCCTTTATGCTATATTTTTTAATGTAAGATTCTCTAAAAATAGCAAATTTATTTGTAGATTTTATCCTGAATTTTTAAGCTTAATTTCTTAATCAATAATAAATTATAATTCAATATTTTTAGCAGAATTATCTGTAATTATGATAAATTTTTGATAAAATTGATGAATCAATATTAATTTTTTAAGAAAGTTTATACTGTCTCATTGCTTTTAAGATAATCCTAATGAAGTAAGTCACTGGGTTCACTGCTTTCCAAATTTATCATCTTTATTTTTTCTATAGTTTGATTTAGTTCTTTAATCTATTGTTTCGCCATTTGTAACTCAATGTAAAGTGTTTGTTTTTCCTTATTCAAAATCTGGTACTTCTTGTGTTCATCTTAGACATACAGTTTCTAATTTTCGAGTTCCTTTAATTTTAAAAGGATATCTTACTTATATCATGGATATGATGATTTCATTTTTCCCTTCATTTTAAAATGATGAGTCTTTCAAATCATCAATTTAAGTCAAAAGTGATTTAATTTTGGTCGATTAAGTTTCAACAATACTAGTTAATCTTTCATTGTCATCAATTAAGGTTTCGATCTTTTCAATGGGTAATTTTTTAAAAGTTTCTACTTGTGATTCTAACTATTTATTTTTTTATTCTAAAGTCTAAATAATTCCTTTGTAATCCATCTATTCAAGATGTTTAATTTGTATTTATAATGATTCATTTTCTTTTTTTAATGAACCAACTAATCTAGTCAAACGGGCTATTTCTCTATCGGTTGTCATAGATTAACTATTTCCTTGATTTGTTGGGGTCTCTTGACTTAATTGTCTAAACATCGAAAAAGGATTTGGGGATTTGTTAGAATCACTCAATACTCTAATCAGTTAAGATTTTTGCATTTTTGATAATATTAAAAATGAAAGTGTTTTAAAGTAATCATTCACACACCCAATTTAAATCTGAAGGCTTCCAATCCACGATTTCCTTTTAATTAAACCATAAATTAATCTCTTTTTAAGCTGACTCACAAGAATCACTACCATGAATTAAATTTCTCTAAAGTTCAAGTGCATAATCAGCTCTAATTGTGCCTGGTTTCTATTCAATAGGGTTTCTGCCTTCTCCAAGCATAGAACGAATTTATCTAACAACTAATTAATTTAAATTATTGAATACCATCTTTGCCTTGCCATATCATAGCGATAACCGGTCCTGATAGCATATAGCAGATCAAGCACGGAAAGAAAGGCTTGAACATGAGCTCCTCATAATGCTTCTATAGTAATTCTTAATTTGGTATTAGCATTTTCATGGCAACCATTGAAAATCCCTTATCTTCAAATCTCTAGATTATTCTCCCTATGATTCTTCTCTAAACTCCATCAGGTTTTATTAAAACAAAGGTTTACTCCTTTTCCATTATATAGTTAATTAAATTTTTAAATAATAACTCTTAATTGCTTAATCAATAATCCAAATAGGCATTCTTTAAATCAAATTAGTGATAGAAATTTTCAATAACAATTAAAAATGATGTAATTAGATTTGAAAAATTGGTCATTTCCATTATCCTATAATCAAAAAAATATTTCAGAAATATTTAAAAAACTAGAAATTTGATATATAATTAAAACTAATATAATTCAAGTTCTTCTGTGTTAATCAATCTTTTCACCCTATCGCCTTTCTAATCTATCTAAATTCTAGACTGTTTCGTCATATTTTCTTTTGATGTTTAAGTATTCATCATTCTTCTTATTCAGATCTCTATGTTTTCGAGTATTTTCAATTTATAAAGCATTGACTTTCTACTAAAGATTCAGATTGTCTCTTTAAAGATTTTCAAGTGAAATTTATAGGTCTTGTTATCTCAATACAGATTCTAACTATAATCAGATTATTAATTACTTCTACTATCCTCTTATTGTAACTTTTTGTTTTATTAATCTTTTCTCAATCCTTCTAAACTCAAATGTAGTTAGTCTGTTTCTTCTTTTCTTTTATTTAACATTTCATTTAAGTCCTATTATTCTTATTTTGATTGGTTTAATTCATTCTTCAAATTAGTTATAATAGCTTAATTTTGATTTTATAAAATTCCATTTCTTAATAGTTCTTCTTAAGTATTGAAATTATGGCTTCTAATTTTTTCTATTTCTAACTTCAAATCATTTATTTATTCATTTTTACTTTGAATTTCAACTTAAAGTTATTACTCTCTTTAATCAAAATCATAAGATGATAATGCATTTCTTTTATCTAGCATTTTTAATTATTATTCCATTATTAATTTAAAACCAATAATTTCTTACTCCTTTATTTACAAAAATTCTTCATTTTAGAGTTTTGAATTCTTTCTTTCTAAATCATTAATGATTTCTTAACAAACTTTCTTTTATACTTCATATTAATCTTTCATGTCACCCATTTCTTCAATTAATTCATTTAATTATCTCTCTTTCTCTTGAGTTCTTCTCCCCTATAATTAAATCATTTCATTCAATTCTGTAACTTGATACTTCATTTCCTATTTAGTTGCTTTATACATGTTATTCAATCTATCACATTCTAACTTGAAAGCATTTTCAGTTTACTTTAACCCATCTATTTATTGAAGTAATTACTACTATATCGAGGTCTATTATTATAATTATTAGTTCATTTAATCGCATTTTTACTACAAGGTTTAACGTTTATCCATAACCTTTTTAGATTCTTATTTCTAAAATTATAATTCTTGGCTCAACTACTCAGGTTTCTTTTATTTCATTTTCAACTCCTCCTATACTTTATTCTTTCTTATGTCCATTGGTTTAAATTCATCAAACAGATTTTGATTCTCTTATTTGGATGTTTGCAATTTATCCTCTAACACTTTTAATTGCTGAATATAACTATTAATCTCTCCTTTTGATTCTCTTTCAACCTCATTTCTTTATTTTTATAGAATGACAACTTCCTTATCCTTAACTGAAAAAGCATTCTTTAACTATTCATTTAAGATTCCAAGTTGTTGCAAACTTAAACAGATTACTCCTCTGAAATTGCTTTTTCCTTCAAAAGTGACTTAATTTTGTCATCCAGTCTTTAAATCATTTCATTTTTATTGTCAATTGCCTTAGAATCAACCTAATTATGAGCCATTTAGGCTTTTAGATTATCATTTTCAATTTGCAACTATAATAATTTGAGCTCTAACTATTCTGATTAATTTGAAGTACTTGAATGAATTGATTTCAATATCAAGGGACACTTTGGTATAAATTTTTAAGTTGCTTTTTCAGATAACAACTACTTATACTTACTTTCTAACACATCAAGTTCCTTTTATAATTAAATATTCTGTAATTTATAATCCTAAATTTCATTATTATTGATTTTATTTTGATGAGTTTTTGCACCTTTAAAGGAATCTGCCTATTATAATTTCATCTTGAGTTCTTCATTTTCCTCTTAATTTATTTATAAACATTCGAATACTCTATTGAATTCCTTGTTTGTTTAATTTGATTTATCTTCTGCTTACTCTCTCTTCCTTTATTCTTCATTAACCTTCGTTCTTTCTCTACTAAATTTTTGTTTAGCTATATGAATTAATATAATTGATTACTTTCTGGTTTTCCTAGACCAAAGCAGTCATTTTAGATTATAACTATTCGAGAATTGCTTTTAATTTATTATAATCTTCAGCCATATTTAATGTTTTTGAATCATTCTCATTAGGATCTGCAATAGATAGTTCTTCAACTTTTCTAAAAGTAGCTAATATGTCAATCATTTTATCATTGATATTATCAGGTAGTCTTCCATCAGTGACAAATCTTTAAACACTAGACATCAAATCTCGCAATTGTCCAGAAATTTTAGATATTTCTATTGATATTTTTGGTTTCTATTATAAGAATACATTATTTTGAGATTATAGCCTACTATTTCCCACTGTTATGTGATAATCTGTAATTGAAGTTTTGGTTGAAAACCCATAATTTTCTTTGCTCTCCTAAGCAGTTCCATCCTTTCTGAGAGTGTTACTTCTTCTTTCAGAAGCAGTATCTTTATTGCTATCACTTTAAACGTTTCCAGCATAAGTTTTCTAGTATTCATACTTGCATGTTTCATAGTGTGATTTCAGTTCATTCTAAGATTCCACTAATTCTTGGGAATTGTGTGGTTTTAGTACATCGCAATTTTAGCTTAAGGTCTTAGTATTTAATTATATTAATAGGAATTCTCTAATTTTTGTTGGGGGAGGGTTAAATAGCAGCATTAATTTAGTTCGCATATTTACCATCGAACAGGGGAGATTACTTATAGGGCGAAGGACCATATGTTAAAATTTTAGCTTGTGATGATGTTTTAGGATAATAGATTTGTTTATCTGGAGATTGCATTGAAAAATTTGCTACATCCTTTTGAACAGAGGACTACTATTAAGGAGACTTGAGTGGGTTTTTGAACACTTTTCATATAATATTGTTTATTTATTTTTCGGTTAAAAATTAATGTGTATTTAATTAGTATTTTTATTATTAACATTACTTTATCGCGATGATTTTGTAGACAAGAGAGCGAGATAAGTTGCGTTAAGCATATTTATGAACTTGAGATGGATTTGCAATCAATATTTATAAAATATATATAATTTTATATTAAGTATAATAATAGATGGACGAGAGGGAAGAAGAGAAAGTATTCATATAATAATTGCAAAAATTTTGGGAATAAAGAGGTGTAACTATTAAAATACCTCAAATTGGTGGTAGAGAATTGGAGGTTTTCAAGCTCTACAAGGCAGTCACCAAAAGAGGAGGTTTAAAGGTTGTATCAGCAAATAAATTATGGAAAGTAAAATTTAAATTTGAACTGAAAAGGAAATCGTAGATCAATTCTCGTTTCCAGCCACTTGTACTTCAGCCTCATTCACCTTGAGGAACCATTATCAAAAATTGTTATTGGCATATGAATAAAAATATTTCTTTGGAAAAGAGGATGGTTACATATACGATGAAGAAATGAGCTCGAATAGAAAGAAGACTAAAATAGGCTTTGAAGAAGAAAATCAATAGGCAAGTTATGCGTAATAATAATATATATTTTACAGGGTAGAAGCTGAGGATAGACAGCATCAAATGGAATTTAGTGGATAACCTCTGAGTACTCTTTTGAATTAAAATTATTCAAAGGTGGAAAAAGCAGAAACTATACTTTTTATCAAGAAATCTAAAATCTAAGCATAGGCAAGCGAAGTTAAAAGAATTATGCTTGCTTTTGAAAGTAGAATTGATGATGAACTCACATTCGCCATCAATAATTTATTGATGTATTCTTGCAATTACTCAGTATAACTATTTATGTTCATCATTTTAGTAAAGCTTTCTCATAGACTAGTATCCACAATTACTTGATACTATTACTTCGTATATTGAAGATACTATTAAATAAATTAGTTACCTCAATAAATCTTACTCTTATAAAACTTGTCTTTAAACAGTAGGATAACAATAATTGGAAAATCTAGGATAATAATAGCGAAAATCTATGCAAGTTCAAACCGATTTAATCAAAAATCAAAATGTATTAGAAAACTATAATTCTCATATATCAGTCATCATGAATGATCAAACAACTGAATTGGCTAAGCCAAGTGAGTTGATCTATTAGAAAAAATACATAGATTTGATTTAAGGGAATTATGAAAAAAAAGCAGAGTGTAAACATTTGGAAAAATTGAGAACTTTATTTGTAGCTCTAAGAAATTTAGCTATGATTAGAGCTAATGAAGCTTGCTTTATGAAATAAGATAAGTTACTATCCTTTTTTTATTAAATTCTTTTGTCTGGAGCAGATTAAGAATTATCTAAATCAGCATTAGAAATATTCTCAGTCTTATCAAAACACATATACCTAAAGCAATCAGTCTATATGGATAACTTTATGTAAAAACTAATCGAAATTCTTAATGGCGAATCATATGAGGATATAGGGTTAGTCACAGAAACTCTCAGAAATATGATATCTATCTCAGATAACGAAGCCATAATTGAAGGAGCCATTGGAGAATATATAGATTAATTAGCAAGATTACTAATATATTAGAATTAAGAATTAAGAGAAATTGTTTTGGAGTTCTTCTGTTACTTAAGTGATTTAAAAATGGCAACCAGGTTATCCATAGCTAAGCATCCTAAAATATTATAAAGGCTTGTTGCTATTTTGAGCATAGGGTAAATTAAGAACAACTCTCTGAAATAATAAGATCAAAGAACTAATCAAGATAAAATCAATGAAAAACACGTCAAATTAGCTGCTATCACTCTCAATAATATATCATAGGCTCCAGCGGCAAAATAATATTTGCTTATTTTTGAAAAGTAATTATCATAATATATCTAAATTAGGGAATTATTTTTGGTGGCTGCATCTGATGAAACTGTCACTCCTTTGCTTTCATAAATCCTTTTTGAGTTATCATTAGTAGAATGAATTTTAAATATATTTTAAACAAAGCTAATAGATTTAGATTTATAAGTATAACTAACTACTCCATATATTAATTTTTTTAACAATATACTTAAGATTCCCAAATTAACATTTGAGAAATTATCTAAACAAAATTTAAAAGCAATGTAATGAAAAATACAAAAGTTAAAAATTTGTTTGTTTACATCCATCATCTTTTACATATGGAGATATATTCAAATATTTGTTGGTTGGATTTTCAAATTTTTGAGTATTTACTGATCTTTCCCATGGTGTTGATGAGGATTTCAAATTATTATAAGTTTTTTAGATGATAACTTTTAAATCAAAAATAAGTAAAATTGTAAATATAAATCAAAATATTTGTATTTTTTATTACTGTACTTTTAAAAATCATGTTAACAAAAATTAACAGTCGTTAATTAACTTATTTTAAATAGCATCTTTTCGTTGTGTTTATTCTAATTTCTTAATTAGAAAGGCTACGAAATCTTTATTATTCATTCCCTTTTGTTATTTCGTTATTTTAAGGATTATAATCATTTATTATTATAATAGATACAGCATTAGCTGTTCAATTATCATTTCTACTTGTTTCTGGATTTTCCTCTCTTTTTGAAGCTTATTAATCTTATCATCAAAATTGATAGCTTAATTATCAAAACAATTTAGTAACTTGAAATAATTTAGATTATGGAATGTGTAAATATATACAACTAAGAGAGATTTAGGTAAAGAAATTTTATTAAAAATGGTATTAATGGAATGTAGAACAAAAATTTATTGCCTTTTAAAGATATTTATTGTATGAATTTAATAACCAACAAATAATAATTTATTGAGATATCAGTATAGAAGTGTCATAAAATTTCGAAGAAAAGACAACAAATACATGGAGACTCTATCAATTGGTTCTTTAGATTGTAGAAGTGAGAAACAGGTCAATCAGGAAATTGATTTTGGAAAAGCCAGATTAAAGATTAAAAATTAAAATTTTGGATCTGCTTTGCAAGATCTGATAGCAAAAACAAAATACGTAACAATATTCTTTTAAACTTAATAAATCTCACTTTTATGAAGATTTTAAATAGATTTCCAAACTACAACAACCCTTAGATTTAAAAAATGAACGCAAATCACATCCTTCTTAATCCATAAATTCGCCTTTCAGGATTAGGGTTCCATATGCTTCTAACTTTGGATTTTAAGAAATTGTTAAAATTGGAATATTTTATGTAGTGGAAAAAATTACCAAATTCTGGATTAGCATTATTTGTAAATTTCAAAGGTTCAAAGTATGTTAAAATACCTTTCTAAAGATCCGAATCTTAAGCATTATAAGCATATAAAAATTTTTAATCTCTTGTCTATACATCTAATGAATATAAAATGATGAAGTTATCTTTACTGCTGCTTAATGCTAATTTGGTTCCATCAGGAGAGAAATTGACTGAATAAACTGTTGATGAATGACCATCTAATTTGGCTTTTTATTATCCTGTTTTAACATCCCATAAACGGATAGACTTATCATTACTACAAGATGCTAATCTAGTACTATCAGGAGAGAAACAGAATGATTCAATCTTACTAGTATGTCCATATAATTTAGCTTTGATTAAGTCTTAACATCCCATAAAACTATTGAGTTATCTGAGCTATGAAATGCTAATGAAGTATCATCAGGAGAGAAACAGATTGATTTATCACATTCACTATCACCATCTAAATTGGCTTTCGATTAACTTTTCTTAACATCCCATAAACGGACAGACCCATTCCAACTACCAGATGCTAATAGAGTACCATTTGGAGAGAACCATACTTAACTAATAGTATCTTTATGGCCAATTAAATTACATATTTTTTTTCCTGTCTTAAGATTCCATAAATAAGCCAAATTGTTGCAACTAGAAGCTAATGTAGTACCATTCGGTGATAAACAAAAAGAATCTACATTCGTCACTTTTTTATTAAACTTTATTTTTCTGGTTTTAACATCCCATAAATACAGTGCTTTACCAACACTACAGGAAGCTAATGACTTGCCATCTAGAGAAAAGAAAATTTATTTGAGTCTACCACTGTGACCATTTAACTACATTCCCTCATTTATACCTAAACTCCTTCACTTACAATTTAATAATTTGGCTTAATTCAAATTTATACCACTAATAATGACATTTTCAAATTCAGATCCGCTTAAGTCGCATCTTATCATATTTGCTCCTATTAACGAAGTATTTCTAATTCTAATATTCTCAAAACATTATTCCTTAAAACTAATTTTCATTAAGACCAGTAGGTGAAGAGCATTAGATCCACACTAAATATATCTCTCATCTAATGCAGTGAGTTAAACTAAAAATTTTAGAAATTCTATAATTTTCTTATCCCATGATATTTTATGATCAGATCCTTCTTAATTTCTTCATATTCGTCAATAGAGAAATTTTATTATTAAATTAGTGATCCTTAATTTTTTTGAGAACTTCAATTATTTTCTTAATGTCCTTTTTTTCAGCAATGAATTCTTTATCAGGCAGAGATAAATTTTTTATCTTTTAACTTTCTATACCTACAATACATTGATTTTCCTATTGTTAGAGAAATTCAAAACAGTCTTAAATTTTCTTTCTTTTTAATTATTTACTTATGATAGGGAAGATTATTTCATCAACATCTTTAAATAAAGCCAAAAACCCATACAAATCTTCATCTTACTCTTTTTCACAATTCATTTTTTTTTAAATAGTTATGAATTTCTATTACTTTTTTTAGGTTTTTACGAAAAACTTAAAAAGTATCATTTTTATTAAGAAAAAACAAACTAGATAGAGATTTGGTGTTGATGTAAATTCTAATAGTGACAACTCACATAATCTTTTAAGAATGAAATTTGTCAACTAATAATTAAATATAAATTTGTAATGTAATATAGATATTTATTTTTTTTGAATAAATTTTTACATTGTTTCAATCTTTGAATTATTTTTCTAAAATGTATTAGAATTTTAATTAAATAAATATAATTTTCTAAATATTTTACTTCTGAATTTTATTTTTCAGAGAGAAAGGAAATATGTAATTTATCAAGGCTTTAAGCAAAAAAAATCAACTATAATTAATTCCTTTTTAAAATTGTGACTTTACTTCTATCTTCTAACTTAAATTAGGCTTGGTTTATTTTCTTTTATCTGTAGTAATCCCGTTTTTAAGCATGAAGGCTATTAACTCCGAATTCTCTATTTTTTTAATTTTTTTAAATATTATTTCCATTTGTTAGATACCACATCTATAAGTAGGGTTGTAAGCTAACAAATTTTAATAGTATCAGTTAAAGCTTCTGAGAACCGATGTTTAAACATCAAGATATAATCCTTTTGATATTTTTTGTAATTTTCTGACTAAATCATCCATTTCCATTAAATAAATGGGTAAAATTCTTTTGGAATACATATGGGTGCATACTAAAAATTATTTCAAAAAACAGTACACCAAGGGACCAAAGTTAGTTTTATGATTGTATTCATTTTTTAACAGTGTTTCTTTATATATATACAAATGGAGATCCAATCTGGAATTGTCTTTCTTCAATTCAAAATCTGTCTTAATGGATTGCAAAGTCAAAAAAAATCTGCTAGTCTAACTTTCTTTTATCGATTAGGATATTGGAAGGTTTGATATCTCTGTGAACAATCTCTAAAAAGTCAAAGTTTACTTTTTGAATTTACGTACTTCAATGCCTCGCCAATTTGTAAAACATAAATGATTACTGTATTTTCAAGCAAAGAACCTTATTATTTTATTATTTAAAGAATGTCTACAGATTATTGATTAGCGCATTACCTGTTCGCAAAATTCAGTAATTATATAATATTTGTTTGCTGTTTAATAATATGTGTGAATGTACTGATAATTACGCTGCTTAAATATTATGATTTCGTTTCTGAACATCTGTTAAAAAATGGCTGTAATTGCTTTTTGTGAATCTGCTTAATCACCACTTCCTTCTTGTCTTCTTATGATCTCGTTTGTAGAAGTGGCTGAATTAACCAACTCCAACTTTGCATTCATTAGATACTTTATAAACATATTCCCCTATGACTTTTTCGTTAAGCATATTAAATTTAAAATAATTTAACAATGGATGAATATATAACAGTAACAATCGCTTATACTCCCAATAGTCGAATCGAGATTTGATCAAAGCTATAGATTGTATTCCAGTCCCAGATATTACAGTATCTTCGCTATCTTAATAATCAGCAAGATTGACCAAGAAAGAGAGTTCCATCACTAAGGATTAAGTCATGAAAATCTTTAAAAAGACCCAACCTCAAGAATAAACAGCCATCTAAACCAAGGCAAATCTATACCTGAATGCTTTTAATTAACATGAGCCTCAGGATTTCCTTAATAAGGAGAAGATTAGCAAACATACCTAATAAAAGAATCTACTTCATCAAATTTCCTAGTTGCAGTAGTAGGTTGACCATTAGAGGAGGGAAATCGAATCTTAAATCAATCAAATTGCACTTTTGAATAAGCAGACTGACAATTTAACCAATGAAATTCAGGAAAAGAATCAAAAATTATAAATGAATGCCCAGACGATTTAACAGTTGTAGACAATCAATATTCAATAACAATAGATAATAGAAAATTTGTCACTCGAAAACGAGTATAAAAAAAAATTCAATAAAATGTGTAACTAAAAAGAGTCAGAATCTATTACTGAATTAAAATCCAAAATATAAATTCTTGAATCTGAAATTAATAAAACAAGAGCCACATTCACTTTATTTTCACCCAAAAATGAAACATTTTAATCAGAAACTTACTCTTTAAAAAATAAAACATTTGATCCAGAATTATTAAGTGAGGATGAAACATTGACAATGCTTTTAAGTTTACTCAATAGAGTTTCAAAAAGTTCCAGGATGACTGCAATCTTACAAAAAAATGCAGACTTTAAAAAATTAATCAAATTCAAAAGAAACCAACCCAGTGTCAATAGATTGTCAATTGTCTAAAATAATAAATCTGTGGAACGTCAGTCATCCTGTAATTAAGAGTATTTCAATAAATTGATAAAAAGTTAAGCAATAAAATTTAATTGATTATTAGATTTATGTTAATTTATTATCGAAAATCATTTTACTGTTATTTCACCATCATTGCATAATATAAAATACAGACCAATCTTGTCAAAGAGATATATTTATTTTACAAATTTTATTTATTTATTTAAAATTTTGATCTCCAATATTATATTGGTTATCTTAAGCATTTTAGTAGCGAAAATATTATCACAAATAATATTAACGATATAAGTATATATATAATATATATTTTCATTTTTTAAAATAGTTTCCTCTGCTTGTTAGACAGGATTGAGGTTCTATTTTTAAAATGGATTGTGTCATCTTAATAGGAGATGTTTATATACGCAAATTCTCTTTATTATTGGATTTACAATGGTTGCATTACGTCAAACAAATGTTTTCAAACGAACAAGTATTATTGAATAAATTAGCATAAAGTCTTGATTTTTGGGGTGTTTTTGGTGCATTATCAACTTTAGGTACTAGACTTCTATCCAATTAACTATTTTATAGAGGAGAAATAGATCTCCTCAATTTTCTCATATTGCTATTTTAATCGGTGATGATTGGTTAGATGTGCTTTTTAGTTTTAATAGATTAAATGATGTTCTAATTGTCCAAATACTTCAGAGATAGTAATTGATCATCTAAGTCATGCTTTAAATCGAAGTGTTTTTTTGTTCTTATCTAAGACTTTTACTCAGGGGTAGTAGTTCTTAGCGATCCACTAAAAATCATTATCAGTTAATAAATTAATAATGTACTTATAAGAATATATTAAAATTCAAATTTATGTAATATAGGTCAAACAAGCCTCCTCAAACAGTCAAGAATCAAGCGGTGTCGTTCTTTCCAAAATAAACCTTTTCTCCTGCAAAGTCACATATTGAACACTTTGTTTCTGAAAATCCAACTCCACATTATAAAAAATAATCGTAACCTTACCCACCCAGATAACCCTCATTCAATATTTCAAGTGGAGAAAGCTTGGAACATAATCTCAAAAAAAAGTAGAATTCAAACTTTAGTTAAGAAAAGAAGGCTCAAAAATAGTTGTTTAATATTTTGTTTAATAGTACAAAGCGCAATGGAAGTTTTTGCAAAGAAATGTACATCTATATTATAATGATAGGAAGAAGTAAACCAGATAAAGTAATCCAATACAAAATTGGTACCTTCCGAATAAGTAAAAGCTCTCCCAAACCATGCAAAAAAAGTAATCCAAAATAAACAACAGCATGGAGGGATAATAGACAGTTGATATGAGCTTTGAGAACCACCTCATCAAAGGTCTTTAAGAACACAGTGGATTCTAGAGTGATACAACTAAACCTCTCGATGATTACAACCCTAGAGCTATTAAATTCTTGGAGAAAGGCAAACAATTATTAAGAGAGAAGCAAATTGAAGAAGCTATTGAGTATTCTACCTATATAATTTTAGACAATTGAAAAAGTGCTTAGAAAGCGATATAAGAATATTGGAAGGACATTACTTTTTAGGTATAGGCTATCTTGGTAAATAACTCTATTCAAAAGCAATAGCAGAATTTCAATATGTAATCTAATAGGATGCTGCACATAGAAAGAATATTTATTTATTGTTAGCAATATCTCATAAAAAAATGAATGAGATAGACTCAGCAATCTAAATTCTGAATAAAGTCATCTTAATGTTCCCAAGATATTATGATGCCTTTATTTATAGAGGTAAACTCTATACCAAACTAAATTAAATTGATAAAGCAGAATAAGACTTCAATATGGCCATTCAGTTAAGTCCTCAAAAAGGATTAGGCTATTTGGGCAAAGCTGATTGTTTTAGAATGCAGAGCCAATATAAGGAAGCCATTAAATGTTATTAAAAGGCCATAAACTGTGAGTAGGCTGTGGGCAATGCTGCTTTGCTGAAAAAAGCAATAACTCTTTTTGAAAGTCAAGAATATGACGAATGTGCAATAGATTTAAGTAAACTATTAGAAACTGACCCTACGAATTCTGAAGCCTACTACTTTAAAGGACTTTGTAGATTAAAAACAAGTATTCAATATGAATATTCTAGAGAATCCTACCGAAGCCTTATTATGTTTTGAATAAGCGATCAAACATAATAATTCTAAAAAAGCGGTCACTAAATCGCTCTATGAAATTGCCAAAATGAAGATTGAATAAAGAGACTTTTATGCCGCATTTCATACATTCAATAGATCGGCACTTTTAGATACTGATAAAACCTACTTAGAGAAATTTAGATTATTTACTGAAGTAATAGATTGATTGATTGATTATAGGCTGTCATTCATTTGATGAAAAGAAAATTTCAGGAGAGTCTTAACAATTTTCAAGAAATTCAAAGTCATCATTAGTTAAATGATTTTCTTAAGCCTTTGTTCTATGCTTATCGAGCTTATGGTCATTTTTGTTTGTCCAAACACCAAAAAGCTTTGGAGGACTATAAATATTTATTGGAAATTCAACCAGCTGAATCCAGTGTTCATTATAATAAATTCTTATGTGAGGGCATCTTGAAAATTTAAGCAGGGCAATTCAATTCTGGCATGGAATTCTTTCAAAAAGCATAAAAGATTTTCCAAAAGAAAATGGAACCTTCTTTCTATTAGGGAGCTACATTGATAAATTAAGCCTTTAAAAAAAAAAGCGATCAATACAAGGATATAGTCAAAGGGTTAGAATTGTTGGACAAGGCTCAAAGTTTAAATGACTAGAATGCAAACATCTATTATGTGAGATCCATAGTGAAGTGCTTTTTAGGATAAACTAATGAGGCTTTGGCAGATATTGAGTCAGCCATTCAAAAATCAGAAGACAATGTTGCTAAATATTTTTATTTTAGGGGAATGGTGTATGGAATTCTTAAATAATATCATCACTCTTTAAATGATTTTAGCATCTGTTTAACATTGGATGAAACTCTTCCTGATGCTTATTTAAATAGAGCTAAATGTCATTTTTTAAGTGGAGATTCCAATTCTGCCTTCCAGGATTTACAATAATGTATTCATATATTATAAGATGATCCAAGAATGCATGTTTGGGCTGGCAACTTTTTATTTGCCAATGCTGCCATAGAGGATGCAATCAAAGCCTACTCCAATAATAAAGATTTCAAAAATAACCCTAAGTTGTTACAGTTAAGATCGGAATGCTACATGGTTTTAAGTGATTTGCGCAGTTGTTAAGAAGATATCAATAGACTTCATAAATTGACTAAAGATTAAACTGCAGAATTTGATAAGGATATTTTATAAGCCTTGAGATTAGTATTTAAGGATGATCAATAAATATATTTTAATGAAGAAAGCGAGAGTGAGCAACATGAATTAAAAAATAATTTAAATAGAGCTGTCAATAGTCTAAAGTAACTAACAAGAGGAAAAGGAAGGTTATTTTAGTAGTTCCATGCGTTTATATTTAGAGGAGTATTCTTGTTTCATTTGGAGAAATATGAAGAGGCATTGAAGGATTTCTAAATGGCAAAAAGTCAGAAGGAACTTTCAATAACAGAAAAACGACTAAGATAGAGAGGAAGCCAAACTGATTTATTTAGTGACGAAGAGTTTTTTGAACTTACTGAAGACGAGGAAGATGCAGATCTATTAGAAATCTTAGAGATCAAATTTAATGAATTGATTTGCTTAATCATTTTAAAATAATTTAAAAAAGCAAAAGAGAAATGTAAATAGTTGATTGAAAATATAAATGAGGCAAAATAAGAAGGTTTGTAAATTCTCTTAATGCATATTGAATAAATCCTTTTGAAGGATTAACAATCTATTGATTACTAACGAGTGATCTGCTTATATGATGAACCCAAAGAAAATATTATTTGTTTCTAAGTTCCTATTGTATATGTGGATGGATTTAAAATTAGATTATCTTTTAGCTTGCCCAAATTATCTCCTCCATCATTATCAATAGTTTTTGATAAATAGTTAATTTAAAATATCGGGGTAATTAATTAATATCCTATTTTTAGCCTTTGTCCGTTGAAAATAAACCTGAAGCTCCATGGATCAGAAGAGAACAATAAGATGATATGATAATATTTACTGATAATGTTCAAATCGTTGATGATATTAGATTAGAAACTGAAATAGAGGATGATGGTAAAACTTAAGCATAATCCTAAATGGTAGAAATTACTCAAATAAAAAATAATTTAATGTTGGATAAGGATATCGAAGAAAAGTTGTAACGATTTTTTTAAAATAAAAAATAAAAATGATGTTAATATTCTTATCATCACTATCTTTAGATATTAAATTTATTTTAATTTCTCTTATTTGCTATTTTTTTTAATGTCTGTTTTCAAAAAATTTCCTTAAATTTCCCAACAATCATAAGAGATTTTTTTCATTTAAAATCCATCGAAATTTATATCTTTTTATAATAGCATTTTAATTCAAATCATTTTCTTCCCCTTTCCACTTTTGAAATGAAAATAGATTTCACTTAAAGACTCTATAATAATGAAATATCTAGATAAAAATTGCATACTTTTCGTTTCTAAAAATAATGTCTTAAGTAATTGGTAATTATTCTTATAATATTTGTCAATATCAAAAGTAATAGAATCGAGGATTAGTCATCTAACAATTTCGCATAGAAATTTTATAATTATTTATTGAAAATTTTGGAAAAGCTAATGATATGAAAATATTATTTATAAAAATATCATTTTTTAAATTAACAACTATCTAAACTTAAGTTTAGTTTGTTATTGACTCTCTATTTTGGTGTGTTAGAAAATATTGATTATTTCATTTACTTAGTTGTCTCCTATTCTTATAAAAAGGAATCCAACTAATTTGTTTTCTTTTGAAGAGTTTATTATTTTGATGACGTAATTTACTAAGTAGCATAGTAACTTGCATTACTATTCTCTTCAATTTTATTGATACTCTTTTGTAAGGCATAGTATTTAATCAATAATCTATCATACATAGTTCTGCATTCCTAAAGTTATTATTCTTTGTTTTCTCGTTGTTCAATTTCTGATCCTAACTCATTTAATGATTTTCTAAATAACTCTTACTAAGTCTAATTGCTCAATTGGTCAATCAATTTAGACATCTTGATGTATAAAGGATGATTCAGTATAGATTTAATATTGAGACAATCATTGCTTTTTAGATTGCTTATAGATTCAGGCAATTAAATCTATTGCTTTAAGTTTTAATTTTCGTACTCCAACTCCATAAGCCTAGTTTGGAACTCTTTCATTTACTACTACTATTATGTATTCTATTATGATGACAAAATATAATACAATCTGACTATTGATTCTATTTTACTCTTATGAGATCTGATCTTGATTAATCATTGACTTCAATTGTTCATTTTCATTTCTCAAGTACTCACATTATTAGCATTCGTGTTTGTGTTACTAAGAAATATATTAAAATTGTTGTAATTTTGATTAAGCATCTCTTAATTCCTGATAGAGTGCTTGCATTTTTTAATGAATTGATTGCTTATACTCTTAATCACTTTATTTGATAATGGTTAATTCTAATTAATATTGAACTAGTTTCTCCTTAAGTGACTAGCACTCTTCTTATTTGAGACTTAATTATTATTCTGTTGTTCTGGCACTTACCTTTTGAGTGGTGAATTATTTTAATTACATTGACACTCTCTACCATTTTTACTGGAATTGCATACTCTATTCCGTTAATAATTTGACCTTCTGTTCAAGTTTTTAATTTTCTTAAATTTGGTGATCCAATTTTTTTTGTAGTGTGATAAAATTATAATTTGCATTATTAAGCTATTCTTCATTTTTTTTTGTTGATTATAATTTTTAGATCAATTCATTATTAAGTCTTTCTGCTTATTACATTTTAATAAAGGCTGTAACTAATTCTTCATCCTTTTCCAGAATCTTATCACTATATTCATTGGTCAATTGCTATATGTGTTCTTACAGATAATCAATTTGCTCATGCAATTTTAATTTCTCTATCTCCATTATTTCAATTGCGTAATTTAGATCTTTGTACATTCTCTATTATTTTTTGTCTGTTATATATAATTTATATATATAATCTATTTATCTGTTATTAATTAATAATGCAAATTAAACATCCTGTTTTGATTCTAAAAAAGAAAGTAAAGGAAAGAATAGAATATAAAATAAAATGGAATACTGGTACAATTACTTACGAACCTATGGTTGAACTCACACCAGAAATGCTTCGTTTAGTCAATGAATGGGAATTGCAAGAACATTACAGTAAGAATGGCAAGTCCATTGAAAAGAACAATACAAAAATAACAAAAATAATTGAAGAACAACTGAAGTACAGAATGGAAGTTGAAAAACCGAAACTTACTCCTCACAAGGAGAGAAGCTCAGAAAAGGGTTATGTAAAGTCTTTAAGAAAGAATGATGGAAGAATAGAATTTTGGATATATATACACGACGAAGGCATTGAGAGATGGGTTACCGTGGAAGAAGTCAAAAATAGAATGCCAATAGCCTTGTGTGACTATCTATTATAAAAGGTTAAGTTTGGGGGAAAGTGAATATAGTATTTAAAAATGCATTTTAATAATTATCTCTTTTTAAATTTGTATCAATTTCTAAGTCATTCCCCAAGTACTACTTGTGAAATAATTTAAATGAAGTTTAATTTAGGTATTATTAGAATAATTATAAGCATTTATTTCATTATATTTTCTAAATGAAATGAAAACTAAAGCACTCTTATGATCTTTCTTAATTAAGTTCATTTTAGTTTTGAATTCGTACTAACAGGAATGATCAAAGATGAATGAGAGGCAATGAAGAGTAATTTGTAGTTGGTGTTTGTTTATAAAAATTAGAATTATGAATGAGTTTCTGGGATGCAATATTTGCATGCAATCGAGCAGCCATTAAAATTTTAAATTAAATTAAATCTTTTATACAAATAAATGTCTTTGGTGTTGGAAAAGGCTGATTCATTCAGACACATTATTCGTATTTTGAACACAAACGTTGATGGAAAATAAAGACTTGCTTATGGTATTAGAAGTATCAAGGGTATTGGCAGAAGATTTGCTATCTAAATTTGCAAGGTATTTGATGTGATTTTATTCATTCTATAGGTCCTCCGTCTTGATCTCACAAAGAGAGCTGGTGAATTGACTGATGATGAAGCTCACAAAATCACAGAAGTCATCAAATCACCAGAAGCTTACAACATTCCAAGATGGTTTTTGAATAGACAAAGAGATTTCAAGGATGGCAAAAACTATTAAGTCACAACAAACGAATTGGAAACCAAATTAAGAGAAGATTTAGAAAGAATGAAGAAAATCAAGTATTTCAATTAAATTAAGTTAAGGTGTAATCGTGGTTTGAGACATCATTGGGGATTGAGAGTCAGAGGACAACACACCAAAACCACTGGTAGAGGAGGTTAAACACTCGGAGTCGAAAGAAAGAAGAAGTGATTAATAATTTATTAAAAGTACATTAAAAATAATAAATGGACAAATAACCATTATTGCCAACCTTTACAATCACTATAATTCATAAGTTCTTTTAACACTTCATGCTCAGCATTTTTGATACAGAAACAGGTAGGCTTCAATCTGCAAGTGAAAATTATATTATTTTGCTGACAATATAGACCTGATTCTTCAATACTTCAGATACATATAACTATATGAAGCACAAAAGATAAATAATAATACAAACTGTATTATATTTAGCTTAAATGTAAGTAATATTTAGTCACGCAATCAATAAAGGAATTTAATCTACTTTGCTTTAACTCTAATTCCATTACAATTATTAATTGTAACTGGTGATTCTAACATTTATCCTCATATTCTTTAAGGAAAGAGGGATGAAATAAATTGCAGTTCTATCCCCTAATTGTTAAAATAAACTATAATTGTTTCTACAAAAAAATACTACAAAGTAGTAAAAAAAAGAATTAGGCAGTTTAAAGGAATATTAAAATTAATATAGCATATATAATTAATTGATGAAAATAGAAGATTACATAACATTTATTTAGAAATAAACCTTAGCAAATAGATATGAAAAATTCTGAATTTAATATCTGGGCATCGATACAAATAATAAAAATCAAGAATAATATTGTATTTTATTCTCAGATTAATTATGATTTACTTGCCCTGGTATTAATGCTATTATTCTATCAATTTAATATCCCTTTTAGAATGTAATTAAATCATATTAACATTTCCAGATCATCATGATTAACTCCTTACAATTTTTCAATCCTTCTAAAATAAACAACAATTATTATGACTAACACTAATGAATATTTACTTCAGCATTCGTCTTATCAGAATATCTGTCTACCGTTGTTTGATTTAAATTCTAAGTTAACTTATTTAGACTTAAATTCAAATAATGCAATGCTATCTCATAAACAGTATTATTCTCGTATAAGTAATTATTGCAAAGGCTACCAACAATTGGATCATTCGAAAAATCTTATTATGAGTATTAAATTTACTATTTTTTAATGCCAATTTTAAGATTTTCTAGAAATGGTTCATATACTTAATTTAATATTCAGAAACTGCTAAACAAATTCCATTAAATGATTAACTTTGTTTTTACTTATCATAATCATAAAGTTAATTTTGATTATCTCCCTTATTTTCTTTATCCAGAATTTTAGATAATTGGCTGATTTTTACAGCAATACATTTACTTAATACAAATAAGATCTTATCTTTTATCTCTGTTTAAACAGCTTAAGAATTGATTAAATATTATGAAAACTTAAATAAGTATCGACAATAGTTTATCTAAAATATAAGAATTTAATTATTAGTTTTATATCCATCACCCTATTAGAGGGAGAGCGTTTATTACAAATTAATGCTATTAGTATTTTCAGCTTAAATATTCAACGGATGCTTAATTTTATATTGTGGTAGTTAAAATTAATATTAACTTGATGACCTTTAGGGAACATCTTATTAAGCATAACATTTTTTATTCCCTTCATTTACATCATTTTCAAGGTTACCTTAATCTTAATTACAATTTCTCTTTAAATTTTGAGTTAAACTTCTTTTGCTCTTTTTTGCTTAAGAATTGTTAATCAGTGTATTGATTTTCTTTAATTGTGAGAAACAATCATCTTGCAAATAACAATAAAAATTTTTTGATTAAATAATTTAATGCTCATACATAGCTTTGACATTGAGTCGCTCATGATCATCAATTTACAAGCATTTTTTAATAAAATCTTTTGACAACTCAGAAACAGATGGTGTTTAAGGTATAATTAAAGATTTATTAAGAATATTAGATAGTAGGGCTGCTTCTGATTAAGCATTAAAAGGTGTTCTACCTAACTAAATTTAATAAGGTTTTACCAAAAAGCATCTCAAAATAAACTATTCCAACAGCCCATACATCCCCTTTTTCAGAGTAGTCTTAATGTTTCAAGGCTTATGGGGACATATATAGGGGAGTACCCACGTTGATGTTTCTCTGCTAAATTCTTGCTTACCAAACAGGAACAGCGAATCCAAAATCTGCTAATTTGGGCTCATTTCCTTTTAACAAAATATTGGCTGGTTTAATATCTCTATGAATAAATCCTTTTAAGTTTATTTCATTTATAGCATTAACTAATGCTTGTAATATTCTAATGGCTTCTGGTTCTTTTATTTTTAAATTTTTTCTTAAGTATTTATCTAGATCTCCCTTCATAAATCATGATTATACCGAATCGCAAAATTCTGTGATTATATAAGTGTTATTTGAGGTTTAACATACATCAATGAGCTTGAGAATGCTCTAGTGATTGAACGATTTCAATGCATTGATCTCATTTTTAAGCAATTGTTTATGTATTGTTTGCTTCAACTTCTTCATGTCAATTACCTAAACAAAAATATTTTCTTACTTTAACAGCAACATTCTCTAAAGTTCTTTCGTCTCTCCCTTTATACACTCTACTACTGAATCCCTTACCTATTTCTTAGTCAATAGCATAAGAATAATGATCAATAGCTTTTCTTTTTTCAAAACCTCCTCTACTTAGAATACTTTGAGTTTCTATGTAATAACTAAAATTTTACATCTATGAGGACCCTAAGAATGAAGATATTGAGGCAAATAAGTAGAATTTTAGAACATATTTTTGATATTAATTAAATACCAGATTAATGAGAGTTCAATAATTTAATCAATTAAAGATACTTTTAAATTAATTTAAATAAAATCTTCTTCACTAAATTTTTAGTTTAAAGTAACTATTTATCGTTAAATAAATGATTAAAATATAAGAAAAATTAAAAAATGAAAATGCTTGTTCTGTATTGTAGACTAGAAAGAGGGATTAAATTAATTGAGTCTGATTTTTGAAGAAAATCCAATAAAAATTATTGATTTATTTGGTTTAAGTTTCAATTAATCATTCTAAATGGGAATACTTAATATTTATAATATCATTTAACTATTGATTTAAAATACTGTATCTATTGAATAAACAGGTTACAATTAGGAACTCAATCATTATAATTGATGAACTAGCTAAATGAACTACAAGAATACTTCAATTTTTCACCAAAACTAAATAAAATATATTCGCATGCTAACCTTTTTAAAATTGAGAAAAGGTATTCAATCAAAAATTAAAATATGAGTTATTTGAAAATAATTACTTACCAAATTTATGTCTTTTATATTCTTAAAGCTTCTTGATAAAATGTTAACTCGATTACTACTGCATTCATTACTTAAAATTGAAATAGTTATTTCAAATCTTTTGCGTCATGGCAACTCTTTTGTTAATAAATATTTAAATTACATAATTCTTGAGTAAAACAGAACTAAATAAAAGATGATAGTAGTGATATTGGGTTAATATAATTGTTAATTTAGAATTGTATCAATATTAGATATTATAGGTAATATTATTGATAAGAATTATCATAATTTTAAACAATCATGTTCTTCATTTATAACTGTATGTAAATTTTATCATTCATGCTCCTCAAATGAAAGAAATTAATTAATTAATTAAGCATCTTTTCTTTATAATCATCTTCTCTGAGTGTATATTAGTATGATATTCAAAATTGGCATTATAGATTGAATATAATATATTCCAAGTGAGTGATTGAATGAATTCAAAAAATTTTTAATCTTTTATATTTTTTTAAATAAAAATGGGCAGAAGACCAGCAAGATGCTACAGAGTGAGTAATGGTAAACCATTCCCCAAATCCAGATACAACAGAGGTGTGCCAGATGCTAAAATTAGAATCTATGATGTCGGAAGAAAGAAGGCCAACGTTGATGAATTCCCAGTATTGAATAATTAATATGAATTAGGCTGCCATCCACATTGTTTCAGATGAAAAGGAATAAATCTCATCAGAAGCCTTAGAAGCATGCAGAGTTGCCATCAACAAATATATGATTAAGAAAGTCGGAAAAGACGCATTCCATCTTAGATGCAGAGTCCACCCATGGCACGTACTCAGAATCAACAAAATGCTTTCATGTGCTGGTGCAGATAGACTTTAAACCGGTATGAGAGGTGCCTTCGGTAAACCAAATGGTTTGTGCGCCAGAGTCAAAATCGGCAGCATTCTCTACTCTTTGAGATGCAAGGATGCTTCAATCAATCATGCTATGGAAGCTTTGAGAAGAGGAAAGAATAAGTTCCCAGGAAGATAAAAGATTGTTGTCTCAGCCAAATGGGGATTCACCAACTATTTCAGATCTGACTATCTCAAATATAAGGCTAATGTAATACCATTAATTAATAATTTAGGATGAATTATAATACTATGGTACTCACGTACAAAAATTGAGATAACACGGTAAATTGGATAAATTGAAGATTTTCTAAGCCCTTAGAAAATGATTGTTAGAATAATCACATCATATATTAAATTAAAGTATTTTAGTTTAGTTCTAATTTAATTTATTATCATCTAATCTATTTATAATTAAAAGTGTCCTGTAAAAGATTTGATTGATCAATATTCATTAGAAATGATTTTCAAAATAGATAACAATAGACTATTAAAAATCCTTTTTCTTAGATGACTTTCAAAACAATTAAGAACTAAGAGTAATACTTCAATTGATATCATAAGTCATTTGAATTTTATTCAACCAATTCATAAAGTAGTTTTACTATTATATATGAAAAAGTTTATTAATCCCATTTTGAAAATATCAGAAAATTGATGAAATAAAATTTATTCTTCATTATAAGTTAATCGTCCTTTAAATTAGTATGTATATTATTCTATTACTTAAAAGAATCATTGAATAGGAAAACCAATATTAGGAAGATAGAGTAGCCAGCAATATTAGTTGAAAGCACATTATAGTATAATACTTATCCGATTATGGATTTTGATATGCATCTTCTCTAATTTCATTTTCAATATCAAACTCAGCTACATCAGGAGATAATTAAAATAATTATTAAAAATCTAATTACAATTAATGAATTCATAAACTTTTTAATTTAACAAATGAATTAATATTATCATATCAAGTACAAGGTGAATTCTTTTATCTTGAATTTTTGAATCTTACCTACTTTTTTTGGGAAGAATTAGTTTGAATTTCTAAATCTTTTCTTTTCAAAATTGAATTCGGAGTTAACGATCTAAATTTAGTAGGACTCTCTAATCGAATTATGTATGTATGATCAACACAAATATCACTTATCTTTCTTCTAATGATTTAATGTTTATCTTTTTTCTAAGGTATATCTGAATATTTTCTATTTGTTACTATTTTGTCTTTCTGTACATGAATATAATTTGGAGATTCCCTTTTTTTACTTGATTTCTGGAAAGTGGGACACTGTTTTTATAGTGGGGACTAAGAATTGCTCTTTTCTTATTACTTTTTTTTTGGAGAGGCTGTAAAGAATTTAGAACTTTATTATTTGTTTTATTGGTTTTTACGCAGGTTTTAATATTGTAAATTTATCTATATTTTAGGTTGGAGTATTTTCTATGTTTTAGAGGGGTTTTATGGTTTACATTCTTTGATTTCATAAAATTCTTTTTAAAATATACTTTCTTCAGTAGGAATTCTCACAACAGATTTAATTTCATTGTATTTAGAGATGAGAGGCTTAATAGGTGATGGTAATTGAGCATTAGGTATATCCATTTATGTCATTTAACTTGCTCCAAGAATACTATCCATTTAAGGTTTGAAAATTTGATTATTCTCACCAAAAGAATCTGATTTATTGAAAGTACTTCTTTCTGATGCTTAGGAATTGTGCGAACAATTGCTCCCCATTTCAGATTTATTATTTAATAATATTTAAATAAAGTTAGATCTTGAGTGACAGTATTTCTTACAAAGATAGTAAGAAGTAATAAAAAAGAAATGTAGAATCTTTTGAACATTAGTTTTACGAATTTGAATCATCAATTGCTTTCATATAATAACAATTATATAATTATTATTTATTTGAAAATTACGAAATATTATTAAATTTTAGAAATTTATTATTATATTTAATAACTATAATTATATTAAATTATTAAGTTTAAGCAATTAGTTACATTAAACATAATGATTATAGGTAGAAAAATATTGAAAAATAAATCAAGCTTGCCTGAGCTTTTCTATAACAGCATCCATAATCTTTCTTGGATCTTCTTCTTCAGCCTTCTCAGCATTCAATTGATCGTAATCTATCTCCACACATCTTTGGACTTTCTTGTGAATGATAATGATATCCACTAAATTGTCTAATAACAACATGATTGGTCTAGAAGGAGCTCTCTTGTGTTCCTCAAGCATTTCCTAACTAAAAATAATCAAAAAATTAATACCATAATTATTTAATTAATGTAGTTAAGGTTATATTTAACTTATCGCATTCGGTATCGGTGCAATTCTAATCCTTTGAATTTATATCTAATTCTCTATCACAATGCTGCAATTACCCGTTTCTTTGTAATGTTTCAATTAAATCTGAATGAAATTATACATACTAATCATGATCTTTCTTTATTGCTGGGACCATGATCTGATTAGCTAAAGTATATAAAGCATTTTGCATTGCCATATTAGTTTTGCTCAAGCAAATCATAACTTTTTCTACAATACTATTTTTGTTAGAAGTGTATCTTGGGAATAATTCAGTTGTCAAGACAAAATTCCTAAAAATAATCTCATTTCTTAAACTCTTAATAGAAGGAGTTTGAGGTTAAATTGAAATGGGTGAAACAGGAGCAGATGTTTATTGCACAGGTGGTTAGGATGGGCCTTAGAAGATAGACTTCTTTCTTTCCTTTTCATTGTTTGAAGAATTCTAATGATTATTTGCTCTAATATTTAAATTAGGAGATGTTTGAATTCTCTAATCAGAGGGGAGATTGACAACTTCAAACATTTCAAATACTTTTTCCCATGATATTCTATCATTTTCTTCAATTGTTAATGTTTTCCTTAAGAATTCTTCAGATTTGGATGTCAGAAATCCTTTTTTGATTGAAACAGGAACACTTAAAATATTTTTCAATAAGTCTCTTTCGTCTCTGCCTTTCCAAGGAACATCAGTAAAGACCATCTCGTAAAATATGACACCAAGAGACCAAATATCACATTTGGTAGAATAGGGTTTTCTTGCTAAAATTTAAGGGGCCATGTAGAGTGGAGATCCAACACATGATCTTAGCAATTGATTGGTGAAATTATCAACATATTTAGCGAATCCAAAGTCAGCAATTTTGAATACTCCTTCATGACTAAGAATATTTGCTGGTTTTAAGTCTCTATGAATGATGGCATTGGATACTAGTTCACGGAATCCTTGGATGATCTATTTCATAATTTTCCAAGCATCTTATTCATTGTATTTTTTTCTACTCATAATTTCTCTTAAATCTCCATCTTTACAAAATTCTGTTATGATGTAGAGACTTCTTTGAGTTGAAATCAAATCTATAAATTTGACTATGTTTTTATGATTGAATTTCTTTAGAATTTCGATTTCTTATATGATTGATTGTTTAAGATAATTATCTCTTTCAAAATTACGTAAATCAAGTTTTTTGATGGCCACTTTTAAATTAGTCGTGGTATCAAGTCCCTAGTATACTTTACCGTAAGCACCCTCTCCTAAGCAATGCTTTAGGTTGTAGCTGTAATTACCAATAACTTTGACTTAGCCTTATTACATATCAACGGTTAATATTTAAAATAAAAATCAAAAGAAAAAATAATGTATTTAATAAATTAATTAAAAAATGCCCAAAATTGAAAATACTACGGGAATGCCAATAAATTTGATTATTGATGAACTAAAAAGTGATGACATACGAAAAAGGATTCATTCAGTCAAGCATTTAGATTTAATTGCTAGTACAATAGGTCCAGATAGAACAAAAAATGAACTCATTCCGTTCATTTAAGGTATGCAAATATCTAATTTAGAATTGCTGGATGATGATGATGAAGTACTGATAGAATTGGTAGATTCACTATCAAGAAATTTTGTGGAGCTTGTAGGAGGTTAAGCATAAGTCCTACTGCCTACATTCGAAGCATTGTGCAGAGTAGAAGATGCTTCAGTAAGAGAAAAAGTAAAATAATAATTAATGAAGGCTGCCAATCAAATCAAAAAATGTCTAACTCAACTTCCAGACTAAAAGAAAGTAGAAGAATTATCAATTGGAATTATAAAGAGATTAAACGATAGCGATTATTACATGGCTAAGAATGCAGTAGCAATTTTAATACCAGCAATCTTTAATTAAGTTTCATAGAATAATTAGAATGACTTAATAAATATCATACTCAAATTGTCTTAGGATCAAATACCTCAAGTTAGAAAATTCACATCCATGTATTTTCAGGTATTAATTTTTTCAAAATTTAGGATTTGGTTAAACATTTCCCATTAATAAACGAAACCTTCATCCAAAACATATTGAATTCCTTCATTAAAGACGAACAAGACTTCATTAGAATGTACATAGTAGATGCATTAATACAATCAAGCAAAACTCCTTTCTTCCAAAAATAATAAAACTTTATTCTAAACATGTTTAAATAACTAGCTGAAGATCAATCATGGAGAGTCAGATTCTACTTTTGTGATAAATTGGCTGAGGTAACTCTATTCATTAATCTAAAGATAGGTGAAGCGGTAACCAAAGATGGCTACAGAAAGAATTTCTAAAATTACCATCTCAAGTTCTTATAAGATGCTGAACCTGAAATGAAATCAATAGCAGCATTGAAAATCGAAAGAGTCAGCGGTCTCATGGATCCAGAAGATATCCTAAACAAACTAATCCCTCTTTTGAAAACAATACAGTCTGATACAAATGCATTTGTTAGAAGTAATTTATCATACTAATAAACCTAAAAGACGCTCTAGCCTCTTCAGTCTTGGCATTATGTCCAATTATTGGTAAGAAGAATACAAGTGAACAAATCTTGCCAATCTTTTTGACCCTACTCAAAGACTAAGATTCAGAAGTCAGAATAACCCTCTTTAAGAAATTAAGTCTAATCACAAACGTATTGGGTGTAGATTCATTATCCCAAAGTGTTATTCCAGCTTTGACAGAATTAGCACAAGATAAGAATTGGAGAATTAGAGCTTCCACTATCGAAGTCTTGAGTTTCTTCGCAAGAGCCATTGGCCCTGAATTTTTATCTGATAAAGTTCTGAAATTGCTATTGGATTGGATGGGTGACAAGGTCTCTTCAGTTAGACAAACAGCTATATAATAAACAGCCTAATTGATATCTATTCTTGGATTGGCTTGGGCAGACAAAAACCTATTAACAAAAATATGGGCATTTTAATCAATTTAAAACTACCTTCATCGATTAACTGTTTTATTCACAATCAATGTATAAAACTTATTTTATTTTAGCAAATTACTTCTTAATTAACCAATGATTACATTTTAAAAACTATAGTCCCCATTTTATAAGCGATGGCCAAGGATTCAGTTGCTAACATTAGAAGCAATGTTTGTAGAACATCCATATAATTGGCTAAGGAAAAGGGAGGTAATATTGCCGATCCTATGAAAAAAATTCTATAAACTCTTAGTGATGATTAAGATGCAGAAGTCAAATACTAAGCAAAAAGCGCATTAGAATCATTGTGACTTACATAATGGTTAATAAATTATAAAATATAATTAAATATTCCTTCTTATGGTAAATTTATGATTCATATTTCAGTCATAAATAGAAATTAAAATCAAATATCCTTTATTACATATATTGAAGGATCTTTGGCTAGATTGGTTCTTATGAAGTCTTTCAGATTTTCAATGCTTTGATTACATTACTTTAATAAATCCATAAATTCTTAATCATTTTGATATTCATCAGTCACCTTATCTAAAAATTCTTTAAATTAGAATTAAGACACATCAACTTACTCTGTTTTCATAATATAAGTCATGATGCACTGATTGAGTGATTATTAATATTTATCTTTCCATAACTAATTAAGAAACCATAATTACAAGCACTCTGTCTTTGATATTGGTTTAAGGAGGATTTTTAGCAAAGTCCGATTTCATTTCATCTAAGTAAAATAAAATATCTCCTGTTAGCTTCTTAAAAAAAGAGCAGACTGAATCTCTATCGTAATTTGGTATTTGCATTATAATAATAATAATAATAAAATATTATAATTTAAAATTCAATGCCCAAATTAGTTGATTATAAAAAATTAAAGGCATCTATTCAGCTGCTTAATAATATAAAAATGTTTGTTTATATATCTCTAATTGTTTACACTTTATCCTCAATAATTTTTGATCATAAATAATAGAGTGTTCTCCAAGTTTATATACTTATAACTGGTTTTAAAAAATAAAATTTGTTTAAGTAAACTCTTTGATTGTTTCAATAAAGGTTGGTTGTGTGGATCTCACGAAAACAGATAAGTTATTCTTATTAGAATGATAAAATAGAAAGTATTTCAGCAAAAAAATGAACACTATTTATTGTTCAAAAATAAAAGTTAATAGACTAAGAATCAACTCAAGGATGTTTATCAAGATGCATATTGATATTTGAAAAGATATTTACGATATATTGCCGGGATTTAAGATAAATTAATTATCAAAAAATTTCATTCCATACGTAATTTTTTTTTCATGTTGTCAGTTTTATTTATATCAGATTATATTAATTCTGGTGTTTATCTAATGAAATTTAATATGTATTATTTTTAACATTTAAAAGTATGCAAATAAGAAATTCTGATAATAATAAATATTTTTTTCAATTTTTATACAAATTCAGAAAATGGAAAATTCAGCCCTCATCATCGTTGATGTTCAAAATGATTTTTGTGAAGGAGGATCCCTACCTGTGTAAAAATCCTCTGAAATCATCCCTAAGATAAATTAAGTCAGAAAATACTTCAAACATGTTATATTTACTAAAGATTGGCATCCTGAAAATCATGTCTCTTTCAAAATAAACCATTCAAACTTGGATGAATTAAAAAAGGAGGAAGTTGACAATCTTTGGCCAGTTCATTGTGTACAAAACACATATGGAGCCGAATTACACAAAGACATCTAAACTGAAGAAGGTGACATAATTGTTCTTAAAGGGACAAATTATAAATATGACAGCTACAGCGGCTTTGGATGTAAAGAAGACTAAACCAACTTACATTAAATTGTATTCTATAGTTCTATTAACTTAGCTTCAATCCTTAAATGTGGACACTATCTATGTTGGAGGACTTGCTTTAGATTACTGTGTTCTCTTCACTGTTATCGATGCTCTCAAATTAGGATACAAGGTTAAGGTTTTGAAGGATTGTACTTAAGCAATAGACCCAGAAAATGCCAAAAGCAAAATCAACTAATATTTTGCTGAAATCCGTCGATAAGACAACACAATTTTGGAAAATTCACTACGAATTTTCACTTCTTATGAAGTAGAAGAATGACTAATATACTTCTTTATTATTATATACAAGATTAATCACTTTTTCTATGTGTTTTTGTATTTAGTCAAATTTTAAGATAAAATTTTATTCTTAATATTACTTTCCCGATATTAATTATTAAGAGAATGAGTTTACATTGTTTAAATTACTTTGAGAAGCACAACTTGTAAAATTAGAAAAAACAATAATTTATTATAATTTTTAATCATTTTTTTGTCCTATTTTATTCTAAATTCTCGATTTAAGTTATCAAGTCCTACTTTTCTAAGATGGCTCTTTATAGTTATTCTTTATATGATAATAATAAAATAGATGTTCTTTATATTATGTTTTGAAGTTAAGATATTGTTTACTTATCTTTTTCTCTAAAAGACATTGCATTATATAAATCAAATGATTTTTTCTAAACAGCATCCTTAGCCTGATTTCTCATTCTTGGTTTAATGCTGCTTGAAGTAGTAGAGGGTGTTCTCACATCAGGCTTAAACAACAACTAAGATTATTATTAATTTGGAGTATAACCATTCAGATATTATTAAGAAAAACTGTCTTAATATGATAGTTATTGCTAAGACTTTTAGGATACTAATCTGGAATAAGGACTAGATTTAAGCAGTTACTATAATCCTTGACTAATTGCTTATTTTTTATGGCTCTATTTCACTGCTATTGGAGTAATTAAATCTGCTTATGAATAATTGATTCTTCTATGTAATATATTTTATATTTGTTTCCCAGTTTCTGGACTAATTGTAGATTTCCTCTGTTATTCTAAATAGGGGTATTCTCCCTTTAGAACAGTATTCATTTATTATAAATTATAATTAATTACATATGAATCAATAGTCGAGATTGGCAGGGGATTTTATCAATCAAAGAACAAATTTATTGGCTTAAAAACTGAGAGAATCAGGAGAGGATTCAAGGTAATAAAAAATAATGTAGAATTAGATTGGAAGAATATTTGAGATAAAAACTAATTGAATGCAGATGGAGGGATGATCTGAAAGATTACTGTAAGGAAGTCATAAGATAAAAAGGACTTGAAAAAATAACTATTGAAGAATTGACAGATATGTTATATGTTAGAGGATAAGCTACTATTCCAAATAAAGTGAAGGAAGACTTATTATCACGACTGAGACAATTCTTTGATGAGAATCAAATATGATATGTAAACTGGTCATTATAACATTTATTAAATAGAATTTTTCAATTCTAATCGTATATTCGTCACATAATCAGGAGTGATATTTTGAAAATTCCATTCCTGTTTCTTCATTATACATTCTGCTAATCTCTGAATGATTGCAATTGAATATACTCCGCAATCATAAGAATTAGTTTGTTTTGGCACTCCATTGAATTTGATAACTGAAATGTCTTTTTAGATCAATGTCTCATCATTTTTTATTATTGCCAACATTTTTTTAGCAATCATTTCAGCACTACTCTAAATATCAAAATTATAGTGTCACTTATAAATCTGAATTCGATCCTGAATCGAAGAGATAAAATTAAGATTCATAAAATAACAGCACTCCCCAATGTGTGCCATTAGGATTCTAACAATCGTTTATTGCTGTGATAATGCCTTCTCCTCTTACCAATTCTTATTACACAGACATTAAATCTTCAAAATCATTTTCAAATATAAGAAAAGTGGCAATAGAAGGATCAAGCACTGAAATTCCATTTGGTATTTCCTTGATCAAGTATTGAGTTCCGAAATATATGGCTTCAGCTGTTAGCCATTGTTTATTATTCAAAGAATCGATATCTCTTTGGTGCAATTATGCATTCTTGAATTTCAATGGATAAGAGTTTTGATTCATTTATTATTATTAAAATGGAATATGAAATTGTTGAATAAATAAATTAGGATTTCCATATTCATCTTCATAATTAATATGATTTCACAAAATTTAGGACAAAAATTTAGTCATCCATTAAGGAATGAGCAAGAATATCCAAATAATTTGAACCATAGTTATAAAGTTATATTGATCGAGTTTAGTTGATAGATAAGCATTGCTTTTTTTAATGCTAGCCCTTAAGGAATTAGTGTTAATTCTAATTCTTTATAAGATCTCAAATGTTATATAATTTCTAGACCTAACTTCTAATTGATTTTAAAGTCTCCTATATTTATAAATCAAATTTTAATTCCCAAATAATGATATAATTCGAAATCGCATAAGGTCTAATTAATTCAAGAGTTAAATTCTGTTTTTGAAGGATGAATTTCCATAATTTATGTTAATTTTAGGTTAATTATGGATGAATTTATTTACATTTTTTAAAAATTATAATATCAATTTATGTAGATTTACTACTCAATAGAATTTGAGAAATTTATAGAAAATCACTAGAGAATTTAAGTTAAGATAATTCCATAAGAATTTAATTAGTTAATAATTTTGATTTTTTAAAATTAATTGTAGATAAGGTTAAAGCTGATTCTCAATCAATATATTTGAATTTATTTTTTGAATGGTAGTATAGATAAGATTAATAAAATTAACTTGATTGTTTATTTGGTAATTATTGAATAGAATAATTTAAAATATGTAACTAATTTAAATAAAGGTTATAAAGACCAAAAACAATAGAAGATAGAGAAATGCCCTAAAAAGAAGGCTTATCCAGGAATGACTTTTATAAATGTCAAAAAAGACATCAGAATTTGAATTTAATTAAGGTATTTAACAATAAAATGCGGGATATCATGACCTTTAATTTGATCATTTGTATGAAATTTTGAAATATTGAAATATTGAAAAAAAACAATATAATTTATTCTCAAAACAATATTATCTTACAAAGACTATTTTGAATAATATATGATAAGAACAAATATTAAATGCTGACTAATTTGAAATTTCAAAGAATCCCTACGGTTAAAAGTGATCATAAAGGAGAATTTTGATTGAATTTGAATATAGTTAGGCTAGAGACACATCATTCTTTTAGATGTTATTTTTGAGAGAATTGTTATTAACATTAATAATTTGATAAATTCTATAATGTTGATGACATTAGATTTAATAAATGAATATGGTAATTGAATATGAGTATAAATATTGTTTATCATAAAAATATTAAATATTAATATAAATATAATTTCAACAATTTATGGCTTAACCCACTCCAAGAATTATCAAAGAGACATAAAACTTAGCCAAAGACAAAGTGTAAGGAATTGATGTGACTCCAGATCCACAAAATTTCAAACATTTCTTTGTCATAATATCAGGACCTCCTAATACACCATATGAAGGAGGTGTTTTTGATGTTGAATTGCTTTTACCTGATGATTATCCCATGGTAATATTACTCAACATTAAGTGATTAGTACATCCACCCAAATGTGTTTTCAAATACTCAAGATTTATCATCCAAATATTGATAATTTGGGAAGACATTTGCTTGGATGTATTAAAAGATAAATGGTCACCAGCATTATAAATCAGATCTATCTTGCTATAAATTCAGGTGTTGTTGAGCTACACCAACCCCAGTATGGTTTGTCATAAGGTCCTTATAGGACGACCCATTAAACATTGAAATTTTGTGTTTATGGAAAGCTAATGAAGGCCTTAAGCTTTGTCTTTGGCTAAGTAGAATGTCACATTAAAATATGCGTGGAGTGGTTGATTAGTATAATCTATTGAAAAAACAAGCATATATTTAATTTCTTTTTCTTATATATCAATTGGAATGGCAAAATATATTTCACATTGTTTAACATCAAATACTTATAATTTAAGTTGATTTTTCTGAGAATTTCATTTATTATTTAATTTAATAATTATGATTTCATAAAATTTTCTATAAACTGCTCTAACCAGATTTAGAATGGCGGCAAATAATGAGAGAGTAAATTCAATCTAGGTTGAAGACATTTTGCAAGCTTTAAATTATAATGAGTCATAGATACGCTCAATAGTCTCTTAAATCATATCTGAAATAGGTGAGATGATTTACTATATAGACATTAATTAGTTCCAATAATTGCTTCAGCCAGTTGAGTAAGAAATTCCAATTGAAAAATTGACATCTGAATAACTTTATGTAATTCATGGAGAATTTAAGCAAGCTTTGCATGTGCAACACATTGAGAAAGTAAAGCAGATCTTAAGTACACAATACCTTCTAAATTCTTAGATAAATATTAAGCAGAAGTAGATTTAGTAAACAGAATAGATCCATAAACTAGACAAATATCTACATTTATAGCAATATAAGGGTCAGATGAGGAAGTTTCTTTACAATTGCTAAGGCTATTATGTGAGTTGGGGGCAAATGTCAATTTTAAAGATAATCTTAAATAATCGATCTTATTTTATGTTTGTAGAGATGGCAAAACTAAACTGTTTGATTATTTGATTTCTTAAGAAATAAATATCTCAGATCCTGATTCCTATGGTTAGACTCCATTGTTCTATGCATCAAGAGAAAATAGAGTGGATATAATTTAAAAGTAAATATAAGAAATAACCATTTAAGATTCATTAGGTTGGGTGTTGATGTGGCTCATCTAGATACATTATCATGTCAAACGGCTTTATTTTATGCTGCAAGTAAAGGACACTTTGAAGCTTGTAAATTGTTGATAGAAGTAAGATTACAATTCTAATATTAAGGCTGGCTGTCCAGTTAATCATCAAGATAATAAGAAAAAGACTGCTCTGTATTTTGCAAAGTAATCTTAGAAAAAGGAAGTGATTGACTTAATTACAGCAAGTATGACAAAGCAAAAGGAAGATGTTCACTAAAAAAAGGAGGAGGTCGTCAAAGTAAATGATTAATAAAAGCAAAACAGAAAAAAATAAAAAGATGTGCCAAAATAATAATACAAAATTTTACATACTGATGATAAGGGACAACAAAGAGAATTAACAAACGATGATTTTACAAGGTTCCAAAGATAATATCCTGAAATTGCTTAATTGATTTTAAATGCTGATGATGTCATTGACGATAATATGATAAACTAAAGCAAAGAAGATGAAACTTGGGAGAAATTAGCCAAAAGATTAATTGGTATGTACTAATAAAAATTTAGCTTAAATATGGAAGTCAAAAGGCGCTTACTTCTTCCATAAACCAGTTGATTAAAAAGAATATCATATTAGTGATTATTTTGAAATTGTTAAAAGACCCATGGATTTCGGAACAATCAAAGTAATAATCAACCTATATTCAGAATAAATTGAATGTAAATGCTTACAAATCCTGCAGAGAATTTCATGCAGACATGCTATTAGTCTTTGATAATTGTGCCCTTTATAACGGTACATAAAGTGCTATTGGACAAATTGGAGGTAAATATAAGAAATGAATACTTGAGCCTTAAAGATCAATCTGGATTAAGCAAATATTTATGATTCAATTTTGCATTTCCATAATTATTAAAATATAAACCCTAAAAATTTGATATGATAAATAGATATATAAAGTAAGATCAAATTGATTTATTATATTATTATATAATACTCATCAACTAATGTATTTATCAGCTTATTGCTCTAGCACTTTTGAACTTTATTTGGCATGTAAGAATAATTCATGAACTTCTTGAATGTCTTGTCTTCCGATTTCCTCTCTTCCAGAAGTCTAAGCAAGTATGTTTGCTGGAGTGAGCAAAAGAATAGCGAATCTAGTTTTGAAATTAACCACATATATACCTTAGAGATGCTTCATTTCCTATTTAACTGAGATCTTGTAAGGCTTCTTCGGAAATTTTTATTCCTTCAGTTTAAGCTCTTATGGCCAATATTTTGATAATATCTTCTAAATTATACGGAGTAGTTCTGATAATTAGCAATCTGAAATGATAATACTTAAAATAATATTACCTGTCTAACAAATCAACTGGTAATCCATGTGGACTCACAATGTCTGTTCCTCTGATTTAAGATTGACCTCTATTGGTAGCCAAAATAACAATAGGAGCTAAAGTAGACTCCAAAGCTCTATTTAAGAATGTAAAAGCCTCTATATCAAGCATGTGACATTCATCTATAAATAGAACTCCTGGAACTAATTCAGCAACCCCTTGATCAATATATTTGCTCACGACTTTGTTGATTTCACCTCTCAACTTGTCTGTGATATCGGTTTTCTTTTTTTTATTCAATTGATTCATTAATGAGACAAAATCATGACCTCCTTATGGTTTGGCATTGGCTATATCCAAATCATGTAATGTAACATCTTAAACAATTTCTTTCTTTTTGTGTACATCACCTTTGGGTAATGGAACATACTCTTCTGCCTCTAAATCATATTCACTATTGTAGATGTCGCATCTGCCTACTCTTTTAACATTACCACTATTAGCTTCAATATAGATGACATCTCCAATGGTTACTTTTTCTCTTGTTAAGTTTTCATGGATTGAAGGATCTAGTTTCAATGTCTTTGATCCCTTAGATGTTTTTAGTGTAATTACTACAGCTGATACGACTTTGCCATATCTACGTTATCATTTAAATATGCAGATACCCAGTTTAGTCATCCTTTTCTTCTGTTTTCAAATCTGTAACTTCACCCTCCCAAACTTCTTTAGTTTCCTTAATTCTTAAACCAATTGCTCTCCTAAAATTCTCCATTAGTATTTCTGTCTTTTTCACTTCAGCTGAATAAACCTCTGAACCAACCATTGGATAGAAGGGAACTTTCGATCCCAATTCTTATGCCACCGCCAAAGCAATTGCAGTTTTTCCTGTTCCTGGAGGTCCAGCCATTAACAATGCTCTTCCTGCTAGCTTTTTAGATTTGACTAAATCGACAAATATTCCTGCAGCCTGTAAATATTACTACTTTGTTATTACCTCTCTGGCAATTTATTACCCAACCATTCCAGATGAATTCTCTAGAGCTGTGCCATCCTCTGCTAATCCTAATCCTTTTATATGACTATGATGTGCAATTCTTTGAGTTTTTGTTGTCGATTTCACTTCTTCTATCTACTATAGGTCTTAATTTGTACTTTCATCATGTTTTTAAAAATTAATTTATTTTTAATTAATGTCTAATTAATTTAAGAGAATTCAAAGGTCCCTAAAATTTTGGTCTGATATTTTATGATAGAAAAAAAATTAGTAAAACATTTTAATTTAATCTTAAAAAGACAATGCTTTTATGTTTTCAATCTTTAAGATTTGACTAAAAATAAATAGAATTTTCGACTAGGCAAACTGATTACATTGTTGTAACCTGAAGAAATTATAAAAAGTGTATATTCTCTTGATGGGCACCTTTTTCACATGTTTTTGATGTTGTTCATAAAGAGTGATGAAAATTATATCATATTGATGCAATAATTATATTCTTATTCAGAAAGTAAAGAATGAATAAGTAATATTAAGAAAAATCCGCTCAATTGATATAAACCCTTTAAAATGGAGAATATTATGATAAAAATGGAGAATATTATGATAAAAAAAGAATAAATGCATTATTATAGTGTATTACAATGAAGAATGTAAGCTATGTGTTAATTAAATTGTAAATTTGAATTAATTATATCAAATCATTAAAGGAAAGCTTCTGCTATTCTTTGAGCTTAAAGATTGATGTCAGGATCAGAATCTAAATCAAATTGATTAAGTATAGTATCAAAGCCTTTCGAAATAAAGGTTGAAATTGCTCTATTGACATCGCTTTATGTATTTTGGCCAATTCGATAGGCAAAGTTATATACAATATCTAAACAAGTCAAAACAATAGCTTTTGATGTCTTTAATTTGAGCTGATTCATAACAATATCAACAAAATTTCTACTCATTAGTACATACTCAAGTAAATCTGTATTTTGTAATTGTGAAAGAGATCTAATAACTTCCAGAATATCTTTGATAATTTCAGTTTCATTTTCATCCATTTCCATAACTCTAATAAGGTTGTGTTTTATTATAGTTTATAAGACTTCTACATTTTTATTGGAGCATAAGTTAGTCAATCCCCATAATATTATTTTTTTGAATTCTCTCTATTTGTTTCTGCCTTGTTGGATGTAGATTTATAAAAAGAAATCTAAGATTTTGAACTCATTCACCAACTATGCAGTTATTTCATCATCTGCCAGAGCAAATGATGCTATGATTTCAGTTGTCAACAATTACACGTCTTCATCAGCACTTACCAGCTGCAAATTCATTAAATTGTTAAAGACCTTGAGTTCTTTGAGGATCATCGAATATACTTCTTCTTTGGCTTAACACATATATTTTAGAGTCATTAAGGAATATGATCTTATTTCCTTATCATTTTAATCGATGCATTCTAATACGATTGGCACAATCTCTTTTACCTTTATAAATTAAAGACAATATACTTCACTCAAAGTAAAACCAGCCACATTGCTTGGATCATATTTAAAAAAATTGCTTAAGAACCAACAGAAATCTTTGATATTTTCAACCTGAATATAAATATTAAAACAATACTTCGAAGTGAATTAGTTTCTATATCCACAATTTTCTGATAAAAGAACAAAATCTATAATCTGCCAATTGTCTAGCTTTGATTCCATTATCCATACCAACTAGATTAGCTAATAAAAAGAATATTAGAGATTGAATCTTTTACGATGCCATTTGTAACAAGTCGAACAATTTTCTCATAATAGATTCATTTTGTAAAAACTTCAAATCATCAAAGACATTATAGAAATGCAAATCTGCAAATATAAAAAGCAACTTTTAAATAATACTGTAATCTAATTCTTGCTTATACCAAATATTTAACAATAATGGATATATTTCATGTTTGTTAATTAATCCTAAACTAAACTAATAATAAGATAACTCCTATTACTTCAGCATTTGAGGTCTTTACGTAATTTATAATTTCATCTAAAGTTTCCTCATAATTTTAGTTCACTAAATTCTTGTACCATAGATGTACTTTTTCATCAGTCAACTCAGTTTGATCATTATTAGTTAGCATTCTTCTTTTTTGCCTAAAAAGCTCTTCAGTGGCCTTTCTTCTTATTTCAACTCTAAAGTTGTCCCTTTTTTATTTTAATAAATCCTCTAAGAGTTCCGCCATTTAGTTTTCAATTAATTATAATTATGAAAAATTAAAAATGAATTCCAAATCAAAAAAACCAACTCTTGTTTTTCATAATTTTCATTAATCTATTAGATTCTCCCAAGTCTTCTCTAATATACTAAGTCTTCCTAATTGAATTACTTAAGTTTATTGATTAAGAGTGTAAATTAATAGATATTTAATTCACTTATTATTCAGTCAAATAAGCAGTTCTTTTGGCTGCTTCTAGTTCTAGAGTTTGTCGAATTAAGCGATCATCTTATTTTAATATGGTTTGATTAATTTATCTATCGTTAAATAATTTTTCTCTGCTCGATTCCTCCTATTGACCTAACTATAATTGTTTAAAATCCTTTTCAACTTTAGCCATATCTCTTTTATATTATTTTACTGTCTCCATTAATTCTTTTTTATAGCTAACAGATAAAGTAGATGCTTCCAACTCCATCTATTTTATCTGAAAATGATATATTGAAATTAGTTTACACATTATTCAGCTTATTGAAGTCTATCACAAACTTTGGAGAAACTTTTATTATTGTCATCCTTTCTATCATTACTTATTTTAAGGAGATAATGCATGACTGATTCCATGTGAGCCTTATAGTCTTACTCATAGCTTCTGAACATTTCCGATAAAGTAATTGATGAATTCATATAAAATTTTTATTCACTCATGTAATTCCTTATTATAAAACATGAATGAATTACTTCTGAAAATTTCCGATAAAGTAATTTATGAATTCATATAATCACTAAGTCATTATTTATATAAAAGGCGAATAAATAAATATTAAGAATTAATAATATTCACTTTTAGATATTAATAAATTGGATTGCAAATGAAAACCACTTCAAATAGGTGCAGAAACCAATAAAAGGTAATTTGAGAAATTCATCCAAATACTATAAAACTGCTATATTTTTTAAATAGAATTAAAATAAGATTTGATTGCCTTTGTCTGAATTAAGAGAATCTTTATTAATTGCACTATCTCACTACTCAGTATTCAGCAATAGTGAATGATATGGAGAGGCAACTTAATTTATACTTGTAAAATGAGGCAATTTGAGCATTCAGAATGATAAAATGAAGTAAAGAATGAATGTAAATCAAATATAAATTGAGAGATTGAATGATTTTCTTGAAAAACAATATCAAAAATCCTTCACTTTTTCTGGTAAGAGTAAACTTTTGAATTTAAAGCCCATCTATTTAAATCAAGATCAATATATTTTTTGATAGACCTTAATAACTTTGGACCATGATTGTTTTTATGCTTTAAAATAAAATTTGGGTTTAATATCTCCTAAAATTTAGTGGAAATAATATTAGTAGTTGTGTTAATTTTAATCATTTAAATATTAACTACTGTTTTGCATTAATGAGATAAGCTCCTAATTATTTATAAATTATCTAATGTATTTAAAAATAATCAGATGTAGGAACTCACATAAATAATGTTAAATAGAAAGATGCATTTAATGAAATGATTTTCTATAATGGTTCGCTTAAATTGTAAAAATATTTGGTAATCCTGATTAGCTATAAATTTTAAATCGGGAATGTTCACCTTCCTTAGACGGTTGTTGAAAGATGATGCGGATGAATAATAAGTTTTTCTTTTGTGATTATTTTTAATTCTAATTTAATCGTATTTTGATTTCAATAAGAATGATTTTAGGATAATAATAATTTATTAATTTATAATTAATATTAGTTAGATGTTATCAAAAAGGAAGGTTTCTTAATAAAATCAGGAGGAGTCATCAAATTCAATCGAAAATTTATGCAACAAAATACGTAAAGTGATAGTTAGTGAAGTAGGGGAAAAATACATTTAAAATACTTCAGATAAGGGTCTAAAGAAAAAAAGAACCAAATAAAAAAGTAAAATTTAAGATAATCAATAACATGTTGAGTAAATGGAAAATGAAGCAGTCGAAGTTGAGGAATAGTTATCTTCAATAAAAGCAATTTCTGAATCCCAATCTTGGGTATTCGAAGAACTATTTGATGAAATAAATAAGCTTAATGTACTTTAAGATATTGAATGAACTTCTTTCATAAAATAATGATTAAATTTTTAATTTTAATACTTGGGTTAGTTTTTGCTGGGACTCCTAACAATCAAAAGAAAGTGCTAGTGCTATCTGATAATCCAGCAATTTATGTTTCACATTCGCAATTTTTCAACTTATTGAATAAATCATTCAGAGTGGATTATAAAAACATCTAATCAAATACATTCAATTTGTAGTTGTTTGGAGAGTGGCAATACGATCATCTTGTATTATTTAGCACTACAAACGATTTGAAAGTCAGCACCTAAGAATTATTGGACTTTTACGACTCTGGTAGAAATATTTTATTATTGGGATCAACTGACCAATCTAAGTATTTCAGAAAGTTCTTAAATAGTTTTGGTTTAGACATGCATGAATACGTAATATCAAAAGACTATTGTAGGGCTCGTCTGTGGTGGATTATTTCAATAACATCAAGGGGAATCAAAATATTGTTACCACTAGCAATGTGAATATTCTTAAAGTAGATAAGCCCGTAGCCCATTAAGGAGCAGGATTAGCAATGACCCCATATGAAACATTTTAAGTGTATGGTTTAGTGAGAGGGTCAGAAACAGCCTTTTCAGGTCCCAATCTTAGTCATAATATTATTTATGTTGGAGCAACTTAAGGGAGAAATAATGCAAGATTTGTGGCAACAGGGTCTTGGGAAATATTGAGTGATGAATTTTTGAACAATTCCAATTTGGGAAACTTTGAATTGGCTTAGGAAATCATTCTATGGGGTTTTGGATAATCAAAGATTTTAAAAGCAGAAAATCTGATTCATAGAAGATTAGATTCTGATGATATCAAACCTTATAATTATAGATTGAGAGAGGATTGCTACTTCTCAATTGACATCTTTGAATGGGATCACTAAAAGGATAAGTGGGTCCCTTATGTTTCCACAGATAATGATGTCATTTTAGAATTCGTAATGTTAGACCCATATTACAGACTCCCCTTGAAAAAAGGAGATGGAGCAAAGTATGAATTGTAGTTTAAAGTAATGTTTTAATTTATAAGTTATTAGATACCAGATGTCTATGGTGTATTTTAATTTAAAATAAATTATTTGAAACCTGGATATACATTTTTAAAAATAGCCGAAAAAATAACTGTACGACCGTTTAGACATGATGAATATGGAAGATATTTGGTTTAAGCCTTTCCGTATTATTTTTCGAGTTTTGGAACGATGGCTGGATTTGTTGTATTTCTAATTGCATTTTTATTAAATAAATGATATTAATTAAATTTCAAATAAAAAATACATGTCAAGCGAAGACGAAGTAATCAAGATTTAATATTTATGTTAGAGAATGAAGCAATTGCAATCACTTCCCATTAGAAATTATTTGGATTAAACTGTCGTTCCAATCCTACTTTAAGCAATGACTGAAGTCGCTAAAGTGAGGTGAGTTAGTTTAATTTATTAAAGACCTTCCAACCCCATTGATTTTATTGCTCAATATTTGATATCGAATAATCCAGATAAACCGTTGGCCAGGTAATAATGAGGGTTTGCGAACTGAAACTGATTATTATATAAAAAAATAAACATACTGAAAGATTTTATCACTATAATAAATATTAAACTTCACTTAATGATATCATCATATCCTACTTTGCAATATTACACTCTTGTAAATCCATTGGCAACCAATAATGTATGAGCTATCTTTGCTCTTTATCCAGTTCCACAATATATGCTAATATCTCTTAACTTATCTAATTTCTCTAAATTTTAAGGTAATTCACCAAGTGTAATGAGTTGTGCATGTTTCAAAATACCTCTGCCCCATTCTTCTTTGGTTCTAACATCAACAATTTATGCAAGTTTGCTCCTCTTCAGAAAATCTTAAACCTCTAACTCTGTTGGTTTGCTGATAGAATTTCCTGCTGCTTTCCAATCCTCAAAATGTAAATAACCAATTATATTGTCATAACCAATTCTAGAAAGTCTCATGATAGTTTATTCTTCAAATCCAGGTTCACATACAATCACGATTTCTCTGTCATGAGGTAGAAGTGTACCAACCCAATGAGCAAATGGAATCTAAAGAGGCACATTGATTGATCCAGGAATGAATCCATCAGATATAGAATTTCTAGAATCAATTATTTGTATTCCTTATTTTGAGACAACTTTTGCTGGAGTCAATTTTGTATTAGCCTTCTTTAATATCAAATTTAGATCTTGAAATTGATTAGTTTTGTTTAAGCCTGCATTATAGAAAAAGTATTGTGGGGGCTTGGGCAAATCACTAGCTACCAATTGTACAAAGGTCTCTTAATCCATCTCTTGTAAGGCGTAATTGTTCTTCTTTTGGTTGCCAATACTGCAACTATAACCAGCTGAGATGTTCTTGCCACAAGCTGAACCTGCTCCATGACCAGGGAATACTACAACTTCGTCGGGAAGTCCCAATATTTTTTATCTAAGGGAAGCATAGAGCATTGAGGCTAAATCATATTGAGTAACATCGCTTTTGACTGCCAAATCGGGTCTACCTACTTCGCCTAAAAACAATGTATCTCCTGTGTAGATGCTAAAAAGTTCAGGAATTTCAATACCTATGCTATTTGCCTTCTTCATCATACAATAAAAAGCAGGTTGATTCTTGGGTGTGTCCTGGAGTATGTAGAGCTTGAATCTTAACTTTTCCGAGTTTCAGAAATTCGTTGTCATTCAAAACTTTGTTGATGAATGGAGCAGTAGCCCTTGGACCCATGACTATCTATGCATCTGTTTCTCTCTACAAGCTCAAATGTCCAGCTATGAAATCTGCATGGAAATGTGTTAATAAGACATATTTTATTTTTGCTCCTCTCTCTTTTGCAATATTGCTAAAAATATATAAAGCTAATTTACAGATATGGTTGGATGTCTCTAAGAGGGTCGATGATGATGGCCTCTTTGTTTGATTCAATATAATAAGCATATTCAGCCAAGCATCCTGTAAATATTTGTTATTGATAAAAGCCTTTGCCCAAAGTTTCACTTTGCTTTAGCTAAACTTCCTTAGAGAAATGAAAGAGTGTCCTATTGAATTTTTGCAGTATTTTAATCATATTTTTAAAAATATCCAATTATTGATTAATGTCCTTTAAAATCATAATAAATTAAGATACACAATGGCCACACTAAGATGTTCAGAAAATTAATATTATAATAATTATTCATACTTCACCATAATTAATTAAATAATAATTAATTTATGTTTAAAAGTGTCAGAAGGTACTTGTTTAGCACAGGTTCTTTGTTCACTTGGGGCTAATCTAATGGAAGTTTAGGCTATGCAGTAGGAAGTCAATAATAAGTGAAAGGAGTTTAGATGCCTTAATTAGTCGCTGGATTTAATAATAATGTCGCATAAGTCTAAATGGGTTAAAACCACTCAGCCTTAATCACAAGTGATGGAGAACTCTACACATGGGGGACTGGTAATAGCGGATAATTGGGACACAATAATGGTATTGATCTGATTGCAAATTAGATAAGGATTATAATACACCTCAATTGGTTGAATTCTTTACAAAACATAACCTTAAGGTGAAATAAGTAGCACTGGGAGATTATCATACAGTAGCTCTAACTCATGATGGAGATGTGTGGACATGGGGATATGGAGGCAAAGAGTAAAACTTCATGATGGATTTGTTATTTTTATAAGTTGGAGCTTTAGGTCATGGCGATTCAAAAAATAGATACACACCTACTCCAGTGAAGGCATTAAGAACACTCAAGAAAATTCAACATGTACAATCAGGATTGAGATTCACAAATGCCATAAATGAAAACAACGAATTATATGTGTGGGGTAAAGGCGATTATGGTGTCTTTGGAGATGGAAATAATAAGTCTTACAACATTCCCAAAAGAAATGAGTTCTTTGAGGATTATCTAAAGAAAATTTAAAATCTTTCAATTGTTAAATTAAAGTCGTGCAATAACTATTCAATGGCTTTGATGAGTGATGGCCATCTCTATGGATGGGGTAGCAATGACTTTGGCCAAATGGGTACCAAGAATGAGATTGGAGTTGAAATTTATGAGACAGTCAATTTTCCAACTTAGGGATTGAGAGACAAGTTTGGAGATAACAAGATTGTAGATTTTTTTGTCGCAGAAGATCTTGTTGCAGTACTCTTAGATAATAATGAAGTTTATTGGTCTGGCAGCAAAGCTGAATACTCTCCAGCTAGGTAAATTCATATTTAATTTATTCAGATTTCCTCTACCCGAAGGAATCGCTAAAATCACCAATATTGGATGTTGTTATAGATGCATCGTAGTTGCAACTGAGGATGGTAAGCTTTATTACAGAAAGAAGTTCTTTGGAGGTGGAATTGAAGATCTTTCAACTGGAATTATCACCAACGATGTTGCCTCTGTGTTTTAAAATCAAAATGCTAAAGTCCTTGAATTAGGAGGAGCATATCGTAATCGTTATGCTATCGTCTAAATTTGATCCATTATTTTATTAATAATACAATAGATATTGTTAAAATATATACATTTCTTCTAGATTTAAACTTTTATAGCTGGCAATAACTATATATAGAATTTCAAAATATCGTGTATTTCTCTTTTATTATTTATGCTCCGCAGTAGGTACAAAATATTCGTTTATCTCTGAACTTGTTGGTTGTCATTGCAAATAGACCAGGCACGATGAAACAGAGGAATAATAAGAAGTAACAAAGGTTGGTCATCTCACTTTTCGTGTACAATTCTTCGCCCTCCGTGTCTTTATTACAAAACTTACAATAGTAAAAGAGATTCCTCCTTAACATCCTATTTAATTTAATTTTATATTTAATCATCTTGATTATTTATTCGACTAATAAACACTATCTTTAACAACGAGAGAATAAATTAGTATTAAAGTTGTTTATAAATACGGGAATAATAAATATTAAAATTAACGAATTACTGTTAGTTATGGATTTTGCATAAAGCGAAGAAAGATATTAAAAATTAGAAAAAATAGGAGAAGGCACTTATGGACTAGTCTATAAAGCAAGGGACAATCAAACTGGTGAAATCGTGGCTCTAAAAAAAATTAGAATGGATCATGAGGATGAAGGTGTTCCATCAACGGCGATTAGAGAAATTTCATTATTGAAAGAGGTAACAATAAATTAAATATAATAGGTTCAACATCCAAATATTGTTCCCTTGAAAGACGTAGTTTATGATGAATCAAGATTATATTTAATTTTTGATTTTGTAGATTTGGATCTTAAAAAATATATGGAAAGTGTGCCTTAGTTAGATAGAATGTAAGTGAAGAAGTTCATCTACCAAATGTTACAAGCCCTCAACTATTGTCATCAAAACAGAGTTATTCACAGAGACCTAAAACCATAGAACATACTAGTAGATATCAAATAACAAAACACTTAAATTGCAGACTTCGGATTAGCCAGAGCATTTGGTTTACCTCTTAAAACCTATACTCACGAAGTCATTACCTTATGGTACAGAGCACCCGAGATTTTGCTAGGGTAACGACAATACTCTACTCCAGTCGATATCTGGTCATTGGGATGCATCTTTGCTGAAATGGCTCAAAAGAGACCATTATTTTGTGGAGATTCAGAAATCGATTAGTTATTTAAGATATTTAAGATTATGGGTACTCCTAAAGAATCTACTTGGCCTGGAGTCAGCACTTTACCAGACTTTAAAAGCACTTTCCCAAGATGGCCAACTCCCACTAATTCAGCAGCCACTTTAGGCAAGGACATTAATAATTTATGTCCATTGGGCTTAGATCTCCTTTCAAAGATGATTGTTTATGACCCTTATGCTAGAATCACTGCAGAGGAAGCCCTAAAACATGCTTATTTTGATGATTTAAATAACTGATATCACATTTATACTAAATTATAAATAATTAGATTTCATTTCTTCAAATCCAATCAGTAGATTTAGCCTTTAGTCAAAATCCTAAATCATATGGTAATCAACCTTAAATTTAGTTTCATACCTTTTCTTTTTCTGGTTGAAATTTTCTATTGTAAAAATTAGAAATTGTGAAAATAAATTTATTACACTTTTATAATAAATGTTACCTAAAGAGACAATCATAGAAGTAAGTTATTTTGATTAAATTGTTAGTAAGCTAAAATTATCATCCTTCAGAAAAAGCCCAATTTAAATGTTGAAAAGTTCATGAAATTGGATTTTAGTTTGCTTTGCTGGTAAACAGTAGTAATCAAGCTTACTATCCACTAATTCGAAGATGGCTTGAGTATTACTATTATTAACTGAAGGATAATATATTGGATCGTATATTACTTTGGTAGAAGGGAAAGCCAAACTGTAGAGAATATAGATTGAAAATCAATAATTAATACAAGAATTAGAACTTTTGACAGATTAACCATTCTATTATGGTTTAGATTATTTGGCAAATGATAAGGAATTTTATTAGATCTTAGCTTTGTCTCATTGCACTCTAACCATAATTAAGGATGTTCGTATACAATAGATAATAAGTATAGTAAATTTTATTTAACAAAGAAAATTATTATAGTTTATGCGAATATTAAGTGTTAGAATCCTTGAGCAAAGTTTATTTTTTATAACAAGAACCATCAGTTCTCATATCAATGCTAATCCACGAATCATCTCGAATAAAATTATAAAAGGCTCAATCAGTTTACAAAATCGGTGACTCTGTAAAAGGATTCTATTTGGTACTAGAAGGGGAGATATGCATTAAGAAATTAGTAGAATTACAGACATAATCTCAAGATGATATATCAAATACAAAAAAGTCTCGAAAGAAATTAGTCATTCAAAATATTCTTTCCAAGGACCAATAATTTGGGGAAATGGAATTATTTACCAGAGTCACTCATAGAAATGAATTAGCAGAATGTTATTCATTGGAATGTGATCTGTTATTTGTACCAACTCATTCCTTAGTGGAAGCATATTAAACTAAATTATAAGATCCTCATTTCTCATTAGAAAAACTGTTTGAACAATTTCAAGAATACATCACCTTAAAGAATTCAAAGTAGAGTGAAGCAATAACTAAATACATTCAAGTTAATAAACCTCGAGCTCCGCCTAAACCAGAAATGAAACCCACTTATCCTTTATTTATGAATTTACAGCCCATTCAAAATTTTAAGAACCCTGCTGAAAAAGCTTAACCTTCTCTTTAAATAATAAGAACTAGTTCAATGTACACATAATCTTAAACTCAATTAAAGAAGGTAAATAAATAACCTGAGAGTGTTTTTGTTAACTACTCATTGGCTAAATTAAATAGGCAAGATGGATTGATGACTGTATCTTAATATATTGAAAACATCAAATTGCAATAAAGTGGAAAATCTGGAATAAGTGCTTATTAATAGAAGAAAAAGCTAAAATAGAATGCGTTATCAGTTGTCACTGAAGATCAATAAAAATTAATAGACTATGTGAGACAATTGACTCCATTGTATATATCGAAGAAACGAAATAGTGTTGGTTTGAGAAAAAGTCTACCTACTTCAATTTATTAATCTGCAGGCAAATCAAGTTACATGATGTTAAAACCAGATTTTAGTAAGATGTGAATTTAATATATATATAATAATATTCATAATGGTCACAAAGTTTCTAAGGGTAATCCATGTTACCTCTCTAGGTAATCCATTATGGGAGTTGTAAGTAGGGCTTAAAATAAGAATTAGCAAAATCTCATTTGCCAACCAGCATAAAAGCCAGATATGCCTTTCTCTTGATAGACTTTTTTAAATGCATTCCAAATAGTGAGATTTTTAAATTACTGATTGTTTTCCATCTAAAATTAGGTTTTTATTGAATCGAAAGGTTGTACTATTAAAATGTTTGGAATAGCAGTCAGAACAGAGCAAAATACAATTTGTTCAATTCTCAGTTGGGATTAAGGATGTTGTTTAAAATAATATCTAACCTTATGATCCCAATATAAATAATTTGTCCAAGAAACAACTTATTTCAGCATCATTATTTCCATCCCTGTGAATAGATCTCGAGTGAATCCCTTCAAACCTCCATCATGCTACCACATATACTTGAGAACTAACGAATAAATGATCAATCTACCAGATTTTGATTCGGTTTGAGTCATCAATTAACATTTCACTCTTTCAAATGGGCATGTTATGAAGGATTCAAACAATGCAATTGTTACTCCAGTTAAAGCTTTATGCAAAGTTGGAACTCTGTCCATAATTGGTTGAGGTAATTACTCTTTAAAAAATTTAGGTATGAAGATCATCATTGGCCATCTAGATATTGTTTATAATTTGAACCTATAATACTATTTAAATATTTAAATAGTCATTTGCGAAGAGAACCCAGCAAATATGCCACGAAAGATCCCATTCCTTCTATAACTCTCGAGAAACAACTTCTTTCAGGATTGAATCCATACCTATCTGAAACTATTATTCTATTATGCTTGGATTAGAGTCTTAAAGCGATCAAAAATATGATCCATTGGTAAACCTATCACAGCACGTGACATTCCCACTAGTTAAGTTTCGAACACGGGCTTTAAAATTTCTTTGCCTTTGTAAATCCATTATGTTGTTTCAGACATATTATTTACATCATTTAATCCCATTAAAATTACAGCATAAGTTCATCGAAGTGCGCACTAAATCTGTTATTCGTGAAAGAACTAATAAATTAAATGTAAATTATGATGCAATATTTTAATTACAAATTATATTATTATAATTATAAATTATGGGCAAAAATATTGAATAAGAAGAATTGGAAAACAATAAGACAAAAGAGCAGGTTTTAACAATCAAAAAGAATAGAATCACCAAAATTGCCAAATCCATTAGAAAACTAGTTGTTTTAGACTAAAAACAAATCAAAAAGGCAATAAATGCTTTATTGAAATACAGAGAATCTACTACCACTGACAACATCCTCGACATTAAAGATGATTTTATTTATCTAGAAATTGTCTTAAACAAAATGCCAATCAATTATTCATTGAGACCTGTTTAGATGTAAGAACTATGATCTATTTCAATTAGTAAATTGCCAAATGCCATTTACAATTAGGAGATGAATTCCAAGTTTTGTGTAATCAGCACAAATCCTCAAAGATAATTCAAAGACTAAATTTGTGAATTCGATATACCACTAATCTAAAAAGTAATTGGTTATGGCAAATTGAATAAAAAATATCCAACTTACACTGACAAAAGAAAACTCTTTTATGAATACGATTAATTCTTTTGTGATCAAAGGATATACGGAAATTTAGCAAAGGGATTAGGAAAAATCTTCTATTACAGAAAAAAGTAATTGAATTTTTCATATCTAGAATACCTTTTCCCATCAATTGTGAAAACATCACCTAAGAAACTTTGAATGATTTATCCAACTACACTTATTTTATATAAGGAAATGGCCCTGTATAGTAATTATACATAATATATGTTAGTACTCTTAAAATTGGCAGAGTTGCATAGACTCCAGACTAAATTACATAAAATGTTTTGGCAGCAGCTTATGAAGTCTTGCCTTAAATTTTATAAGAAAAAGGAATGAGCTTAAGTTGCTTAAGATAATTAAATGTCAAGTTGTCAAGTTCAATATCCTTACCATTCTTTTCAAGACTTAGTGTTAGAGAGATAGAAGCATGGAAAAATCAATGATAATTTTTTTTATTTATGTTAAATAAACATTAAGTATATTTAGGGGATAAATAAGAGGTTAACAAGGAAATCTAAAAACTATCTCAATCATCAAAGGCATAATAATTAGTTTCATCTAATTTAATAGAGGATCCATCATTATATGATTATGATGGATTCGTTTCAAAAAAGAACAAAAGCGAAAAAGCACTTGTTATACAAAAGTAGACTGAAGACAAAAAGTCGAAACAGCCACAATTCTTAAATTCTATACTTGAATAATCAAAAAGAAGAGAATTTGAAAGAGAAGCAACAAAATCTAGGATGAATGCAAAAGAAGCTATAAAATCAGGAAAAGAAGTCTATATTTCTGAATCGTATTAAATTATGTTATACTTAGATTTAAACAGCAACATGAACAAATTAAGAGATTTGAGTAAATTGAATAAATTTAAGAGAAAATAAATGATGAAAGTAGGAAGAGAAGCAATCTCGGAATTTACAAATCTCTGTATGACAATGAAACCAAAAAGGGACAACATTCAAAATCTTAGGAAGCTTAAGTTGATTCGTATAAGATAATAGAGAATATTTTAATTGAGAAGGAGAAATAGAAAAATACTTCTTAGGTTACTGCTAATCAATAAGAAGATATGTAAGAGAAATCAGAAAAAGAAGAGATATAGGAAAATAAGGAAGACATCAATAATAAATTGAAAAATGCTGAAAATTCTAAATCTAGATCAAGATCCAGGTCGAAATCAACCAAAGAGTAAAAGCAATAAGAAAATGAGGCTTTGACAAAAGAGGATAAACTTAAATAATATAAGGAACGTTACTTATAAAGAAAATAATTATGAGATTTACATATATAAATTTAATTTATTAAATATAGTGATGTCTTAATAGCAAGATCAGCCAAATGCTAAGAAACGTATCAGAAGATGTACAAAACAGGATCAAAATCCACGACCATATCATTGTGGTTGTGGACGTGGCTATTATAGTTATCCTGCATTATATACTCACTTGAAGTATTTAATTTTTCGATGTCAGAATTAAACATGAAGGCCAACCTCCTACTGGCACATAGATACCAAGTGATAAGCATTATGGTAGTAGAGGAAGACCACGGGAAAAGAATACAAAATGTGATGAAGAAAGCAAGCATCAAGTGTTTATTGATGAAGAAAAAAGGGAAGATAATAAGAAGGATGAAAAAATTACACCAAATTAATGAAATCTGAAGAGAGCATTGGACTTTTTTCTTTATTAATAATTTATATCTAATACTTAAAATTACCACTTTCTACCGAAGGATTTTCATCAAAATTCAATCACTTTCAGCATGCTGAACAATAATATATTACTTATTATTTTGAATTTAGGTTAGCTATAATTTGTGAGCTAAAAAGCACCTGAAATCTAAAATTCATAGACCTAGACATGGAGGTGCGATTTTAGTATAATAGACAAATAACATTTTAATAAAGATGCTATAATTTAATTCGAAAAGAATAAAAAAAGAACTTTAAGGAACCCTTTTAAAGAATTTAAATGTAAATACACAAAGTTCTTTAGCGACTATCAAAGTTAATTGTTGAAGAAATGGAGAATAATTACTAAAGGTCATGCTTCATAATTTTACAAAAGGTACGAGTTAAGGGGAGAATAATTGTGAAGCTAAAGAGTTGTCTAATGGGGAATTTATTAATTTGACAGTAATTCTTCATAGTACATTTTAGAGGAAAATATGATTTAAGCCAATTAAAAAATTAAATGATGTTTACTTAAGGAATAGAATCAATAAAGAGCTAATGGATTTTAATTAAAAAGAATATGAAAATGGAAGTGATGCATCAAGGAAGAATCTTAAAATATCAAAAATAATATAGAATTATACATATCAACAACATATAGATTTTTATTGATTCCTTTAAAGCAATTATACAATTAACTTATTTAATATAGTTCTTAATGATGTATGATTTTAATCTATAAGAATTTTTAATGACTTTGTTCGGCTTTCAGAATGATTGAAAAAGTGAAAATCTTAAATTTTCTATCAAAAGTATTAAGCAGATGCGTTAAATGCTCTTTATTTTTATTAAAGTAACAACCTTTTCATAATTTCCACCAAAACTTCTGTGTTATACAATCTTTAATTGAAGAGTTTTTACACAAATGCCTATATTTAATCAATTTATTTATTAATATGAATTAATCAGATGAGGCTGAGGTAATTTCAAATATTATGAGAGATAACTCTTTTAGTGTGCGATCCAAAAATAATTCCAGGAATAAATAAATACATTGTTTACACTATAAAGGGAATGGATAAAAATGGATAATTTGACATTTAGAGAAGATTTAGCGATTTTAAGACTATTAGATAATTTCTTTTGACTAAATGGCCAGGGTGCTATATACCACCTGTTCCACCAAAAAAAGCGTTTGTATAAGATTATTTCAAAACTCTTTAGGGTAATATGGAATAGTAATTTATTGATGAGAGAAGGGCAATGTTAGAAGATTTTTTAAAGAGAATAGCAGCTCTTAAATTTTTATGGTATTCAGAAGAGTTTTAAATTTTCTTGAAAACTCCTGGCGAGATTGAAAAAGTAATTTTTGATCTCATAAAAGGCTTTGTTATCTATTCCTAAAATAACAAATGATGAGATTATCAATAAATATCAAGATACGTTTTAAGACTTATCAGGAGTAAACTATAAATAATTAATCTGTCTAGAGGGAAATTAATAGAGAGATTATTTAGAAAATTAATGATTTTAAAGCATTTATTAAAAAAGTCTAGCCAATGGTCTAAAATTTTAAGTAAATTGCAAAAAATATCGCAGAAGCCAAATAATCTCATTAAATCATTTTAATTGACTTCATAATAAGAGTTATTCCATAATATGAAAATACTCTGTTATTAGAATACGTAGAATAACAAGAAAAACTTCCTTTTACTAATATATTATAAATTGAAGAAGTTAAAGGGTTGATCGATTAATATGTAATTTTGTAGTATATTTTAGTGTGAATTATTAAAGGATCCTAAATTATATCAACTATATTAAGAAGTAAGAAAGGAAGGAAAATAGTTGAAGGTAATTAACTATAATAAACAAAGGCGTTTCTTGAAACATTTTCAGAAAGAGAGAAATATGAGTATTAGAAAGCAAATGCAGAATCACGTTAAAAAGAACTGGAGTTGTAATTATAAGAGGTTTTAGCTGGCAAGACTACTATCAGAACCTTATTTAGTAAAGGGAAAAAGGATGAAAACATTGCTAAGCTATAATTTCAAATTACTGAGGTAGGAAAGGAAATAGAAAGTTATCAATTCATCTGTGACATCCTTACTGTACTAGTTGGGTATGTAGAGATTGATAAGTTTAAAGTTGAAAAGTAGTATCAATATTATAGCATGATAAAGAGCATTATTTCTTATTAAAGCAGGCTTTCAGAAATTGAGGAAAAGTTATGGAGCAAAGTATTGGAAAGTGAATATCTGTAATAATAATAATAATGACATAATCACATTTATTATTAGCCTATTAGGCGATATGACTATTATTTTATTGTTTCTAATCGTAAGGAGCTTTCCTAATACATTTATTATGTGACTTTGATTCTTTCTAGTAATTATTATTCTAATTTTTCTAATTATTCTAATTCATCTTGTTTTGACATTGTGGCTTGGAATTCGTCTTCGACTTTTTTTTAATAATTTTTCTAAGCAAAAACTTATTTATCTAACAAAAACTTTTATATTTTCTCTGTTTAAATTTATTCCATTTTTTTGATTCTTTAATAAGATCTCTAATTTTCAGCTTCGACTTGTCTTATAGTTCGATGGAAGTCTTATTAGATTCTGGTTTTAAATTCTCTTGTCTAAAGAATTCTCTATTGAACACTTAAAATAAATTTGTATAATACATTTTTCCTTATCTCCCTTTGCTTTAATCTATAATTTATAAATGTAATTCTCTTTGCTTTTATATCTCTATTTTTCTTTTTTCAATTTGTTCTCTCTATATACGAGCATACCTATCCTTTTGAGTCTCCTTTTCAAATTTGTTTTATTTACAAATGATTACTTTTTGTGTATTTTTTTCAAGGCTTTTAGTCTAATTATAAAAATTAGTTTACTTTCAAAATATTTCTTTACTCAGTCAGTTGCAATAACTAGACTCTAGCACGTATTTTTTAAATGTTATCATCTAACAATTTATTTGTTTAATGAACTTCTGGATATCTTTAATTTATTAATTCTGCATTTAACTCATAAAGTTCTGATTATTTCTAATCATTATTATTATTTTAATAATTTTGGATCATAGAATTTGCCCAATCTATTTGGTTTTTAACTCCTGAATCAACTTCTTTATATTCATCTGAATTAGTAACTTACTCAAATATTTTTAACAAATATTCCTGTTGTCCATCCTCTAATTACTATTCAATTGTGTTTAGATTAACTAAGATTTGCAAACCGCTTTATTCATGGTCCAAAAATTAAAATCTTTGGTCTTAACCTCTGCAAATAAGAATCATTATTTTAATATAAATAATACACAATAAATATTTTGATAGTAAAGTGTTTATCAAATTTCAATAACTGAGCATATGAAATCAAAATTCTTTAGAATTTCAATTAATTAAAAACTCTTAGTTGTTTGCTAGAAGTAATATATCCTAGAAATAATCATAAATTCTTGAATAATAAATATTAAGTAATAATATTGATGGGAAGTGATAATTCAAAGGCTAAAGCTTAAAAAAAATAAAATCCTCCTTAAAATTCTGCTCCAAAGCCTCCTCCAAAGAGAAAACCACAAGAGGAGAATGTATGAAATATTATTTATGCTACAGAATTGGATGTATGATTTGATTTTACAATATTTGGCATCGCCTGTCTGGAGAAACCCAATATCAGACTTTTTGGATGAGCATTGCATCATTTTTGATGATGAAGAAGAGAACAAAATTGTTTACTAAGAAATTCATAAGGTACTAATGTATAAAAAGAAAAATAGAAATTCAAAAATATGATTGAAGCTATGATGGAATAGTTAATGTAGGATATAGGTGTTGATGATGAAGAATACTTGAGAAAAGTAATAGAAATAGGATTGAAAAATAAAAAACATAAAAAGTATTTTGAATAGCTGCTGGTTGTTGAAAATTTCTTAGTTTTTAAGAAATTAATGTTAAAGAGAAATAAGGAGTTAGAATATGAAGCATTGAAAGAGTTATAAAAAATTGACGTAAAGATATATCACTAAAATTTTTAAGGGAGGAAAAAATCTTGAAATGGATCTCAAGGTTAAATAAGCTGAATTGGAAAAAGAGAGAATGGAAATAGAACATGCTGTTGCAATGTCAATTGCTGTAGAATAGGAAAAGAGCAAACTTTAAATTCAAGAAGAGGAAGAACTTTAAGAAGCAATTAAAATGAGTTAAAAATTATTTGAACAATAGTGTATTTAATTAGAAGCATTATATAGAATCTGAAATATTAAAAAGTAATGTGGAATAGCAAAACTAATTGCACCAGTAGCCTTAAGCCTCTTAATAATAATAACCAATAGTACCAGATTAGAAGGTCGAATCTATTTTGATATTTGAAGATGATGGATTACCAGATAAGAATCCACCAATTGTTGTTGAATAACAATAGTAATAAGTAGAAGTGAAAAATGAACCAAAATAATAAAGAGTTAGAGATCCTCTGCCTTAGATTGTTTAAGAAAAAAAAGAAGTACTGAGTTTAGCTTAAGAGAGAGAAGCATTAATGAATCAGGGAAATCAATTAAAAGAGAACCTCAAAGAAATAGTATAATAAAATATCAAATATTTTAGGAAGAAACATTTAAGCAAAATATGAAGAACTAATAAGATTAAGAGACCTTGGAATAAAGGAAATTAAGGTTGTAATAATAAAGAGAATTAATCAAATAAAAGAAAATGAAGGAAAGAAAGGATGAAATTGAGTAATACAAAGCTGTAATTTTAATATCTATAATAAGATTGGTGATTAAGATAAACCAGCCTAAGATTTACACGACAAAGAAAAAGGACCTCTAGTTGTTGATATGGTTAAAATATACATTTATGATAGAATGATTTTGTGGCTGATTAAAAGCGAGCATAAGAGCTTGAACTTAAAAAGCAAGAGTTACGAAAGAGAGCAGAACTATTACGAAAGATCAAATAAGACGCATAATAATAAGAACAAAGTTGAATAGTAGATTTATAATAATAAATAGCAATTATGTTCATTGTTGTAACTACATTTTTTATAATCATTTATTAACTTAATTAATATAAAATGCTCTCCAATTGCAATATGTAAGAATATTCTTTAATTCTGTAGAAATATCTCGGAATTTTAGCTTGTCTCCCATATTTTTAGAAACAATAGGTCCTTAATTTACAAAGAAAGACTATGATAACATTTATTAATTTATATTATTTTTTTTTGATATTTACAAATGTTCAAATTGCACTTTATAATTCAATATCTTCCCATGTTTTTTCCATATCATTAGATAACTCTTTGTCAATTTCTTTGTTTAGGTTTTCATTTTTATCTACCAAAACCTCTTCTTTCAATACTTTTGTATATTCTCTAACAACATAATATATAAGCAAAGAAATGCTAAGTCCTGCAAATGTTATTATACCAATTTCAACATACAAAACACCTTCATTATTAATTGATCTATTGGAATCAAAAATATCTAATATTATATACTATTCAAATACCTTTAATTTTATGGAATTGTTTTCCAATAAAAACAGCTAATATAGTGCTGGGAAATCCAACAACTGATTGAACAATGGCAAATGATTTAAAGCTTACTGTTCTTAAAACTCCCATTCCATAGTTCATGATTATTTAGGGTGTAACACCAGACATTCTCATTAAAAATTGTGTTTTATAAGGCTTACGTTGAGTTAACTTTTCGATTGCATTATAAAATTTGAATTCTTTAAGCAATTCTTTGAGGAAAAATGATAATTCCTTGCCTATGAAAAAGCTAGCATATTCTCCTATCATTTTTGCTGCTGTAACGATCAAAATGGGAGTGATATAATCAGTACAAGTATACGCGATCGCAAATTCAAATAGAGCAAATGGCATCATCAATAATATCATACCAACTCCCAACATCGTTAGATTTAATCCACCTAGAAAACTTATTTATTTGCACTACATCAATTATTATACTTACTTAATCAAACAATGACAAAAACAGTAGTTATACTCCAGATATATAATAGATGCAACAAATTAAGGATCCTACTAAGATAAATGGGAATGCTAATAAAAAATAATAGATTTTCTTTGTATTGACTTGGAAACTTGGATTATTTTATTGTAACATTTTATTTATGTATAAATAATTCAATGTCATAATTAAACAATCCATTATATTCGCTAGGGATGAATTTTATTCAAGAGAAAAAACTCAAATAGTTCCAGAAATTAGAAAGAGGATATATGTATGTTGATTATTATTGGAATTAAATAAAAAAATAAAGGATATTGTAATTAATTGATTATTTTTAAGAAAAACTCATCTTCACAATTATATGATTGATGCCCCATCGCCTATTAAGTTTAAATAAATTAGATATCTTAAATAGTTTATTTATGACTGTGAAATTTCGAAGCAATTTTTGTTAATCATTTATTCTATCGTTAAATGTTGATGTTTTATTATTTAACTTACATAAAATATTGTATATGCTCCACAGTCAAAAGAGTTTTGCTGCTAACTGATCCTAAAATTCTCATTTTATTCTTAAACCTTAAATCCAAAATATTATAAGAATAATGTAATTTAGTGTACAACTGCTTTTCGATTATCTCTTAAGGAGTCAATTAAATATAACCGTTCATTTTCAAACACAGCTGATAAAAAATGACTTCTATCTAAGTTAAAGTAGAACACTATCCGAAAATTTTGAACAAATTAATTTTCACCATTTAATTTATCTTTCATTAGATAACTTTAATGTAAATCATTCATTTCATCAAAAATTCTAAAAAAATAAAAGAATATCATACTTATGGTTTATTTTTTCACCTTTTGTCACCATGCTTCCAAAAATATCTTAAAATTGACTACAATTTATAAAACATGTTTTCATATTTTAAATACCAGTATTTTGACTTGGGAGATTTGAGTTGTTTACCAAAAATAACAATTATTTCAGCAAAATATCAATTACACTGGAATTTATCCATCCTCCTGGTCGAAGCGAAGCTAATTAAAAATTATTTATTCCATATTCATTGAAATTCAATAAATAGCAACTTGGATTTTAACTGGCCTTATATTATTAGATGTCTGCTGGGAGCCTATCATGTTTAATTCCATTCTTGTAATATTCTTATATACTTCCCTGTTTCTAAAATTATTTTTCCCTTTTTGAACCGTCAACGAGTATGTGATTAACAAATAAACCTTGTTTCAAATTTGACTCATACTGACCTTTCATATATGTTGGCTAGTTTTATTAAGAATAATATTCCAAGCTATATCCTTCTCCATGTTTTTACCCAATTTTATATCCTCCATAATATAATAATGTGCTAGCATTATTGTAGACTCTATTTGTTCCATCAATAAGTCCATTTTTAAATCCTCCTTTATAAGTTGTCTCATCTGAGAGAGTTTTCATTATTCCTTCTGTTTCATTATCAAAATCATATGTGTGAGGTTCAAAGTAATCATTTACAGGACCGCTATAAGAGACTAAACCACAATATTTTCTTAAATCTGCATTTAAGTTATTGTTAAAGTATGATGATAAGATTTCAAATTTGGAACTCAACCATAAAGGACAAAGATGAGGAGAATTGTATGGAAACCAAACCTTGCCTTTAACTCTAATAAATAAAATATGATAAATACATATTTCCATTCGGTTATAGAAAAAGTGATTGGGATCCTTCTTTGTAAGCAATTTTGACCATTTTCATAGAATGTAGTTGTTCTTTCCTCAATTAACTTTAAAACATTTTTTAAGCTTGTTTTTCTTTCTCTAATTCCATCTTTCTTTTTTTTTCCTTTTCTCTATCCTTATTTTTTGCAGCTATTTTACTGCTTTAATTCATATTTAAACAGGCATTTAATCTTTACAAGTCTTATAAAAATTAAAAATCAGATTGAGGTAATATAATATCTTTTATGGTTTCATCTTTAAGTTCAAACCAAATATTAAGTATGACTTCAAAGTTTTTTTCCTGATCATCTCCTTGTCGTAATATTGAATCACGGGAATATTTTTAATGCAAAATATCTGGATCAGGGTCCGGTAGGTATATTTAGAGAATATTATTTTCGTTTAGAATACTTATTGAGTTCATCAAAGTTCTTAATTTTGTGTCATCCATTTTATTGCTAACAAATAGTAATAGAAATTTAAAAATATGTATGATCATACGTTAAAGATCTATAAATGCTGCATTTTATTTTTGTAATTCACTCTCATTGTGACATTTTCGAAACAACCATGTAAGATGTTTAATTTAATCGTCTTGTATTACAGTTGTAAATAGTTTGGTTTGTGTTTGATTCAATTGATGACTATCAAAAACATAAGTACCTTCATTTTATTCAAATGCCCAGCTGACGTGTTGTAGGAAATTAAATTACTAATATTCTATTTTGCTCGGATTTAATTCTTGTTTGAACATTATTGAAATAAATTAATGATAACTTTATTGATTTTCGTAATATTTTAATATAATTTATTCTACTCTTCATTAATTGCTTAAAGAATTCCTATTTGCTTTATATAATTTGTGTTTTATCACAATTCGATTATAGAATTACTTAATATCAAATTCACATTATAATTCTGAACTACTTCTTTTCTTATCAAATTTAATTTAATAATTTTTCGTTTATTGTTTTAAATTAAAATTGCTCTATAATTTTTAAAATATTCTCTTTATATCATTACTACTATATATCAAATAGATCGATGCTTTTAAAACAAGCAAAATAAAAATGGCCATAATTAATCTTTTCCTAAGTCAGATCTTAAACTTATAAAATGAGATAATGGGAATCGGAGTTATCCAAGAGGAAATGTGTATTTCGAATTGTTTTTTCTAAACGAGGAATTCAACTAAAAGGATATCAGTCCTAGGATAGGAAGAGGAATGATTATTTAAAACATTTTTCTGAAACAGATGCAGGAAACGACGTTCGTTTTAGAAAGTATTTCAGTTGACTTGATTTATAATTTATACTTTACACTTAAAAGATTGATTACCTAATTAATCTCATCTTTAAGGTTTGATGAGACTTTAAATATCAAGGCTCTCAAAAATTGGTTCCATATCGTAGAGTTCAATTTTAAGTTGTTCTTATTCACTTATAATTCAGTCATGAACTGTAAACTAAAGCAAAAATGCTAGTTGTTTAGCAAGATTTAAAGTTGGTATAAATAATTATTAGCCATTAACTTTGATGGTTGAAGGGGATTTAGGAAGAGGAATTAGATCATTATTCATGATTTCTGATTTAAAAATTATCTCTGAAGGATCTCTAAATTGGATCATATATTTGAGCATATATATGTCAAAAAAGGGTTTATTCATTAGTATAAATAAATGAAGAAGAGTATTCAAAATGGTTATAGAAGATTTAGCTGCTCCTTGATAAGGACTATGAGAAGTCAGCAATTAGTGAGCTCGTAGATTAGGTCAGAAAGAGGATGCAAGGCAGATTAAATTGATTTAAAATATCAAAATCCTTACATAAATTAAAAAATTTTATTATTTAAATGAGAGAAATCATTTCATTTCATTTTGGATAATCTGGAGCCCAACTAGCAAGTCCACTTTGGGAGTTATATTGTTTAGAACATGGTATCAATTTGGATGGATCAGTTTCAAATAATTCTGAAATTTAAGAGAATGACACAAATCGTGAAATATTATTTTCTGAGACTCAAAATAATCGCTATGTACCATTAGCTTATATAGCTGATGATGATGATTACAGTATTGATCAAATCAAAAATGGTTAACTTAAGAAATTGTTTTCAACTAAATCTTTATAAGAATTTAAAGGAGATTCAGGAAGTATTTGGATTTCAAGTTATAAAAGTGCACAAGCTTCTGAAAATTTTAGAAATCAAATTCATTAATTATTAGATAAATGCGATTCTTTATAAGGGATTATGATATATCATTCTGTAAGTGGTGGTTTTGGAGGGAGCTATGCATCCTATTTATTAAATGAATTTGAGGATGATTTTTCCAAGGTAATAAAATCAACCGTTTCCATGCTTTCGTCAGATTAGAATTCAACATCAACAATTGTGGAGCCATATAACTCAGTTTTTACTATTAATTAATTAAAGTAATACTCTAATTTTAACATATTTATTGATAACTCAGCGCTCTCCCAGGTATGTGAGCGCTAATTAGAAATTGATTGGGCTAATTTTGGCATTTTAAATAAAATGATTGCTTAGATGATAGCATCAATTACCTCTACATAAAGACTTAATTCTGAAAATTTTGTAGATTTATAAGACATGTATTAAAATCTTGTTTTACTACCAGAATTGCAATTTTTACACACATCCTACGCTCCTTTTATTTAAAGAGACTAATAAAATTCATCAAGTGTTAATTTACTTTAAATCTCTTAAGCCCTGTTTAATGAAGCAGGGTCATTTATTAAATTTACTCCTAATCCATCATAATATTTTGGAGTGAATTTATTTTATCGAGGAGATTGCCCCTACTCAGATTTACAAAGCACCATAAATGAACTTAAGAATTCTAAATGCATTAATTTCGCAGATTGGGTACCCATCAATTATCAAGTTGCAATGAGCTCTAAAAGTACAGTCCAATTTCATAATGCAGAACTAGGAAGAGGAAATAAAACTGCTTGTTTAGTGGCTAATTCAACACGTATATTAAATCCCTTAAAGAATATTTAATCAAGATTTAAGAATTTGTATTAAAAGAAGTGCTTTCTTCATTGGTTTTTAAAGAATTCTTAGATTGATGAGTCATAATTTGTAAACGGTTTAGACTTCTTCTCATCCTTATTATCAAATTATGAATAATCAATTTCACAAGATATAAATCAAGAAAAATAAAATGTAGATGATGAGGCTTCAATCGAAGAGATTGATGAGATAAATAAATGATAATGAACAAAAATTATTCTGTTTTTTTAATTATTATTTAGTCATTATTTTAAGTAAATATTTTGAATTCTCAAATAAATTGTTATTTTGTATTCCAAGTTTATAAATGAAATTCTTAAGGTAATTTTAGTAAAGGTTTAGAAAAATTAGTTTTTATTTATATAACTGGATGTGAGTACTATTTCTAATTGAATTTATTTTAGAAAGTAGATTTCAATTAATTAGTGTTCGAAGGTGCTATTTACTATTATTGATTCTATTTTTCTTCAATCTTTTCATCATCAAAATTTAACTATTTTCCAAAGCTCCAATTTTATTAGTTCATTACATGCGGAGAAAAACATTGAAACAACTTAGTAGACTCATCTTGAGTTTAATCGGTTTCTTTAACTTCTATTCTATGTTTTAAATTAGGTTAAGGAGTTTTAATCTAAGGTAATCTCGAAATTTGTGATGTTACTTTTTTTGTTTCTACTGATTTTGGAGGCTATTAGATGGGGAATTATTAAAGTCTTGGGGAATTTAAATTTGATATCTTTTGTGGTTGAGTTTGGGATTCTAAAAGTTAATTAATTATTTTCTGTTTTATTTCATTTTCTTCCAACAATTTTTCGTTTTATTTTGATAAAAACTCTATCCAATCTCTCTAATCATAAGGAGACTGAACCCTTGGGGAAATCAATTATTAAAACCCTTGAGGAACTAGTTTCCTACGAAATGAATAGTTTTATTTTAATCCCATTTTATGTTGACTTTCAATTTCTTCTTATGGTAGCAATTTCTAAATTTAATATGAGGGTACTTTTTTTAATTTATTTTCTAAAGGTTTCTCTTGAGTTTGCAAACCTTAATCTACATCTGGTTTTTCAAACAATAGTAGTTTCTATCGATGATTGTTGTTATTTTATTTTTGCCCTTAAAAATTTATCAGTTCCTATATCGTACAAAATTGTTACATTTTTGTTATTGCTTTATGCTAATTTAAACTGCCTATGATGTAATTTCATTAATTTTGAAGAAATTTTATTGTTAATATAATTTAATATTAATCAATCTAGTAAAAATGTGAAATAAACAGAAAAACATGAATTAAAATTAAAATAGCATTTTGAAAAGGTTCATTATAATTAGAACATGTAATCATTTAAGTTTGAACTATTTTTTATACATCAAAGTAGTCTCTATAAGTTGAATAACTTTTAGTTTTTGATTTTCCAAATTTTGAAGAATAGTTATAACTTCCCCAAACTCTCCTTTTAATAAGTCCTCTCTTAACCAATGTATGATCGCTAAGGCGATATAATTCAATAATTCATTCTTGTCATCTAATTCACACAAAATGTGATCCCATAAAATTATTGTGTCATATAACTTAAATTCTTTTGTAAAAACAGTCATAAACCATTTGGACATAAATAATTTTGGGTCAATTTTAATTTTCTAATAATATACTAAATAAATTACCAGCATATGATCATAAAGTCGAAAGTCATGTTTTTTTATTATTTCTTAAACAACTCTGATCTTGTTTTAAATAAATCCATTGCAAATGCTAGCCTCATCTTTAGAAAAAAAATTGTATCTAAATTAACTCAATAATATTGTAAAGCAAAAAAATGTGTCTACTTCTGCTTAAGACCTCAAAAGAGTGCTGTCATCATTTACAAAGCAATAGTATAAAATTGCCACAAGTTCATTCATCCCTTAAATGTATTACCCATTTAATTTTGTATAAATAAATAAAATTCGAGTCAGCACATCATAATTATATTCTATATCAACTCTCTTTAGTCTAAGGATAGCAACTTAATCCTATATATAAAGTTTTTTTACATCTTCGAATAAAGAGGCTTCTTAATTTTCTATGTGAAAAAATCCTTCTCTTTAGCGAGTTCTTTTAGTATCGTTTTCAATTGTTTACCACAGATTAAAATCTTCGAAACGATTGTTATAAGAGGAATCTTTTGACCGATTTAGAGGGTGATCATTTTATGCTGGCTATTTACTATTTCTTAATGTGGATAAAATGTGCTCATCAACTAATGCTATGTAATTTTTTTTATTTGTTTCTAATCGATTAATCCATTATTTTTTTGAAGGTGTCAGGTATCTCTTGATATATCTTTATTAAATACCCTAGTAAAATTCTCCAAGTTACTCCTCTTAATGCTTTACATTCATCGTTAATTCCATTTATAATCAATTAAGAAAGTTTATTGAGATCGATTAAATCTGCTTGCATTATTTTTAACCATTCGCTGAAGATTGAAATGGACCCTTCACTGACACTTTTCATAGAGGAATAGATGTATTCAAATTGGCAGAGATCCATGTAAGGATCTACCTTTTTTTAAACTTATTCTCCTTATCCAATTGTTTATTGGTTTGCTTTTTGATTTGACTAAATTAAATCAAGACCTTACCATAAATGGAAATATTGTTTCAATAATTTTTTTTCCTATCTTGTCTTTTTTTTTCTTTTTTTAATCCATGATTTCTAATTAAATTAATTTATATCTTCTGATTCATTTAAACTAAAATAAATAACAAATGGAAGAAATGCATACATTCTTAAAGCATAGCTTGAAGAAATTGTACAAATGTTAATATTCAGCACTCTTCATTAATTTTGTAATTTTTTTCTAAACCTTTTCAATTCTTGAATATTGAGGGTTTAAGATAATTAATAAGAAACGATTAGATACTAATTATCAATATTAAATTTATTTTTTTATGGGCAACCAACAAGAGAAGGAATAGTCAAGGGAATTCTTAGAAAGAAAACTTGATCCCAATTATGGAGAGGTTGCTGTCTATTTAGATAAAAATAATAACCTTACCTTTACTGAAATTAAGCATGTTTTATCATCTGATATAGATGCAAAAGCTTTGGAATAAAGTATTACTAAAAGGTATATTGAAAACAATATTGATAGATAATAACTGAATCATAGATGCTTAATAAAAATAAAGAAGCATGAAAAGGGAGAGATTGATGACTTATGTAGTTCATTTATGGTCTTGTCGATAACAGTTGAATATTACAGTGAGTCATTATCCAATGATTTTAAACAAAGAAAAATACATAGAACAACTTATACAGAATAAGAGCTTTTATATATTATTTTTGAGATTTCAAATGTTTGTTAATATATGAAGGATTAAAAAAATGAAATCCAAGACATTCACCCTCAAAAGGTTTTAATTGACGAAAATAGAAATATCAAATATTTTGATCAATTTTTGGAAACTCAAAAGATCAATAATTATTTTAAGATTCTCTTTGGTTTAAGAGATTTGGAATATATTGCTCCTGAATAACTAATATTATTAAAAGGAGAAATCAGAACTGATAGCACAGATTAAGAACTAGTGAATGTGTTTTGTTTAGGTCTAATGATTGTTAGTTTAATGAGCGGCATTAGATGTGGTGAATATTATAATTAGGATACATTAGAATATAAAAGAGATTTTGTATCCTAACAAATTGATAAATTTTGTTTGAAACATTAATTTTCCAACTCTTTTAAATAATTATTGAGTTCCATGTTAAAATTTCACCCTTAAGATCGTCTAAATTATTTATTAATTTAAGATTAACTTTAACCGTAGTCGGACAATATTTCCCATTTTTTGAATCCTCCTGGAAGATAAAAAGGTTAAAATTATAATAGCTTTAGAATTTTTAGAATCGCAATTTAGTTCATTCCATACCTAAGGTTCAGCTATAAAATCATAAGTTTATTCAGCCACTGCATTTGATTTTAACGAAATAGATTAATTGATTAAGTCAGCAAGATAAAGAGCATAGACAACTTTAGATGAAGTTGGGCTCGACCTAAAACTTAATGCTTACAAAGGAAGCCAAATTACAATTATCGATCAGACGGACTGACTATTAGATTTTATTAAAAACACAGAGAAATAATTTTATTTTTTTAATGCAATAATAGAGTGTTATTTATTTAAACAAATACTATTCTGATAAATTTTTGAAATAGAATTCAATTTTTCTTTATAATTTGCCTTTAATACGTAATTTAAATGTATAATTAATGTTTGAAGTCTAGAAGTGTTCGAATATTTGGAATGTCTAAATTAGATGAAAGGATTTACTCTGTCAAAAATAAAGTATTATATTGAAATGAGTTGAAATTTTTTACATTGAATTCATAACTACTAAAACCGTAAATTAAGAAGGATATAGACAGAAAACTCATTTCATTCTTATTTGTGCTCTTCTGTGCTTATTTATTCTTAAATAATTTGAATTTAATCTAGTTTCTTAATATCTTCACCTTTAATATAAAGGACTCAGGCTTAATCAATTTTATGGAAAAAATATTATAGTGAATAATTCTGAAAAATCCAGCTTTCCTTGACTAAAAGGTTTCTTCAACAATCATTTGAGTCTTAACCTAGAAAATTCTCACATTTACCAGATAGAATAATATTTAAATTAATGAGAACCAATCAAATATCAAGTCAAAGTAAATCTTATGGATTATTATCAATCAGTCCAATTAACTTTAATTATTTAGTACAATCATTTTACAAATAGATGATAACAGAACTTAAATAAATTGGTTTATTTGAAAATTTTATTCTATCTTAAGTATCTAATTTATTTAGTTAAAACAGAATTACTGCTTATTCATTGAACGTCTCTGAAAATTTGATTTTAATCATTCATTTATTATATAATTTGGATAAGTATTTAAATAGGATTTTCCATTTTTGTTTTGGTTAAAGTCTTTTTTCAATTCGAAAAATAATCAAATGAAAATATTGTTCCTAGCCTTTTCAAACAATATAAGATTGTCTAAAATTCCCTAAATTTGCTTTTGCCATTTCATAAAGATACTTTATTGTTTTATCTCCAATATTTTGTTTTGATATCTTAATAAAAATGAAATTTAGATATTTCTAATATTAATAAATTAAAGATAGCATTTTGGATAAATTATGAAGTAATTTTGTGAAAATGAAACAAAATAGTAAATGGATGTAAGTCAATAAAGAGAAGATGAATAACTAAATTGTTCTATTTATAACTTGACCTAACTAAAAGATGCTAACAATCTCTAGCGAATAATTTTGGATGAACAATCAATTAATTTTGAGGATAGACATGCTAAGGATTCAGTTACATCCCACCCATAAAATATTCAGAATAAAGCAAATTTACAAAAATATAAAAAATTTTGGAAAAAAAGTCAATTAAATTAGAAAAAAAAAAAATGTTTTGAAATGAGTTCCAAAAATCAGATGAAAATTTTGGAATAAGATGGTATTTAGATTGAATCATACAATAATTTTCAAATTTGCTTCAAAGAGGAAATACTCGATCATTCTTTGTAATTAAAAAATTTGACAAAATTATCAGATTAAGGAATGCAATTTTAGGAGGAGGATGTTATTAATTTCAATAAGATCCAAGTAAATGATTCACAAAAAAGTTTAAGTAAAATTTAAATAGCAAATATATTGGAGAAATAGGAATAAAACATTTCGAGTTTAGAACTCTAAAAATTTCCAAAAGAATCAGTCAATGAAAAAATTAAATGTAACTCTCCTTCATAGAAATAGCTAAAATCCTGGTTAAAATGAATAGTTTTTAAGAAGCATAAAAATAATTTGATTAAGGTATTTAGAAAAACATTGAAGAATCAGACCATTATAATAACAAAGGTAAATTAAATTGCACATTTCCTTAGCGATAGCGTTAGATAAAATAAATAGATTTGCAGAAGCGTTAGAACTGTATAATTTAGCCATTTCGAAAAACCCTCATTATTCTGAATATTATTTTAACAAAGGTATAAATTTACCAAGAATAATATTCAAGCCAATACTTTGGATAAGATGAATAGGTTTATTGAAGCTTTGGAAAATTTTGATTTAGCTATTTAGAAAAATCCAGAAATACCAGCCTATTATAATAATAAAGGTAAAATTAAGTCTCAATATAATTTAGCAATGAGTTTAGATAAAATGAAAAAATATAAATAGGCTTTAAAATGGTTTGATTTAGCTATTAAGAAAAACCCTGAAGAATCAGAATATTATTGTAACAAGGGTACGTAAATCATATGATATCTAAGCGATGACTTTAGATAAGTTGGCTAGACATAAAGAAGCATTGAAATATTATGATTTAGCAATTAAGAAAAACCCGAATGAATCAGACTATTATAATAATAAAGGTATGAAAAATCAGTAAATTCTCTAAGCCATGACATTAGATAAAATGAACAGATTCAAAGAAGCATTAGAATGTTATGATTTAGCTATTTAGAAGAACCCTGATGATGCAGATCTATATAATAATAAAGGTATATTTAAATTATTCTAAAATCAAAGGAGACACTTTAGATAGATTAGGTAGATATGAAGAAGCATTAGAAAATTATGATTTGGCCATTCAGAAAAATCCTGAAGACTCAGTCTATTATTTGAACAAGGGTATAATTAAATCAGTAAATAGGGATTGTTTTAAATATGTTGGATAGGCATTAAGAAGCATTGAAATATTATGATTTAGCTATTAAAATTAACCCTGAAGATCCTGTATTTTATAATAGCAAAGGCATAATTTATCATCATAATCTCCTAGCCAATACTTTATCAGAAATGAATAGATTTGAGGAAGCATTCTAATATTATGATTTGGCAATTTAGAAAAACCCTGAGGAATCTAGTTTTTATAACTATAAGGGTAATATTATTTCAGTAATATTAGCAATTGCATTACAAAATGCTCAGAAATTTGTCGAAGCATTAAAATATATTGAATTAGCAATTTAAAAATCCTCAGAACAATCAGATTATTATTATAACAAAGGTAAAATTAAGTTTTCTTGATATGTTAGCGATTATATTAAAAGAAATGGATAGAATTGAAGAATCTCTGGAATTTTCTGATTTAGCTATTTCTAAAAATCCTGAAGAATCACACTATTATTATACCAAAGGTATAAATTCAAAAATAATTTAGCTTTGGCTTTGAATAAAATGAATAGATTAGTAGAAGCTCTGTAATATTATGATTTGGCTATTTAAAAAAATTCCTAAATCTCAGTCTATTATATGAGCAAATGTATATACATAAATAGCATAACTTCATAGCTGGAACATTAGAATTGTTGAATAGATATGAAGAGGCCTTGGAATAAATTGATCAAGCCATCTCAAAAAATCCTGAAGATTCAGAATGTTATAGTCGTAAAGGTATTATTAACTTTTTTTTAAACTCAAAGCACTTATTTTAAGTACATTGAATAGATTTGAAGATGCCTTGGAATATTGTAATTTAGCTATAGAGAATTAACCAGATGAATCAGTTTATTATAATAACAAAGGCAAATAAAATAGCATAATTCATAGCTAAAATTTTAAAGTTATTAAAAAGATATGAAGAAGCATTGAAATATTTTGATTTAGCAATTTCGATAAACCCAGAAGATTCAGAAAACTATGATAATAAAGGTACAGTTAAATTTTTAAATTATCTTAGCGATGATATTAATCAAATTGAATAGATTTGTAGAAGCATTGGAGTTTTCTGATTTGGCAATTGAAAAAAAACCAGAAATATCAAATTATTATAACAACAAAGGTATAATATAATCAATCTAATAACTTAGCAATAATATTAAATAAAATCAATAGGTATGAAGAAGCATTGAAATTTTATGATTTATCTATTGAGAAAAACCCTAATGAATCAAACTATTATAATAACAAAGGTAAAAATAAATCTTACATGCTATTGTAGCAATGACTTTAAATAACATGAATAGATTTGAAGAAGCATTATAATTTTATGATTTAGCTATTTAGAAAAACCCTGAGATATCAAAATATTTTGAGAGTAAAGGTATAACTCAAATTATAACTCAGGGATAACACTCAATAAAATGAATAGATTAGTTGAAGCTTTAGAACAGTATGATCTAGCTATTTAGAAAGACCCTGATGAATCAGACTATTATAACAATAAAGGTATAATACAATCAATCAAAATAACCTAGCATTAACTTTAAATAAAATGGAGAGATTTATTGAAGCTTTAGAATAATATGATATAGCAATTCAGAAAAGCCCAGAGGAAGCAGAATATTATAACAACAAAGGTAGAATTCAATATATATAATTACAAGCTGATACATTAAGTAACATCAATAGGTAATAAGAGGCATTGAAATATTATGATTTAGCTATTTAGAAAAATCCAGCAGAATCAGACTATTATAACAAAAAAGGTAAACTCTAATCTGTATGCCATCATAGCATTTATGTTAAATTAAATGAATAGATAATTAGAAGCTTTGGAATACTATAATTTTGCTATTTAATAAAATCCTGAAAACCCATAGTATTACAAAAACAAAGGTATAATTGAATAGCGTAATGTACTAGCCGACACTTTAGAATTGTTAGGTAGAAATGAAGAAGCATTAGAATATATTGATTTAGCAATATAGAAAAGTCCAGAAGTTTCAACCTTTTATAATAACAAAGGTAGAAAAACCAAATTATAACCATAGCATTAATCTTAGATAAAATTAATGAATTCGAAGAAGCATTGAAAAATTATAATTTAGCAATTTAGTTAAACCCAGAAGATTCTGACTACTATAATAATAAAGGTATTTTCTAATTTGATATATTTTAGCAATTGCATTATATAATATGAGGAGATTCGCAAGAAGTAATTGCTATTTGTGATTTAAATATTTTGATAAACTACTAAGAATTGCAGATACCTACAATATCAAAGGTATAATTCTTCTAAATTTAGCATTGGCTTTAAATTAAATGAATAGTTACGAAGAAGCATTGAAATATTATGACTTAGCTATTAAGAAAAAAACTGAATTATAAGATTATTATAACAACAAAGGTAAACCAAAATTTGCATACTATGATAGAGATGACTTTACAACACTTGAATAGATTTGAAGAAGCATTGAAATATTATGATTTAGCTATCTAGAAACGACCAGAAGAATTATCTGACCTATTTAACAACAAAGGTAAATTTAAATCTTCATACTATTCCAGCAATTACTTTATAAAACATGAATAGATTTGAAGAAGCATTGAATTATTATGATTTAGCCATTGAGAAAAACCCAGAATTATCAAACTATTATTTAAACAAAGGTAATATCAAATTGGCATACTGTTGTAGCTATTACTTTATAAGGCATGAATAGATAAGAAGAAGCATTGAGATTTTATGATTTAGCTATTTAGAAAGACCCTGGAGAATCCGACTATTATAACAGCAAAGGTAAACTCAACTCTTCATACTATTATAGCATTTATGTTGGATAAAATGAATAAATTTGAAGAAGCTTTGGAATATTATGATTTTGCTATTGAGAAAAATCCAGAAGAATCTGGGTTTTATAATAACAAAGGTAAAATACATTTGTATGATAAATAGCTATTACTTTATAACATCTGAATAGATTTGCAAGAAGCATTGAAATATCATGATTTAGCCATTGAGAAAAACCCAAAAGAATTATAATATTATAATAATAAAGGTATAGTTAAATCTTCTTATTAATTTAGATATTACATTAAAATTTCAAATTAAATTTGGAAAGGCAGAAAAAATCTAAGAAACCTATTATTTAGTAAAGCCCATAGAATCCAAAAATCTTCATCAATTTCAGAATACGATTCAATATGAAGAATATATTTTTAAAAAAACTTTAAAATTAGCATAATGTGGTCAATCCTTAAAATTTTATCCTTTATTTAAGCCGTCTGATTATTCCTATCCCAATTAGATTTTCTGGATGATAATTATTACATAGGGTCTTACAATTCTTCAAGGAATTCAGGTTCTTGGAATAAAATAATGGCTTTGGCATTCATATATTCACCAAGTACTTTTTTCATAATTAAGTTTCGCTAAAACTTTAAGGAATTTCGTTGTAAATACCCTTCAAGTTTGGGTTTGAGGTTAGCATTGTATTTGATATTATGATCACTAATTATCTTTTTAATTTGAGGGTTAGCCAAAAATTAATGTTTGGGTTTGGTAAAGCCACCCCTATCTACGTATTTCTAAAGAAATAGACAGTTACGCGAAGGCAAAGAATCCCGGCTCTCCTAGAGGAAGAATACCCATCTCACTATTTTTGCTAGCTAAGTAGGTGAAGGTGCCCGGGCGTGGAAGCCCAATTGGTTGTGTGCTTGACTCGTTCTGCCTCGTCCAGACATATGGCGGATACCCGCCTGACTCGTTCTGCCTGAGTCTTATCCGTGTG